CTCCTCGCTCCCTCTCTCCCTCTCTCCCTCTCTTTGCTCCTTTGCTGTCAAGACCAGGCTATCTTACCACCAAAGTGTATTTCATGTCCCGATAGGTCACCGGTTTTGCCACCATCATTTCCTTGCTTGTCTCTCTGTCCACTGTCTCCGTGCTGTCTATCGCCCACTATCTCTTTTTCTTTCATGTGAAAGTCCCGAAAAGACTATACCGATAGGAGGCTGCTCGAAGACACTCTCTTCGCTGCAGACAGCAGCGATGACGTGTGCCGTCTGTCGTGGAGGAGGGAGTGTCTATCGAGGACCGAATATGAAGCCCTCCTCTTTTTCTCTCCCTTCTCTCTTCTCTCTTCTCTCTTTTCTTCCTCATCTTCTCCCCGGTCTTCTTCCTGGTCTTCAAGGTAAGCTCTTCTTCCTCCTCCTCCTCCTCCTCCTCCTCCTCCTCCTCCTCCTCCTCCTCTTCCACCTTTACCCCTGCTCCAGCTACTCCCACTTTCACTCTCAGTCCTTCACTTCTGCTGTCTCTTGCCCTTCTTTCCCACTGCTCTCTCCCACTGCTCTTTCCCACTGCTCTCTCCCACTGCTCTTTCCCACTGCTCTCTCCCACTGCTCTCTCCACTCTTGTTCACCTCAGTCTCGTTCACCTGCACTTCTCGTATCTCTCTCACCCACTCACTCACCCAGCGCTCCCTTGTCTCTATTGCTTCTAGCTTTCTCTCTCTCTCCCCTTCTCTTCCTTTGTTTACTTTTGCTTTTGCTTTTGCTTTTGCTTTTGCTTGGACTTTTGCATCTATCACTGCTCCGACTCTGGCATTTGCCTAAGCTTCCGCTTTTGCTCTTGCTTGTGCTCTGGCTTTTGTTTTCGCTTTTGCTTTTGTTTGGACTTTTGCTTTTGCTTCTGCTCCGGCGTTGCTTTTGCTTTGGCTTCGACATCTGCTTTTGCTTCTCCATCTGCCTTTGCTATTGCTTTTGCTTTTGCTTGGACTTGCGCATCTATCACTGCTCTGACTCTGGCATTTGCTTAGGCCTCGGCTTCTGCTCTTGCTTCTGCTCTTGCTTTATTACACCTCTCTAAAAAAAAGAAAAAAGAAAAAAGAAAAAAAGAAAAAAAGAAAAGAAAAAAAGAAAAGAAAAAAAGAAAAAAGAACAAGAACAAGAAAAATACAATTCCCCACCCCCCAAAAAATAAGAAGGTCAAAAGCCGAACTTTTTTTCCCTTGTGGTTTTTTCTGGGGTACCATGGTTTGCAACCTGCCCGCGGTGTACCCTGCACAGCCTTTACTTTCCCAAGTAGGACTGACTGATGGCAAGCCAACCACTTTCCTTTGTATGAATCGCTTCGAACCCCTTACCTTAGAATCAACAAAAGTCAATGTGAAAATAAAATAAAGAGTGGAGATTGAACTAAACGAAGAAAATGTGCAATAGCAAGAAAAGCCTTTGTCAGCAGCATAGTGGGGTTGCACTTGATGCTCGCACTGCATTGAAGGGACATATTGATCAACACTTATATATGGCCCGCGTGGTGCACAGCCTCAATGGTAATGCATTGGTCTTACAATCAAAGCGCCTGTGCAACATTCTCATCTATTCGCGATAAAAGAGCTCCATACAAGGTCACAAGAAGAATAAGAACTCGTCCCTGGCCGCATTGCTCTCTTACTATTATGGAGAGAGTGAAGACAGCGTGGGATTAACATCTTTGGAAGAGGATTCACATCACACATCACGATACTCTCAGCACATGTGCATGTCCATTCTCAAGGTTTGACTCAAAAGCCTGGCCAGGAGAGACGAGAACCCCGTCATCCACAAAGGTTGCCATTGTCCTACTCCCAGCTTCATTCTTGCCGCAGAATCGTACGTACCTTTGAAGTGGTCGGAGCCATGCAGTGAGGCCATGGCTATGGAAGGAGACTTTGCGAAATAAGATCATTATTTATGCAGACCTTGAAATAAATGTTCATGTCAATGAATGAAGATGTGTGTGACACAACGGAGATCAGCAGCCTTGCTTGTTTTAGCAAATTGCAGCCCGTTTCCGTAGCTCGTTACTGTTTCAATGACTTTCTTATACCGTTTCGGGGACGTACGGTAAACCTGGCCCATACAACAGCACTACAAACTAGCTCCTCAGACACGCCTTCCTGCATGTGCCCTGTTCAAGGCGTTTTCTATCCATGCGTCTCGATGTCCGCAGTTACTGCTGGTATTAATAAACACGCTCTCATTGAGGTCTTTTGTAATTTTTGCGTCATATTTATACTCTTTAAACCCATACGCGTAGGTAAACTCAACAGGAGATTATATATCATAAAAAATGAATGTATTATAGAGCTGAAAGAGAGAACGGAAAGGCTATGAAGGTAGCGGCGAAGATAGAATCCAGCTAGATGACAAAAAAATGGCTCTGTTCAATTCAGCTACATATTTCGGACGACATCAGATATGTTGATATGACCATCACTTAGATGTACTGGGACATCCAGAGGAAACCTAGTGATACATAAAGGCGGAATCAGTTAGTATAATCGAGATAAGATAAATGATAATTCGCGCTCAAGCGAAGCAAGCATACCATCGCCGTATCCCTGCTTCATGACGACCGAGCACATAACGACTTCAATGGGGCGCATGTCCTTCAGTGGGACCTTGCCCTTGCCAGTGGTCTGAATCAATCCGAGTTGAGAGCGGAGCTCCTCCTCAGAGACTGCGCCAGGGGCATCGATCTTGTTTCCAAGAATCGAAAACGGGATGCGCTCCAACTGCTGAATGGCGAGGAGGGCCTATATTTCAGCAAGTTAGCATCAAGAAGCCAGGGTTAGTTTCCAGTATTACATCGACTTTGGCGCGTAAACAAACAGTTTTTGAAGAGGCAAAATAGTCCTTACATCCAACTCAGCTTTAGACTCTGCGAAGTGCGCTTGATCCTGGGTATCGATCAAAAAGACAATGCCGTTGGCCTCGGCAAAGTAATCTTTGCAAATACGACGAGTTACGGAAATAGGAACAAGGTTGAAGAATGTCAGACTCGTATTGCCAAAGAAAGATCATCCGCAAGATGAAAGCTGTTATGCTGGAGATATGATCGATCTACTTTACCTTGTTGATGTCCACCTAAGTCGAACGTCGTGAACTTGACGTTGGCGATTGAGAGCTCCTCAGAGGCTGGAATAGAACAACAAAAGTGTTAATTATGGCCCATTAAACCGTTTGCCAACAATTCAGGAGACAGCCATTCAAGGGCTGCAGACCTATGGCAGTCGGTTGGTGCTCAGACGTTCCCCTGACGCGAATGAGATCTCGAGATAAGTGAAAACATGAGGTTGTCTTGCAGTTGCCCACCGTATTTGGTAAAAACTGGCTTGTGCTATACGCCTCCTTTGAGTCGCTATTAAGTGCAGACTATCTGACCAACGCTTGATAGCCAGCCAAGGCGCATTTATATTTATTCTTGCGAAACTTCATTCCTTCCTTGACATGATGAACAGCTCTATTCCCAAGGCATCTTCAGATCGCCAGCGGACATAGAGGCTGTCTGGAGCATATGGGGGTCAGCTTTAGCTCTGCCTTTTTCTTTCCGTTTTCATCGTCTTATCTTCGCTTTGTTATTCGTCTTTCCTTTGCACACAATTGTCTTTAAGGCTCATCGACGATAGCAAGCAAGAGAGCAAACACGTAAACAATCACGTCAAAGCAATGTAAGTGACGACGTCCCCACTATTTCCTTCTCGATCTTTACGCCTATCCACTTTATTTCTCGCACACCACTCCACTTCGCACATACATTTCAACCACACACACGCACGCACACATATATACGCGCACACACATGCATTCTGAAAGGGTAGCAACGGCAGACCACGTCCACGCTCGTGCACCCTGGGCAATGACAAGGCCACGCCATGTTAGCTTAGAGTCTGACCACGCCGCGGCTACACGGCAGACAAGTACCCGGAAAGTGGGTGACGTAAGGGACTTTGTGCGGAAAAAAAAAAAAATCCGCTATCGTTTTGTTGTAGACGACGTTGGCGAGGAGAGGACGTCAAAGCTTTGTTGTAAACGGCATTGGGGCTCTTGATGACAAACACCCCCACAACTGAAATGTCGGCGCTTTGTTTTAGACAGCGCTGCGTTTCGAAGACAATGGCGTTTTGTTTTAGACAACGCTACATTTTCAACCACGACGGGCCATTTGCTCAACGTTCTTGTGTAGTGACAAGCAGCGCTGGCGTCCTCTGGTTCCGAGAGCAAGATAGCTCGGTTAGATCTAGTCTATCTGACCCAGCTGCCAATCAAAAAAAAAAAAAGCTAATACGATTAGTGATTATATCTGGATGATTTTAACAGCGCAAGGGCAAAGTGGCGCCGACAACGTGACATCAGCAGTATCAAGGCGCCGTCTTATTAACTGTGCCAAGGAAGTAGCTTAAATTCTCATATCTTTGTTGAGCTTGCTGTACTTTACATACTACATGGCAGCAGAAAATCCCATTTTGTCAGAGGAGGTTTATTAAGGACAATAGATAAAAATGAGGGAGCAGATGTATGAAACATGATGGAATGCTTGAGATGGAATAGGTAAACGAATTAAAGATATATAAAGTCATCCGTCTCTCAAGCTTGCATGGCACTCGGATCCATGCCTGTTTCTACAGGTGCAGGTGCCCCTGCAATTTGCTGCTGTTGTTGTTGGTCGTGCTGTTGTTGTTGGATAAGCTCCTGCTGATCACTGTTCTCCAAGGGCATGATTCGTCCATCATCCGTATGGAAGATCTGGTCAAAGTCCGACATCAGTAGCGCAAACACGCCTGCAGGAATGCCCAGTGTCGGTGAAAACACGATCCCGACGTTCCGTGCAGTCATCTTGTTCACGTCCGCATTATCGACAATCTCGATAAGATGCGCAGTCAGCGCGCGCAAGAGTGTGTAATTGGCCTCAGGAAGGGTGGCCACCAGGCGCGTCAGTTCGTCCACACGATCCGCTCGATTTGCCAATTCTAATGTACAAGACACAAATAAAAATGAAAATTTTAGTGAACCACGTCCACTCCTCACTGTCCGCTGTTCTGTGCAGATTTACTTGGCGAATCAGAAAGAACATACCAATGACCTGAAGAAAGTCCTTGTGCAGTTCCCGTGTCAGCACAGACGAAGGCAAGTCTCGAAGGAACAGCTTCAGCAATCCAGCGACGGCATGAATGTCATAATATTCATCTTCCTGTAATAGAGGCACATCGCCTTCCTGGTTAAAGCGTTCCTTGAGACTCTTGATCATAGCAGCTGATCCATTCAGACGATAGATGCCCTCCTCGAATTTGGCCTTGTGCGCGTTCAAGTACTCAATGCAACGGTAAACCACCGCTGGGAGTTCGTGTCCTTGCTGTACCTGTGCTTGCTCAATCGCCTGTTCAAGACTGACTCCAAAGACCTGGCGGGCCGGCGCTAGAGGGGCTGGAGAACCTGCTCCTGCAGCTTGGGCCAGCGATGGCATGTTTGAGTTACTGTTATTATTGGTACCTCCACCGCTATTACCCTTGCGGAGAAAATTTCCCAGTCTTGATGAATCTTGTGGTAGTGGTGGAGACCCTGAAGATTGTTGAGCGCCTTGCTGACCGACGGCGGAAGGTACCTGTGGGGGCTCTTCTTTCACTGCCTTCTTCGGCCAGAATGTCATCCTCGACTTTTGCTTCTTCTCTGCTGTGTCGGTCGCCAGCAATGGCGACGCTACCTGGCTATCTGGCGAGGGACGATAATTTGTCTAAAATGTGACAGAAAGGAAGTTAATCATCTGTCATGCAACATGCTACATTATCAAAGTATGATATAAACTCGTAAATTACATCTTCTTGTGGGAGAGATTGAGAAGATGGGTTCCTCGGGAGTTGTGGCGGAGGGTTATTGCCTTTTCCGCTGGGCGAGTATGGGCCCTCATTCGATTGTCGTTCTGCAGAATGCCATTCGTCCAGGTTGGCGACCTGCATCGTCGGCGACTGGGGCATGCCTCCGCTTCGGCCTTGACTGAGCAATTGGGGATTTGACTGAGACGTGGGGATCGAGCGCTGCTGCCTCTCGTATGCCTCTTGGTTCAGCAACAATTTTTCGTTGCCCTTCACAGATTGCAGGTCTTTGATGGGTGTGGCGCCCAGCTTCTGGATTTCTGGTATCTTCCGACTAGACTTCTCTCGTTCACTTGCCTCAGGGGTTTCCGCGGGGTCCTTGCCCACATAGAGCATTAATGCGTCAATCCAGCCGTCTCGTTCCTGATCAGTCTCTGCGCAGAGGACATGGCGGATAACGCTGTTAGGATTCTTCTTGGCATCCATCACGGTCTGTCCCTTTTTAGGCTCCAAAATGAGGAAAGCGTGTCTATAAGAGTTGGGATCCACCACACCATCCTTATTGGCGTCTCCAGAACCATCCTGAGACTTGTCCTGTGATTGCTGGCGACCGATCTGGGCATTGATTAAAGCAATAGATCCCAGGTGATGGCCATCCTTCTGCTCGTACAAAGAGATATGCGCGAATTGAGTTAGCTTGTCGAGTATGACTTCCATGACGATTGGAACATCTGAAAAAACAGGTCCGCTTACACTATCAAAATACTCCAAGACGGGTCCGCGGAGCATAAAGTACCGGGTCTTCCATCCACCAAAGTTTTTGCCACGCTTGGTAAGGTAGCCCTCCTTCCAGCCAGGACCCTTGCCCTCATGTCGCTTTTCGCGCTCAACCACATTGGTGCTGAGGAACTCGCAAAGATCACGTGTGTCCTTGATGCGGAGAGATGTTAGTTGCTGCAAATACTGCTCGAGCGCCACCTTGCGTGCGTCCACCTTGGACGGCGCATGGGTGCTGAAAAGACTCTTGTCGGGCAGCTTTGGCAGCGAGTTAACAATGTTTCTCGTTTGAGTGATCCGAAGCTGTGATGGCAGAAGAAAAAAGGTGAATTTCAGGTCTACTTGCACTCTCAGCAAATACAATGCTTAAGGCTGGCGTCGCATACCTTGGAGTCCAAGTTTACAAAATCAGCGTATTGTTTCTCCACTCGCCAAAGCTCGTCCTCTTCTTTGTGCGGAAACATCTTGTCTTCATCCTCCCCTTGAACTTCTTGGCCGAGGGATATTAAGAAGGTCAGCTGCTCTCGCCCTTTGTCGTTCGTACTGATACTGCTGCCTACGACAAGAACCGATACAAACTCCAGACTGTCTGCAAACATGCTGAATGCCTGTTGGTGAATTGTTGGTACAGAACGAGAGTGACTCGTTGGTGATGGCACATTTGTGAGGGTGTTCGTTAGGGATGAATTGGCTGATGGTGTGGGTGAAGCTACACGACCTCGGCTGATATCGCTGTTCTGCGATGGATCGGTATACTGCTGAGAGTCGTATCGTTTGGGAGGAATGGGTGCCCCATGTCCGCTGGTCGAATCATCGTCATCTCGCTCACGGGATGTCGTCCGTATGGTAATCTTTGGATAATCATCGAATGTTTGCAGCGTGGACTCACGCTTTTTGCTTCGCAGGTCAGATGGGAGCGAAAGCTGACTGCTGTTGTTCTCCATGGTATCCGCAAGCGAGCTGTGCTCATAGCCGTCGGTGGACACGCGACCGAAGTCAATGCTATCACTGGTTGGCGCTTGTGGTTCATGGATGTTGATGGGAGCAGAAACATTGGAGCGATTGACTCCTCCATGCACAGGATTCATGACCACTCTTCCGCTATGACCTATTCGCAATCGCATAATAGAAATGGGTTAGATGTTTTTGCTCGCCAGCAAACATGTGCAAAGCACACCCGTACTTGCACGCACGCATCATTCACGACTATCTCATACCTTGCAGCTGTCCCAAGAGCTGGCTCTGGATCTCAATCTGGTTCTGAATGGTCTCCATGGCAACAGCCTGGCCCAATGCAGCTGCGTGACCTTGTGAATCGCCTCCAATGCTAATAGGAGCGGAAACATTTCTGCGATTGGGGTTGCCCAATTTGCTCATGTATACTCTAAACTTTTCGGCATCTTGGTCAATGATGGCAGCAATCGGGGAAGCGGGGGTTGATGATGTGTTCATGCCCATTGAAAGAACTGGGCTGCTTGAGTCCTGTGCTCCCTGTGCCTGAGAGATCATTGCTGTTGGAATGGTCGGGATCTGCGCTGAGATTGTTTTGCGAGTAGCTGTAGAATAGTAAGGGGATTTGGGTGGCTGCGCTGGGTCATAATCGGCTGACGGTTCGTATGTATTGGTCGAGCGCATCGAGATCTTGGAGGCCGACATAACTTGCGAGTCCTGCTCCTGCAATCCTGGCTGCATGGCCCCTTGTGAAAGAGGCGAGGGCTGTTCCGCGGCGTACTTGGCGGCTGGACCCTTTCTGCGCTGTCCCTGCGATGCTTGATAGGTTTCATCCTCGTTGTCCGATGCTGGAGGCGAGGAGGCGTTGTCACCAACATCTCTGCGCTCTCTTCTGGGTGATCGGGGCGGCGGAAGTGGCATGTTCGATGCAAGGGGCCCAAGGGACAAATTGCCTGAAATATTTCGAGCAGTGGTTGGGCTCCCCGAAACCGTTGGAGATGGAATTTGCCCTATTGTACGACGGACATGTAAGAAAATCAACAGATTAGATAATCATACTAATACCCTGCTAGGGTCTATTGGCGTGTCCCCTGTCGGCTTAGTTCGGCCCGTTTCTTCTCCTCATTTTTCTCTTTCTTTGAACGACTTTGTGCGATACCGCTCAGACCAGCCAGCCTTTACAACGCCTTCTGGCCGGTGGATTAGCCATTTCCAGGGCAATGAGGGCCACGAACATGTGTTGTGGTACAGACAAATATTGTACATGAACCTTACCTGTCTGAGATGGCACAGAATTAGAACGCGCAGGGATTGCGCGCCCATCTCGCTCGAGAGTAACAGTGGGTGAAGTTGAGGGTGCTTGCTGCTGGACACGACTGCCAACAGTGGCGACCTGGATTTCAGGGTCAAAACTCGACTGAGATCCCACCTCGTCCTCCTGCGAGATGGAAGGACTACCCTCTTCCGTCTGACTATCCTTTCCATCGTCGTAGTTGGAGTCGCCGTCACAATTCGAAGAAGGTGACAATGGAACGGCTGGTGTCTGCTGGGTCGCTTTGGATGTGTGCACATCTTGTCCGGACTTTTGGTAATGAAGAGAGGGCTGCTCCTGCTGAGACGGACGCGAGTCTGCGGCTGACGCTGATGAGGAAGAGGACACCGAGGCCAGCTTGGTGTCCTTGCCTTCATTGGCATCTGTCGTGGGCTCTGAAGCAGCAGATGATGTGGAGTCGTTTTCATGCGCCTTTTTTCCCAGAGCGCGTTTTGATTGCTGCTGGTGGTCATTGACCTGGGCAAGAGTCGTGAGGTGAATTCCGTTGTTCTTGAAATTTTCGTTTTCGGCGGCGAGGTGTCGAAGAAGATCGCGTTCGGCGGTGACTTTGGCGATATCCTTTTGCAGATTCTGGATGATGATACGCTGCTTCTCGATAATCTTCCAGAGCTGGTCGTTCTGGGACCGCAGAGAGTTGCGCTCCGTCGTGACCTGCTGAAACGCAGCCTCAGCGCTTTGGTCTGGCGTCTGTCCTTGGGACAGCGAGTGGTCCGACCGTGTACTTTGAGACATCAGGGCGGAAGCGGAGGCGGACCGCTAAAAGGAGGGGAAACTGGATATGGAGAATGATGGATAGGAAAAATCAGTGTCAAGAACGGCTACGTAACCAGAGGAGAAAGAACAATTGGTGAGGATGGAGGGAAGTGCACACTAGGGACAGGTGCGACAGAAGAGGAAGAGGAAGACAGTAAGCAGGGTAACAGCACCGCCGTGAAGTATGCTATCACGTTTCTAAGAATTAGACAACCACAAACAGACTCAAGGCAGACGAATGAGCACTGGCTCCGTCTCTTCCCTCATGAGCCCTCGGACGGGCATGATTGACATCAAGGAGACACCCCAAGAGTGATTGCAGCCAAGTGAGATTGAAAGATGAGGAGAGATAGAGAGGATGAATATAGAACCGTCGAGTTGAAGTCGCAGATTGTATCTCCAACCTGACGATCTGCTGTCGATGCTGATGAGCTGTCCTTTGTTGCAAGCCGTACCTGATGACAGTAGGGTGAGAGATGGTGGAGCTGGAGAGGAAAACTAGCAGAGTGGAGGATGTTCGATTGCTAGACAGCTGCAGGTGTTCGAAGCACTTGCTAGTGGTATGCGTATTGTCTGAAGATGATGATGTGCGGCGCGGATGATGTGTAGATGAGAGCGGTGGCGGTAGTGGTGATGGCGGCGATGGCGGGATAATAAGAGACGTCAAGGGAAGGAAGGGAAAAGGAGGATGAAGGCGGTGTGGAGGAGGATAAGAGGGAAGAGAGGGGAAGAGAATGAGAGATGTGGGAGAAACGATGATGATGAACAGCAGTGAGCACTGTTCTCCGTTCTGTTCTGTTCGCGATAATAATAATATAGTTTTATATTTCAATTGAAAAGATGCTATCCGTGGGTCATTCAACTCGAGCTGCCCGTTTCGACGCTTTATTGGGCGGCAACTGTTTCTCTATAATTTACAAACCAGCCTCATTCTTCGCGACAGCTGGATGTATTCCGCGGAAAAGTATGGGCCAATTGACATCTATCCATTGCTTGCTGGAGGAGAGGGACAGCTCCAGTTTTTTCCAACCTGCCGATGCAGCTAGCTCTGCTCATTGTTCATATTGCTCGCGCCATCTTTTTGTGCCTGAAAGGCTCTCGCTCCTCCCCATACTTTGAAGACATCTTTTTAAGTGTTCTCCCCACATTTCCTTTCCTTTTTTTTTTCTTTTTGGTGGCGTGTCTTATTTCACAGAACCAGAGGCCATGTGACTGCCATCCAGAAACCGCGCAAGTGCCCCAGACGCACCCTTTGTCATTCATTCCGCTCCTTCTCCCTCGCTCCTTCTGCTCGTCGAACCATCCTTTGCGCCGCAGTACACCAGCAATACATCTACTACTTTGAACCACAGCAGTTGACTAGCAACCGTTCTCAAGCTGTAAAAAAAGTCGCCATCTCTCAGCATGCAAGACGCGACGAACGATGTCCCCCTGACGCAAGAGGAAAGAGAGCGAGTAAGGATATGCATTAAACCGGAATGTTGGAGCCCTTGACCAAACATGCCTGAAATCGATACAACCCTCAATTCCAGAGGCCTAACGCTGCATAATGATCCTTCTAGATCCGTCTGAAACGTCTGGAAAAACTACAGGGCGCCTATGACACTCAACAGACACAGGAGGCCCAGAAGCCAACAGCTTCGACGGCCGCCTCGACTTCGTCCCCTAAACCTACTTCGAACTCGTCCTCCACTCCGCCTGTTGCTGCACCGCGTCCGGAAACGCCAGTGAAACTTATAAATATCACCAAGGCGGCACCAGCCTCGCCAAACGTACGTAACATCGGGTGAATTGACGGTGAACACCCGATTCACCTCCATTTTGAAGTACTGAACACACCACTCCTTGTTCCATTTTAGGCCGCGAGCTCCTCCACACCCAAGCAGCCAGCATTGACATTTGAAGCATGGCAGAATGAGGCACTTTCCCGCATTCTTCTTGTCTCCTTGGTATGTAGCATATCTGTCATCACCCTCTGATGAAGCTTTCGCATTGGATCCATAGGCGACTAACCGCGCCTTTCCTTCACGCTTCGTAGAACGAGAACGCACCTGCTCCCATGCTTTTCTTATCCAGTCTTGCACAAGAGTTAAAGGAAGAGAAAGGTACTTGTGTAGCTTCAAGACATTGGAGCTGTAAATGCTTAAAAATCTGCGCGTGAATGCTAACTACAGTGTTCGCCGAAACAATGCAATTAGAACCATTGGCTATTAGCCAAGCGTCTTTAGATCGTGTACTCGTTGAGCGCATGTCGGTCGATCCGAACGAAGAATCCAACGCGCATCTCTTGGGACGCGGACAACTCCAATTTTCTCTGTTCGACTATCTGCTAGATTGCTGGAAGCGCTTGGAAACCGTCAAGCTGCAGACATCGCGAGCAAAAGTATGTATATCGTGTCACATTTAACCTTGTTGTGTGCATTGTAAACATCGCTCCCAGCGCTTATCAGATGCGCCGCTGTTTAACGCGAAGCAATTTTTATTAATAGACCCTTCCCGCTAATGTCATTGAAGAGCGAGTCCGATCACTGAACGCTTCAAAAAGCCTGCTTGTTTCCTATGCTGGCCTTGTTCTCCAAATGCCAGACATGTTTCCTCAGATCCAAAGGTATTTTTTGCGCTGTCATACTTTATCTCCAAACAGGTCTTACAGCTCTCTTTATTCAAATCCTGATTCTACTAGCACTTATACTATTTCAACTACAGTACAATGCAATTAGGAGCATCTCAGTTGGTGGAAAGACTTTTTGCAGATCAGGATACACCTAGTAGCGTCCCAACCGAGTTTTTGAAGGATCTTTCGGTTCGTTTTAAGGATGACGGCCTGGAAAACATCATTCAGCCTTTAGTAACAGGAATCGCGGCGCGTGCAAGAGCTGCCACTATTTTGACAGACTGGAGGACGCCATTTCGCGCCCTTCTTATGTTGATTGAGGTACCAGCCATCGCTGCCGTCATCCCTCATATCGCCACATGGAACCCGGCCAATGCAACCGCTCGTCAGATTGAAATCGTATCTGCTCTCGGCCCGTTCTTCAAGACTTCCGGATTCTGTTCAGATGATGTAAATTGGCCTCTATCAGCGTCAACACTGGTGCCTAGCTCTATTTTGATATGTATCCCAACTGATCATTATGCATCTCTCAATAACTAGCCATCGGTTGCGGAGCTATTTGGAACAGGGTTGAAGAGGAACAAGGCAGATTCAGCTGGCGCCTTTGCTTCTATTCGAGGAACAGTGCGTGGCATACACACCCTTCTCTTTCAAATTGTGAACGGCATCATCAGGTCAGAACCAGAGGCAAAGGAGAAGATGCTGAATTATCTCTATTCTGTTTTGGGCAAGAACGAGCGTCGTGCACAGATGCAAGTCGACAGGGCAACCGTTTCAGGAGACGGCTTCATCTACAACATCACGGAAGTCTTAATGCAGTTTTGTGACCCCTTCATGGACAGCAGCCACTCCAAGGTTGACAAGATCTCGCATACGTTTTTCAAAGGAAAATCAAAGATCGACGTTACTAAGGAGACGAGGATATGTGCGTCAAAGGAGTTGGTTGAAGAATACTCGGCCAATGCCGCACTAGAAACCACCAACTTTATCACGGATATTTTTTTTCTTACGTTGGGTTTCCACCATATTGGTATTTCCAGGATGTATGTGGATTACAAACGCTTCATGAAGGACTTTTACGAGGTCAGGGATCAGTACGATCGCCTCAAGGAGCAAGAGAGTTCAGGACAGATTTCACCGGAGAATGCACTTTTGGTCAAGCGTTATGAGACTCAGCTAGAGAAGATGCTGACATTCCGTCTGTCATTGGAATCTCAAATCATGGATCCGCTCATCTTGAGCCACTCTTTCCAGTTCTATAACCTTGTGATGGCCTGGCTGCTGAGGATAGTCGATCCTGCCCATGCCTATCCGCGCAATCCGATTAAGTTACCTCTTCCAGAGAAACCTGCAGCCGATTTTGCGATCCTGCCTGAATATATTGTCGAGGACATTGTCGAGTACTTCCTCTTTGTGTTACGCCATTCCCCCGAGACGATTGGCTCCTCGACGTTGGATGAGCTGATCACCTTCACAATGGTGTTCTTGATCACCCCTGGATATATCAAGAACCCATATCTGAAAGCAAAGCTGGCCGAGGTAATACCATAACTCCTTGATATCGACATGATTTCATTGCGTTTATACCATCTTCGACTTCTAATGAAAGTTTTTGTGTCATCCAATAGATATTGTTCTATATGACCCTTCCTTACCGCGGGCAGAGAAACGATGATACACTGGGCATCAAGCTGAACACGCACCCTGTTGCTCTACAGTGCCTTATTCCTGCCATCATGAACTTTTATGTCGAGGTTGAGAATACTGGTCGCAGTTCCCAGTTCTATGACAAGTTCAACATCCGATATAACATCTCACAGATTCTCAAGTTTGTCTGGAAAAACCCAATCCATCGTAACATGGTTAAGGCAGAGAGCCAGTACGTATCATCATTCATCATCAATGTTAAACTACATGTAATGAATATTCGCTGACGCTAACATACTCTGGCTCTCCTGTCTTCTTGGCTGACAGGAAATCCGAGTCATTTGTCCGCTTTGTCAATCTGTTAATGAACGACACCACATACTTGCTGGATGAGGGTCTGACAAAGTTGGGAGAGATCCGTGGAATTGAGGTCGAGATGGACGACAAGACGAGATGGGAAGCCCAGACGCCCCAATACCGACAGGAGCGCGATGGTGTACTTAGGACAGCGCAGCGCCAGGCGTCATCATACATTGCCTTGGGCAATGAGACCGTCAACATGCTGTCGTACTTGACTGAAGTGATCAAGGAACCTTTCCTGACAGCCGAGATTGTGGATCGCCTGGCCACCATGTTAGACTACAATCTGGTTATCCTTGTCGGCGAGAAGATGTCAACCCTCAAGGTACCAACTGTTTTTCGCTGTTGGCCTGAGAATACCAATCGAATGGCAACTTATCATACATATTGCTTGTACTGAAAAAAGGTCAAGAATCCAGACCAGTACCGCTTCCAGCCTCGAATTCTCTTGTCAGATATTGTTGCTATCTATCTGAACCTCGACTGTCCAGCATTCATTTCAGCGCTGGCCCGCGATGACCGAAGTTACAGCGCTAGCATATTCCACAAGGCCAGTCGTATCTTGGAAGGACGCAACCTCAAGAGTGCTGATGAGATTGCGAAGCTTAAGCGGCTTGTTCTGAAGGTCGAGGATGTCCGGCAGCAGGGAGCAGAGGATGAGGAGGAATTGGGTGAAATCCCTGAGGAATTCCTGGGTAAGCGAACTGTTCTCGATATGCACCAACACTAACCGCACTCAAATGATCAAGCAAAATGGCAGCTATTATAATCACCATTTTGCATTTTGCTTTATCGGGACAAAAAAAAATAGATCCTCTTCTTTACAGTCTTATGGAAGACCCTGTGCTCCTTCCGACGTCCAATATCTCAATTGATCGAAGTACGATTAAGTCGCACTTGTTGTCAGACACAACTGATCCCTTCAACCGTATGCCCCTCAAGATCGGAGATGTCATTGACAGTAAGTGGGAATATACGCTACTCTTTGCTATTTGCGGTTGTAACAGCACCATTGCGAACAATGTAGAGTTTTGTCCGATGACGGGCTCTAACTTGGTGTCGTTCTCTGAACGTTTTTTCTTCTAGATGTGGAACTCCGTGAAAAGATCCAAGCGTGGAAGACGTCTCAAAGGTCCAAGAAGCATCAACAACAGGCCGAACCTATGGAAACAGATTGACTCGGTCCGAGAAAATGTATCAAAGCATTAACATAGTGCGATAACGGCGTTTGACACCATGAGCGAATTTGTAGAACGCTAGAGTCCACATGGAGCAAATGGAAAAGAAGACTTTGAAATAAATACTTTCAAACATGCAATTTATTCCGCGGCCTGTCATGTAGACTTGTCTAATAATATGTCCTTGCGCCCAACGTTCCCCATGCCACTGCAGCTTTTGCCATCCTGTTATCTTACAAGAACCTCTTGTTGGTAGTCTTGCGGTCCTCGGCCTTAATACCCTTTGATTTTTGGTAGGGAATGAAGATCATATTCGGGGGCAAGGACGACTTGTTCTTCTCGAACCATTCTGCGACGACATGTCCGTTTGGATTCTCGGGGAGAGCATTGGCCTCCTCATCGAGCCTCTGGAGCGTGGACATGATATCCTTGAGAGTGTGGATCGAAGCGAGGTCCTTGCTGGGGATTTCCTGTCCTGTCGAGACAACACATGCCTTCAAGACCTGTTTTAAGTTAATGGTTGTTGATTTTGTTGAGTTGTTGAGTTTCAGTCGGTATTTCAGCGGTTCGATCCAATATCCCGCAGGGTCCGAAGCGTTTAGAATATGGAAAAGGGAAGATCGTTAGTCATGACTTCCTTGAGATTCTTTTGAATACATCCCATGTTGATATGGGCCTCAGACACTTGCCTGGAACTTGGTCATGGGATCGTCCAAACGGATCTTGTTGAGGTAAAGCGTAGATGCAGTGTCAACAAAGGGTGCAGCTGCAGATCGGATTGATGCCTCCAGCTGCTCTGGCGTCAAAGACTGGCGCTCACTCTTCCAACTAAAGAAAAACAAACGATATAAGTACTCTATGATCGAGACAGCATGCAGCACGACATGACGATTTCAAATAACATATGCAAGGCAGTTCCGGTTCTTGTGTACCTAGGGATCTCCTCCTCTTCCTCTTCTTCAATCTCAACGTTCAAATCCTGGGCAACGTCTGTTGCCGCTGCTGTTGATGGTTGTGCTGGTGTCTCGGAGCCTGGCTTTGCAAATGGGTTGAGCCTTGAGAGGAAGCCGCGCTTTTCCTCGGCGAGAGTGCGGGCTGTATGGAGGGATGCCGAAGGCACGACGAGTGCAAGGCGAGAAACGCCCATGCGGGCAGAGACGGTGGTGGTGCCCCTGGCGAAAATGCCGACTAATGACCGCGAGCGCTGCATTTGAGCTGTGTTCCTTGTCGACGAGCTCGGGCTGTCCTTCTTTCTTGGGTTGGTTGAGAATGGATGAACAAGTGGATGGCAAAGGTGCTTTCGGCTCCGGCGTTCGAGTAGTTTCGCTCCCGTGTTGTGTTGCTGCTTTTGCGGGATCAGCTCTGCACTCCAATAAAGTAGGGCTGGTGGGTCCAATTGGACGTGGCTTGATTGTTTACTTCTCAGATATTGCCAGTACCTTTTTTTTTTTTTTTTTTTTTATGCCTGGGAGCACCAACACACACTCGCACTCGACAACTCGCATCCTCCATCCTCCTCCTTTTTCCCTACCTCCTCTCCATCTTACTTTACTCTCATCACATTCAGAGATGCCCGCCGCAACAAGAGGTATTGCGGAAGGAAAATGCACAGAAACCAACAGTTCGAGAATACCTACGACTTTTTCAGTTTATCAGCTCCAGACAATAACATCAAGTGATTCTCTCGTTATCTCCCTATAGCCTCCGCAAAGGCGGCAGCTACAAAGCCCAGCACTGCTGCGAAGCCCGCCGCGACTTCAACAGCCAGCAAGCGCAAGGCCACCGCCCCAGCTGCGAAGGAGTCGCCCGCCAAGAAGGTTGCTGTGACACCCACAAAGAAGGAGACCAAGACCAAGGCAGCCGCAGCCCCTGTTCCTGCAGCTGCCAAGAAGGCCACCGTCGCCGCAGAAAAGAAGTCTGTCGCTGAGAAGAAGAAGCCCGCCGAGAAGAAGGCTGTCAATCAAAAGAAGGCTGTCGATCAAAAGAAGGCTGTCGATCAAAAGAAGGAGGAAGTTACCGAGAAGAAGAAGCCTGTGGAGAAGAAGGTCGTGGAGAAGAAGCCTGTAGAGAAGAAGGTCGTGGAGAAGAAGACGCCCGCGCCCAAGAAAACTCCCGCCGTACAAAAGTCCAAGGTTGTCGAGGCGCCAGTAGAGAAGCAGGAGGAGAGCGCAGGCGAGGATGAGGACGGAGAGGACGAGGAGCAGCTGATGGACGATAAGACTTTGCTGAAGGATATCGACTCGAGCGCGGACGAGGATAGCTCAGATGAGGAAGATCAAGAGGACAGGGCCGCGATGAAGGAGGATACATTTGCGAGCATGAAAGATGAGATTTCACTAAACCCCAAGGCTGCAGCAACACTCAGGAAAAAGCTCGGAGCCATGGGACAGCCCAAGGTACGCTGAGGACAACACCTATATCATCCTAAGGAAGACGTTTGGCATCTTGAAACATTGGCATACTGACATATACATTGTGATTGCTTCGCGGAATAATAGGACAAGGATGCCACAGGAGTCGTTTACTTGGGTCGCATCCCCCACGGATTTTATGAAGATCAGATGAAGGCCTACTTCTCTCAGTTCGGCACAGTTCTTCGCCTGCGCCTCTCCCGCAACAAGAAGACCGGAAAATCCAAGCACTACGCCTTCATTGAGTTTGCCTCTCAGGAGGTTGCCGAGATCGTGGCCGACACCATGAACAACTATCTGCTCTTTGGTCATCAATTGAAGTGCAAGGCCCTCCAGCCATCGCAGATCCATCCAGCCATGTTCTTGGGAGCCAACAAGAAATTCAAGGCAATTCCCTGGCTTAAGATCTCGAAGGAGAAACATAATGCGGAGAAGAACAACGTCCAGATGAAGCAGATCAAGAAGAAGCTTTTGAAAAACGAGGCCGCCAAGCGAGCCAAGCTCGCAGAGTTGGGTATTGAGTACGAGTTCCCGGGATATAAGGCATCGGTCCAGGAGAAGCCCAAACATACCAAGTTTTAAGAGAAAGAAGAAGAGGAAGGGTTGTTTCTTTGCCTAATATACACATGTCGTTATTTCTTTTACCATTGCATCTTTTGTTCACAATAAACCACCCACAAGCATCCACACAAAGCTTTCGTTGCTCTGTTTTTCTCGTCTTTTAATCATGTTGATAATCGTATTTATTCTCTTGTATCGTATTGTATTGTATTTGCATTATGATATGTAGTATTATCTGATTAGTATCGTCTTCTATCTGTAGAATTAGGCTGTAAAAGAATATAGAAAGGCATTGGAAACAGACATATTAGGGTGTAAAACGAAAGAGCAACAAAAGGAAGCAAACAGCAAAAATAGGAACTTCTATGGATAATTAGCAATAAAAGAAAGGCATTCAGTTCGTTTCGTGTCCAGACGTAATCCGTCATCTCTAGAGTGTTGTCGTTTCTTTTTTTTTCTTTTTTTTTTTCTTCATCACGCCGCCGCCGAGACCATGGAGTCCGATCGCGAACGTGGGTGGATCCAGACATGGGCATCCAACTGCCCGATCACCGTGCCATGTCTGGACCGGATATCGTACACCGAGGGCTCCAGTCGCCATCCTTCCTTGTACCCAACATTTGCAGCCCTAGAATGGCCCTCGCCAACATAACCGCCTCTACGCTGCGCTCCTCCTGCAGCAGAGCTCATACCACCCGGATAATGTCTCCCCGGCATAGGCAAAGCGCTCGACGCCGCCGCTGATGCTGCTTGTGGACCCATAACCGCGGTCTTGTGCATGATCCGACTCAAGACCTTGTGCAGCGGTAACTTTGCGGACCCGAGTTCAATCATGGTCTGTCGCTTGCTATTCAACTTCCACACCTCGACCGAGATGTTCTCGACCATGCACGCGGCCATCACCTCGGGCGTCAACTGCAACTGGCAATCGACCTTGAAGTTAAAATGCTGCGGATGCACCCTGCTCCCGCGCGCATGTCGCCTCCTCGATTTCTCTGCCCGCTGCTGATGTGGCGATTGCTGATTCTGCGATCTCTGACTCTGATGTCGCTTCGCCTGTTGCTGATCCTCACGATGATGGCGGTACGATCGATGGGGACGCTTCTGAAGCCTTGACGTGCGTCCACTCATATCCACGCCACCGCCAGCACCATATCCATACCCGTACTCGTCTTCCTCAGTGCTACCAGACGAGGAGCTGTTCCCAGTGCTGATCCTGCTGCTACCGCTGCTGGAAGAGATGTACTCCGGAACGAGGAGTCCAGACATGCTACGATTCGGGAACAGATCCGGGATGTAATTCAGCATATCCCCGGCCTTGGGGTTCATCCTAAGCTGCAATCGATCGTTCGAGCTCAAGCGTCGACGGCTTCTCCGACTGGATCGTGAGCCACGGCCCCGCGAGGACGGTGGTGGTGGAGGGTACGACTTTGACTTTCGTGGAGACCGCTGCTGACCCGCCGACTGGTTCTGATGGTACTGAGACCAGTTACTGCCTTGCTGCTGGCGCTGTCGCTCGGATGTGTACGGCGATGGTTGCGCTTGCGAAGAGGGATGCTGGTCCAGCAACGGAAATCTCTCACGTGCATATCCCGAGGACTGACCTACATCCGCACCAGAAGGATCGGGTTCAAAGGACTGGTACTGAGGACGCATCGACTCTTCCTGGACCATGCGAAGTCGTGCTAGATCCGAACGCGAAGAGAGCTTCTCAAATTGAATCGGTCTCGCAGATCGCCTCAGCGGTCGGGGCGTCGACATCGTGGATGCAGAAACTGGTGTCGGATCCGCCCATGGTTGTCGTTGATGCTGCGGTTGCTGCTGGTACTCTTGCTGCCTGGTGCTGCGACCACGTCGCTCCTGTGGGTACTGCGAAGAGGGTCCTGGTTGACCTTGTTGCATGCTGTACTCAGCGTCAGGGGGACGACTTTGTCGGGGCTGGAATGCACGTGGGGTCTCAGAGCGGTCTCGGTCTCGGTCTCGGTCTCTTCTGTCTGAAGCAGATGATGTAGGGTCGCGAGATGAGCCGCTCAAAGGCATAGATGAGTGCTTTTTTTGTTTCGAGCCCTTGAGCAAACCACGGGTGGTCAAATATGCGGTTGGAATACTCATTTCGAGGCTGAACCTCGACTTGGCAGGCCAGTAGGGGAGAACCTCGTGATAAGGCATAATGAACCGGTCGTCATCGAGGTCATCTCGCATAGCTGAGGATCGGATATTTCGTGCAGACATATTCTGCACCTCTTCGGGATCCAATGCAAGACTAGTTCTCATACCTATGTCGTATAGTCAAAGGAGATATTAGTTATTATGTCGCTAGTGATAAACATAGCAATTGTAAACTGAAGGCGGAGCACGCCTGCTGAGTCTCTTACCGTGCAAAAGATCTTGTCCCCGAGCAAGGACCGAGTCGAGGCGTCCAATAGCTGCTGCAGTCGCACCAGCTCGTGGCCTGGATCGCCCGCCTTGACTGTACGCATTCGTATCATCATCTACAGATGACGGCGGGACCTCTTGTCTGTGATGATGACGGTGGTGATGCTGCTGCTGCTGCTGTTGCTGGTGATGGTGACGGTAGTTCTGAGGAAATGGACCGCCCGATGTTCCAACACCTGGTACAGGAATCCTCGCATTAGGGCGACGGTCCTGCGCTCTGGCTTCTTCAATAGTAGAGTCCTGGCGATCATGGTACCTGCCCGCGTGTGTGAGACGTTCTCTGGAGGGCCGATACAGATCTTCCCGAGTTCGATAGTCGCCTCGGGGAAAGGGCGGACCAGCGGCAACGCTTGTATGTGGACGCGGGAGGACCCTGCGCTGATCTCCCTGAGCCTGCAGCGGGTCTTCATCATACCGCATCGAAATCCGATGTCCAAAACTATCGCGATCGGCTGGGCGTCCCTGTATTGGAGGTGGAGGCCCCTGGGCTGGATGTCCTCGTTCTACGTGTGAATACTGCGTCCTGGAGGGGGTGCCTGCAGTCAGCGGTTGGCGATGCATATGCGGCGGTGAAATAGGGTGCTGTGTGGGATTTGGGCGTTGACGGAATCGGGCTGGATTACTGTCATATTCGTGCTGTGGGTATGGTACCTGGGATGGTCCAACAGGCGGTGGAATGCGCTGTTGAGGAGGAGGGTAAAGAGGCATGAGTGAATTTTGTGTTTGAGGATGTGGCCGATGTTGTTGTTGTTGTTGTTGACGTTGAGGATGCTGTTGCTGTTGTGGATGGTGGTGTGAGCGATGTTGTTGTGGTTGGGGTTCAGAGCGGAGTACAAGACGCTGTTGTGGGTTTTGTGGTTGGAGATGGTGCGTCAAATGCCGATGGTGGTACGACGGATGCATATGGGGTGGCATTCCCCCTGGAGCGTTATCCGCGAGCATCTGTAGCATCGAGTTCGTCGAGATCGAGTCGGATTCCTCGTCAGAATCGTTCACCTCCGAGGTATCCTGCGACCAGGCCTGGAAGACGACCATACCGAGCACGACGCGTTTCTTGAATAGGGCTTCCGAGGCCAGACGCGGGTCATCATTCTGCATTACAGTTGAGAAGGGAAAGACGCCCGAAAAGGTCCCGTTTAGATTCTGGAACAGATCTGTGAGATTCGAGACCGTGGCCAGGACGGACAGCTGTGGTGTGATATGGATTTCGAGCGTCAGCGAGGTCATTTCCACAAAGTATCGACGCAGTTGCTCTAGCGTGCATCGGACCGGGTATGCGACCGTGATCGGATAGGCTGCGTCAGGCAAGGACGGCAGAGGTTTCGCTTCCGCCTCAGAGTCGTCCACAACGGCCAGATCCACGCGACTGCTGGAGACAAGATCGTCGTGGTGGGTAGGCGTGGGCGTGGGTGTAGGTGTGGGTGTGAGGCCCTCTGAGGCCCTAGTATCTGCACCGCTGGTTCCTGGGGCGGGTGATGGCTCCTTGGACTTGGACTTTGATCTGCGGAAGACATTCAGTAGGCGGGCTCCTGCCCAGGGTCGCTTCAAGAATGGAGATGCGCGTGGCGAAGTGGGAGAGTGAGCCTGCGTTTGTGTCAGATTTTGTGTCGGTACCTGAGCCTGAGAAAGATGGGCTGATGATGTCGAAGGCTGTGCGTGCAAGAGGTCGTGGCTACGATGATGGTGCAGAGTTCCTGGCGCCAAGTGCTGTTGCTGCCTCTCTCGCTGCTGCTGAAGGAGCTTCTGATGTTGCTGTTGCTTTTCCAGGTCCTTCCGTCGTTGAAGCATAGCCTGTCGCCGCTCAATTGCTTCGGGAAGAGGGCTGTTCAGTTTTGGATACACAGAGAGGGAGCTGGCTGTGTCCTCCTTCCACCAGCGCATGGTGACTTGAATCCTAGAGGGGATCAAGACCTCTGATCTGTCGAGCACATCGATCACTTCGGGGGTCAGGGTGATGGTCGGGAGAGAGACGGCTAGGTATCGCTGGATGAGACCCTTGACGTTCGGGGGCAGCGAGTGGGGATCATGGCTCGAGACGGACGCTGAAGCCGAGGCAGATGGTGCCCCTGACTTTGACATTGACGGCGAGCGTTGAATTCCCTGGTCTGCACTCGCGTTCGCGCTAGTCGTTCACTCCGCGGACACGAGCACAGTTGCTGCAGGAAATGAGAGATAGTGAGGGTGCGGAATGGAGGTGGAGGGGGAGAAGATGTGATCTGCGCGTGGTAGTGAAGGAAGGGGGGTTTGGTGTGAAGGGGAGGAGGAGGGGAGGGGGAGGTTGGTGTGAAATGCGAAGTGGGGTGTGAGTAGGGCAGAATAGTAGTATAGTGGAAGAAGGATCTGCTCAGATGGAAAGAGTCATGAGGATCCTCAGGAATGAGGAAGTGGGAGGGTGGAGTGGAGAGTGATGAACGGAATGAATGAGAAGAAAAGAGTGTGTGAGAATGACGCACGGTAACAGTGGTATGTATAAAATATAAAAAAAGGGTCAGGGTAGTTTTCTATGAATATATTTTATTATGCCCATACACATCCATAACCAATCTCATCACAGTACCGGTCGGAAAAGAGAAAAAGGACTATCAGGTCAAGGAAGGAGAGTGGGGGGCACCAGCACCATTATCGTTGCTATGACCTTTAGTCTACCAGGGCCATGACCATGATCATGACCATGACTAGTAGGACCAAAAGTCTTTCATTACCAAAGAGGGGTAAGCAATTGAGTTTCTGTGCAACTGTAACGATGGTCCAAGTAAACTGAATGTGAAAAACACACTTTGGCCCTTCCTCTTTCCTCTGCTTGTCCCTAACCGCTCTTGTAAGTAGCCATAACTGGCCATCATTTTTTCCATCGTCTTCCTCTTCTTCCCCGCCTTCAGCTGTTCAATCTTATCGTCACCCATCGTCACCGTCCCTTCACACTAATACATCCCACCACTCTCACCCTCGTAAGGAAAACAACTTTCAAAAACTCAATTGAGATTCAGCCCGTTCGGCTTGGTTGTCTTCTCCCGAGGAAGGATAGTTTAGAGATGTTGCCATTCCCTTCTGTTTATTACATCGCTTTTTTTCGATTTCAATTGCTCGGCAGTGTTTATTCCTGCGTCCCTTTTCTCTAGCCTCGTCTGTACTGCACACACGGGGGCAGAACAGTGTACTCCGTCTTTACGATCGTGCTTCTTGATAGTGCGTGTACGTGCATTGTCGCTTCTCTGCAATTTAAACCTAGCCTTGCCCATCTGACTCTTTCCTTCATCCTTTGGAGAACTGAAATGAACAGAGGCTGGCTGAGTATGTGCGTGTGCAACGTTATGTGGTTTGTGATCAGAAACTATGAATGAATGGGCCAGGGGATAGATACACAAAAAAAACGGCTCAATTGCTTTTTTTTTTTATATAAATATCTCGACAAGGTACCTTTTATAATGCAGCCTTGATCCATCCGGACCCTACACTACCCCGTTCACGGGGACTCCCTGTACCATTACCACCGTGTCACCTTTTGCTCCGCATTCTTGGACACCTCAATTAACCATGGATGCATCTCTGTGGTTGCAAGTTAAAGGCAAGGTTAGCGAATTGAGCACTCAAGGAGTTTTTTTTTTCTGTCTCTGGTTATTTTGCAACACCAGAACTGGATAACCAACGAATAAAGCAAGGCAGATCATTCTTCTTCAAGTTATTTTTGTTTGTTTGTTTGTATGTTCGTTTGTTTGTTTATTTGTTTGTCTGCATGGATGTTGTCGAATCTATTCCACATATCTCTCTATACACAAAACAATTGTATATAGTAGACATCAAGTGCTCCGTGAGATGGCAATGCAATGTGGAAGGGGAGGATGACGAAGAGTCACCCATCCCTCTTGCTAAAAGGGTATGCATTGTGCATGGTTGATATAGTCTACAACATCGCATTCATCGACATGTGGCCAGCCCTTTTCATGCACAATACTCTTTGAAGAAAGAAAAAGTCGTTTGTACTTCAGAATTTCGTTGAATTACTCTTGATCACGTTGGTTTATTCGTCGGTTCGTTTGGAAAAGGCCATAGAACGGAATGCAGGGGCCCCGATGTCTTTCGCGAAAGAAAAAAAAATGCAAATAGGATCAAGAGGACTGATGACAGCCACAGATAAAGGACGCTTTATAATATGCACGAACAGACATTGATCCAAGCGCCCAAGAAGAAAGAAAGAGAACCACAGAAAGCCCAAGATGTATTTGGCTAAGGTTGGTAAAAGCCGACGATTGAGTGCAAGGCTTCTGTAAAGACTCAGAGTGTATGAGTGAGGTCATGTACTGCACCAATTAAATGATCAGCCGAAGGATAAGCTGCAAGCGGAAAGCGAGATCGAGATGCACTCCGCCTCTCTGTCTTCCCCTTGTAAAGTGCGTTCATGTAATTGCTGCTTGTCTTTGTCAGTTTGCAGCTGCTCTCCTTCTTTTTTTTGCCATGTCCCTGTAAGCTGCTCTGCTTAGACTATTCCATCTTGCAGTACGTTTTTCCTGCGTTTTCGTGGTATCTCTGGCTCATTCCAGACAACGGTGGTACAGATCCTTGTTTGTGTTCCCACCACACCCTTCTGAACTGTAAAAAGTCCTATACAGCCTCAGAAAAAATAAGGGGCTGACTGGAAAATATAGTCCCGTTGTCGCTTGGAAAGTGGGGGGAGAACTATGGCGGTGACCGAAAGAATGCGCAGGTAAATGAGGCACTGCGGTAAGTGAGCCAAGGGGTTATCTTACCATGGTAGAACCAACCATTCTGCCGTAAACCCTGCCTAAGGCTTGCCTCGCCACTCCTTTTACTCCACAACTCAGCAAATTTAATTGCAAAAGGGAATCCCGAGCATTCCTCCTTATGCTCTCATAATAGAACTATTACGCTTCTGTCTGAAGCAATTATCCAGAAGTGACGATGGCCGGCATGTCCATCTTCGCAGAATTGATTAGCAAATGAGTTTGTATCCGGGTCGGTTCTACGCGTAGAACCAGACACGAATTTAAGAAACTACGTCGCGTCCAGGGTGAGGTTTGCTATCACGTGCGCCCAAAAAATGACGTGAGCTGCCTGCTTTCTGGTAGGTTGCCAAAAGGAACGCGCCAGCATCTCTCTGACCTTTGTTCTCTTACTCATCCCATCATTCACTTGCAACCTACTACACCAACGATTCCTCATTACTATGCCACCAGTCAACACCATCAAAGGTACCGAAAGACACCGCCTGTAAACAGGCTTTCTTTTATACATATCCAGTGCTGCATAACAATAAACGGCTTGTATACTCAAGCTTTTTCCTCTGCCTCTACCTAATAGTTAATGTCAAATGGAGTGGCAAGAAGTTTGACGATATTGAGCTTAACCTTGACGAGCCAGGTCTGGTCTTTAAGGCACAGCTGTTTGCTCTGACAGGAGTGGAGCCCGACAGACAAAAGATCATTGCTAAAGGTGGAACGCTTAAGGTATAGGACTGATCAGATCGCATGGATGGCGTACTCTTTTTTTCGACTGGGATATGCGATTTGGTGCTGAATCTCTATCCTTCATGATTATGTAGGATGATACCGACATGAACAAGCTCGGCCTCAAACCTGTAAGCTGGGGAAAAGGCATACAATTATCTACTCTCGACTTTGGCTACCCATCGAGCATTCTATTCAAGCTATATGCGATCTGTTGTTCAAATAGGGCCACATATTCATGATGATGGGAACTGCAGGCGAGCTCCCCAAAGCACCAGAAAAGAAGATCCTTTTTGCTGAAGATATGACGGAAGCAACACTGAACAAGGCGGTACGTTGGATTGTTCTACTGAACCTGTAGAACACCATATTTTATTAATGGATACAAAGGCTGACGCACTGTTCCCTTTTCATGTTATAGATGGATATCCCAGTTGGATTGACAAACCTGGGCAACACTTGCTACATGGTAACGTACACTTTTTGCGGATTATTTATCAACGTCGTACTATCGACAAGATTTTTAGGATCTTACTAATCCATTACTTCCATCTTGTCCCATGACCATTTTAGAATGCTACTCTCCAATGCCTCCGTGTCGTCCCCGAATTGGTCGAGGACCTTCAAAAGTACTCTGGCGGCACTGACAACCTAGATGCTGGAAGCAATATGACAGCATCTTTGAGAGACTTGTATAGACAGCTCAACGCATCGGGACATGGTGTCATGCCCATGGGATTTCTCACTGTAAGCGATGGGCATAACTATCAGTATCATATCATTACATTCTAGGTACCATTTCACTGATACCAGTGTTCTATTGTCCCCGTTGAGCTGTCCATAGTACCTGCGAAAGGCATTCCCTCAATTTTCGCAGCAAGGACGTGATGGCGTGTGGATGCAGCAGGATGCGGAAGAATGCTGGAGTCAGTTGATCTCAACCCTGAAGGCAAAGCTCCCCCCTCATAGCGAGGGCAAGCAGAATGTTATCTCGCAGTTCATGCAGGGCGAATTCACAACAACGTACGTATCCTTCGAGAAGAACTGTTGGACAGATTTAGTACCAGTTTATCATTTCTAACAAACCGGCACTATGGAACCTTTCGCTATAGGCTGAAGTGTGATGAAGCACCAGAAGAGGAGGCGATCGTAAGCAAAGAACCCTTTTCGAAGCTGGACTGTCATATTTCAAGCAGTAAGTGAACTTGCATTTCTCTGTCCAGTGCCTGGTGTTGCTGAGGGAACCACGCTGACGATTTTTATGCAATCGCTCGTTTTGTCTATAGATGTAAACTATCTCCACAATGGAATCATGGAGTCTCTAGATCAAAAAATTGAAAAGAACTCTCCTACGCTTGGTCGGTCAGCCATCTATTCCAAGTCACAGAGGATCTCCCGCTTGCCCGGCTACTTGACTATCAACTTTGTCCGCTTTTTCTGGAAACCAACTGAGCAGGTCAAAGCCAAGATCCTGCGTAAGGTCAAATTCCCGTTCGAACTCGATGCTTCGCAGTTTTGCACACCAGAACTGCAGGCAAAGCTGAGCAACACAAAAGTCAAGCTGAGAGAGCTGGACAATGCTGAGACGGCATTGAAGCGACGCAAGCGCCTGGAAAAGGAATCCGGCCGCATGGAGACGGATGAAGTTTCGGATGAGCAAAAGGCTGTGGAGACAGCGCAGGTGGCACTGGAGGAATCGTTGGATCCTGAATTGGTTCAGGACATTGGATCGAATCCCTCTGGGCAGTACGAGTTAGCAGCGGTCCTTACACATATCGGACGAACAGCAGATTCAGGACATTACATTGGATGGGCTAAGAAGGGCGAGACGGACGAGTGGTACAAGTACGACGACGACAAGGTTTCGCCGATTCCAAAGGAAGATGTCTTGAAGCTGGATGGCGGAGGAGACTTCCATGTCGCTTACCTGGCGCTGTACCGTGCAAGGTCATTCAAGGTCAAGAAAGAAGAGAAGGCTAAAATTACGCAGGCATAAAAAAGATATGGAGTAGGCAACCTATCCAGAATCGGGTCCCGTTTGCCGATGGATACCACCTTCTGGCTGATCAAACTGAACATATGAAATAAAACTAAAATTCTAGATGCATTTACAAACTACAGAAACGTGTTTAATGAGCTACTCGGTCGGTTATTCGAATGATAAACAGGAACCGGAAGCAGCACTATGTCAAACGTTGGGTGTCCACAATATCCATATACTGTAGAGGTTAAGGGGAAATACTGACAGCGCATATAATGGGGATGGATGTATCAAAAAACCCTAAGTCCTTCGGGGCCCAGGGAACCGGTATCAGGACCGACTTGGAACAAAAATATTTTACATGGGGTTCTTGCGAGTGGCTTTGAGCGTACACTAGGAGTCCCTCAAAAGTTAGTGACATACGCGGGAGTATGGTCGTCTACGGAGGTACGAGTGAACAGTACGTTCCTCTTCGTGAAGCCTTAGTAGTGGAGAGTGTGTCTAGTTGAGGTAGATAAAAATAAGGCGCGTAAGATTATGATCTTAGTCTTCGCATGGATGCACTAACACATTTCTCTAGACACTCCTCCTTTTTCATTTTCCTCCTATAGGAGCAAATTATAGAAGGCATAACCGTATCGTAAGCTGCCTCTTACCCAATGCATCATGTCCTGACCCATGCCGCCGTTTGCTTCCATGAATGGCAAGAGCAGCACCACGGGATCCTATTGCTCGACAAAGAAACCGAACACCACGCTCACGCATCCTCGATTCGCGACGAGATGCTGCCCCTCAGCAGAAGTTCGATCCCGTTGTCGATCATGTCCTCCGGAACATGCATCCCGTATCTTTGAATAAATCCCACTCCGCGATTCGAAAATCCACATTCCATCACTATGACGCTACGTTTTCCAAACTGCTGCCCCAGTCCAAGTTGTTTGTGGACTTTGGATGAACGACTAACGTAAGCTTCTCGAGACCTGACGGGCCTTATTACTGATCTTTTTCACCTGGCCCTTATCCGATGAATCCGACAGCAACGGCGTGTTATCAATCAAGGCCCAGAACGAGTTCAGTACATGTTTCACTACAATCGATTGCTATTCTTCAGGAAGGGCGTCCTATTCAGGGTGCAGTCTGCTATAAACGTGTATGTGCGCAAGACTAATGATTATAAGGACCATACACGGATGGCGCCCGGGCGCGGAAAGCGGGTGAAGCGACTTTTTGGATCTACGTATGTGGCAGAAGGGGTGATGAATGCGACGACAGGATGCGAAGTGGTCGAAGGAGGTGAAGGACGAGCATTTGAGTCAGGTCGAGGCCTCGAAAAAAGTCTGGTTTTAATGTCAGATGGTAGAAAGCAACTGACAAAGATGAACATGGATTGACGGCCGCTTTTTTCATTTCTTATCGTAGAGAAGTCGAACGTCCGCGCATATTGGCTTCGGCGCGTTCAGGGCACTACCACCATCTCCAGGTCATCTCTGACACGGTGATCGGGATCAACTCGCGTAATCCTCGTTCATATATCGACCATTGTCTTGAGGAAGAGACTATCTTAACTGCGTACATTGCGAAACTGAGCTCAAAGCAAAAATATCTCAAATATGATACCAAGGCTATGTCCTTGGATGGCATTCATGACTAGGAACGCAACCACGCTGATGGCCAAGGTGAGGAATGACCATGTCTGATCTGTAGCGACAAGTACCACTATGGGTTGATGACTGAGTGCGATCATGTATATTGTGAAAACGTAAGTTCTATGTTTCTTCGCTACTTTATTGCAAGCTCGACGTTGAGATGAGTGGGACTGATAATTGACTATTCTCTCATTCAAACACGGTCGGGGGTCCCATGCTTTGAACTCTTTGAATGCAACTCTGTCGTCGCCATAAGGTCCAACCGACACGAAGCTGCCGGTATCGATATCAGCAGCAGTGGTAACGTGAAGGAGAAGACCAATGCCAAAAACATGATTGCCAGTAAGGAGCTCCCTCGCAGACCGCACTACCATTGAGATCCTGGACCATTCAAGCGAAGGGGACAAGGACCGCATCATGACACCGACCACAGCAGTGGGATTAGATTTTACTCGAGTGCCCACAGCTTTCGCCGTTGCGGAGTAGGGAGCAAGTCAAAAGAGATGACCTAAGATACTGCTTCATAGCAAAGAAGCGGACGGTTCAATCGTGAAGGAAGCGGAAGATACAGCAAAAGTAAAAAGGGAAGGGAGGGCGAGAGCAGAAGAGGATGAGGGTGTTGATATAGATTTTCGAGATGGGGGTGCGTTTTTGGATAGCGAATTCGATGAGGATGACACTATGACCATGGGTTCAGTAGAATATGTCCACGCACCTTTGAATGGACGCGTATGCGCAGGGTCGAAACTACAAGGCTGCTCCACACTCTCGGTTTCTCACATTCTGTGTGCACGTAGACTATATGTCGCCTCGGCGAAGAAAAGGCGACACCGGAGGAGACCTCCTCTGTCCGATCAACTAAAGAGCGTTTCCTGAGACCTTGAACTCTACACTACGCGACCCCAATTGCGTATTATCGCTTCAATCGTCAGCCTTTTGATTCATGCATATTCGAATTTTTTTTTTTTTTTTGAATAGAGTATTCGTTTTTTTATTGGAAAGGTGTTATTTGCGTAAACTTGTTAGGTATTTCCACCTCCACGATCCGGATCCTTGAACGGAACTTGAGCGAGAAGGGAGGAGGGGAACCGCGCTAGGAAAGCAGCCTTGTCATCGTAACTGGTTTACTTGGAGCGAGCTCTCATTTTTCTTCTTTTGCGCTTAAGGCGACGGACGCGCTTCTTTTTCCACTTGTCTCTCATCTAAAATAGATAGAAATATATCGCGTTAGCTGACAGTTTCGTGGGAAAATCAATCGATGGTAAAAAAAAAAAGTTGTGGACTATTGGGAGAACTGGGTGGTATCAAGTGTCGAAGGACATAGATTGTTTGGCGCGTCGAGGGTGAAGTGTGGTCTGCCTCATTGAGAATAACAAAAAGGCGGCTCTGACAATTGAAATTGCTGAATCCGGTCCATTGAACTGAGTTGCTTTGAGTGTGTCGCGATATATAAATCCATCTTCCAGGCGTATGCATCCATCGATGAAGTGTCGATATGCAAGCATCCGTTTATCCATCGTGCCGGCAGTAGTGAATATTATCGAATGGCTCAATGTGCTGATTGTTTGCATCGATATGCATCCATGTCTATGTCGGTTTTTATGTTGGATCGATCACACGAGCAAATTGTCTCCAAAAGGGGGAGGGAGGCCTTAGGGTACCTTGAAATTGGAAGTAGGAAGGAGGAAGTTTCAAACAGTGTCCGCTGCCCAGAATTCTTTTTATTACATCCTCCAGAAAGTGGCTTGTGAAAGAGGACGTGGAAACAGGGGGAACCCTGTCCATGTTTGCTGAGCAAGGGAGCCTCTACCTCCACCAAGGGGCACCTTAACACTCGACAATACGTCAACGCCAGCCTATCTTGGCACGCTTTGGTACCAGTTCGATTTCCAGTGAAGATGACAGCGCGTATCGGTCTCAGCCCTTCGCGTTGTGTTCGCAGACGAAGGACCCGGCTCTCTAAAGTCAGCTGCAGGAAATCCATCCAATCGAAGGTGACTGTCCGACTCCAAAATCAAAAACAAAAGCAGCTTCCCCCTCTCCCTCCGAAAGAGGCCAAGTCGAACGAACACATCCCTCACAACAACAACATCAATAACCGTCGCCATGTTTGGAGCATTCAGAGCATCGAGCGTCAGCCAGGGCGGTCTCTTGTGGTACGCACCGGACACCACCATTGAAATACTAGAACTACCATCAACTATCGTTCTTTTTCAGCGAACAAAAAACGATCGACTCTGTGTTTACTGACGAGGTTCACTGGCTTTGACGCTATCTAGGAAGGCACGCATGAAGATGGACTTGAGTCCCACACAGAAAGCTAACATTCGCAAGCGTCTCAAGGCCGCAGACGACGTCGTCATGAAGATCCAACAATCCGGAGTCCAGTGCAACGCCTTGGTAAACTTCACCGCCATTTTTCTTCTTTTTCTATCACTTTCAATTACAACTGGATATGATGCCAGTTCTGCCAGCAGGTCAGATCAATGATCTTTCAGTTTTGAGCTGACATCCTTCTTCTCTCTTTCTAAAAAACCAACAACAACCACGGAAATGATTAGACGAAGCTCGAGGCAGAGCCCACACAGGCACAGATGCCTCCAAAGGACAAGTATACAGTCTTCAGCAGGACTTTCAAGGGCTACCGCAAGTCTGTCCATAAGGTCCCTCACTTCACCAAGGTCGCCGTCCCCCGTACTGCTCCTGCTGGATTCTAAAAAGACGCATGAAAGAAAAAAGCAGCAGCTGCGAGGACATGGATAACAGACGGATCGGAGCAGAGCAGATTGGATGTTTTTAGAGGATGCGAGCAGCAGCAGCATCGTAAGGAAGCCAACCGACAAAGGAGGAAGAGCTGGTGGCATTAGAATCGACTTATTACAATGTATCATATTTTTTCAGTAAAGGAACGCACCGCACATTGTCCTTGTTAATATCGGAATCAATTGGCAGCAAGGCGTTTTGTATGGGTCGAATCGAATGGATTGTTTGTCTATTTGTTGTCTGAAGAAAGGCGCTTCAAGACGAACTCAGGGCAGAGAAGAGAAAAGAGGTCGGCGCTTCGCCAATATTATGTATTGCATTGGCGACGTTTATGACAAAGCTCAAAATGACTAACAAGGGACTAGACGTCCTGATACGATGGGCTTCACAACAAGCAGATAGGAGGGACAAAGACAGAAGCGGCGGGTTATTATTTCTTTGTAGGTGGGCTGACAGATCCTCCGGCTCCTCCTACAGATTTGGCGGCCTCCTTGGCAGCCTGCTTGGCTCTCATGATTTCGGCATCGCTAAGATTGTTCGAGAAAAATCGGTAGGACATGATTGGGAAGTGGAAAGAAGAATGAGGGGTTTTTTTTGTCAGTACATCGTAAAAAAAAGTGCTTATACAATCAAGAATATCTATCTATATATCGTTGGGCGGCGTCGTAGGCATCGCCAATGCCCATGGTCGAATTTTCACAGATAGTAAAAGTTCAATTGCTAATTGTTGCATTGGGCAATCCTTATTCCAAATACAACGTGTTAAATAATGCCGAAGAGGCACGGTATTGGTCGGTCATTCACTTTTGTTTTTGTGCTCGCCCTCCTTGGGCATGTATGAACCACGGCCATAACGAGAGATATATCGAGAGAAAAAGAGGGGAGGTCGGGGAAGTTCAATTGAGAGAGATAGGTTGCGATTCTAGAACGTACTTTTCCGCACGCTTGTTGTGAGAGATGCCTTCAGTCTTCTTGCTCTTGTTCAGCTGCGCCAACTTCTTCTGTGCCTTAGCACGGTCCATTTCGCGCTGGTTTCCGCCTAATAAGCAAAAGCAATAGGGCAATTAAAACGAGGTCAAGAAAGTCGTTAGAACAGGCTGGGTTTGCATAGTATCGACTGTAGACAAATCAGTCCAGAAAAACAATATGGAGTCCTAAGCGCAGACAGGGCCACATACGGGTCATGATTCAAACAGAGTCGAGTGATGAGGAGAAGAAAAAAAAAGAATGTGAAGAGGGCGAAGAGTTGATCAGCCCTGAGCTAAGTCCAAGCAGGGACGAATCCTCCGTAAAATGAAACGGACGAATTTTATACGGGGCTGGTTTATTTTTTTCCTCTTATGGGGTTTTATGTCAGGGGAATCTTCAACTGCGCCCGATCCAGCTTTCGAGCGAGCGCACAAAATTGTTCCGTGCTCACGTCCTCTGTTCGCATATTCATATCCCAACCGCCCTCAGTGATCCATTCGTCCAGAATCAGCTTCACTTCCGGTGCAAGTCTCGCCATCCTGTTCGTATTGTGTCCCATCGTCTTCCTCCTTTTGTTGAAGTAGTATCTCGCAACATCCTCCAGTTTCTCTAATGATCCTATAGTATGCACACCATTGAAAAACAAAAAGACAAAAACATTAGCCATGTTCTAATCCAGTTTCAAATCGCCTTTCCTTGAAGTTTCAGGAGAGACTATGCTGTACCTGAGACCAAAGGCTCTGCCTTTCTCTCAAAATGTACTACCGCCGCGTCGACCTTGGGCTTCGGGACAAAGACGCTCGCCGACACCTTGTAAGCTATCTTCACATCACACAGCGCCTGCGCCATAACCGACAACCGGCTTCTCTGGTGATGACTCGGTGGGGCCACAATGCCCTCTGCGACCTCCTTCTGGAACATGAGCGTCATCGAGACCTTGTTATTGTTCTGGAAGATTCCCTGCCGAAGAGCCATCATCTTGAGCCATTGGATCAGTAACGGAGACGCAACTCCAAAAGGTAAGTTGCCAAGCAGTCGAATCGTTGCTTCTCGATCGTTCATACCCATGCCTGTGAATTCTCTATGATTTTGTGCCGGATCCTGCATCGATTCAATGGCGGACGAAATTTGAGAGGGTGCAGAGGGTATGGCGAGACCTGCTTTAAGGATATCGAAATGGTTCAGTTGCAACATGTCACCCATGATGATGCCCAGACGCTGATCCGATGCCTCTGATAATTGCTATGTATCAACGTGAAAAGAAGTCAGCATTAAGATCCATCGCTCCAATGATATACGCGCCAAGTAATCCGCTGCCCTTTGCTCCCTGTTTGTCCTGCTTACTTGTAATGGCGGCAGGAACCGAGAATCTTTTTCGACGACGACGACTCGCCTTGCGCCAGCATCCAGAATCGATCGTGTTAACAGCCCAGGACCTATGTTAGAAGTTCAATTGCAATCCGAGGCGTCAGAATGGGATGTAATAGTGGGACTTGCAATTGCACGAGCGACGACAAAAAGCAAATGTTACCAGGGCCGACCTCGACAACCAGATCATCCTTCTCTGAGATTTTAGCATGCTGAGCAATGGTATCTGCAAGCGAAACCAATCGGAATAGAAGAACGCTGTGCTGTGTTAATTTTTTTTTTTTTGTCGTGTGCATACTGATTAAAACCTGACATTGAATTCAGCTGTAACGAAGCAATCCCTCGGACCTGTGACATTCTTGTCGAGAATGAAGTTTTGAGAAAACCTTTGATTCGCAGAGAGGCCGTAGACCCTGATCAGATCACGAATCGGTGGAAGTGGTGGTAGTTTCTTTGGAATCATGTCGTGAGCAGGGAAAAAAATAAAAAAATAAAGACGGTTTTGGGCAAAGCGCAGTTTGTCGATTTCAGGAGACCAATTTTTTTTATTCGATGCCGAGTTATTTGTTGTGGTGTGAGTGCTATGATAATGTGGACGAAACTGTCTCCCGAGCGTGTTTATACTGATGCTGCGGATGCTGCTTCTGCTTCTGCTGCTGCTGCTCTTGCTGCTGCTGCTACCTCCTTCTCCCTCGCAATCGCTAAAGCAGCATATTCCTTTTGTTGGTCAAGCACATGCTGTGGCAGCTGGATATCCGAAAAGTCGTCCTGTCTCACGGCCAGGATCGAGTAGGCGTCTATTATCGAGTTCCAATTGAAATAAAAAAAACGCGGTGATTAGCGGACATGTTTACAAAGGATAGGATGGTCATTATCCGCGGTTGTAGTGTTTCAACCTACAGACAGAGGCACAAAAGGCAACGAGGCCTGCGCCGGTGAGTGCATTCCTGACGCGGAAGGGAGCAGTGGCGCGCTCGAGGGCAGGGGAGCGCTTGAATCCCTTTTCGTAGTAGGAGGTTGGCTTTGGGAAGATCATTGTTGTCGATGTGGAATTGAATGTAAAAGGCAAGGAGGAATGGGGTTTCGACCGTTTTCTTCAGCTTGAGCTGATCTCCTTTGGAAGGAAGAACAAGGGACCTGAAGTGGCTTTGGTCGCTACAGCTTGCTCGCTCGATTGGGCTGAAGAACGCCGAAACGGGCCACTCACATACTCGCGCTCCCTTCAAAGAACCACCAAGTAACCAAGGAACGATACAAAATGACCATTGGCAACTCCATACCGATCGATGTCTCTCTTCTTGAGGATCTTGAACAATCTGCGCTACAACTCTCCTCGCAGCTCGACGAGCTTCTCGACAGTCTGCACTCACACCTTCAGAAGGTACTGCCAACTACTTCGCCCCTGATTGACGGTTTCATTCGACATCGATGTTTAATATCTAATGGATTAACATGCAATTGACCTCCTGGCTTATCAATATCGTTAGGCTGCATCGACAACATTAGAGTCCGTCAAGATATACGAATCAACCTTAGTCGACGGCGTCTGTGGTCAGGTCGCTGCCTGTGTCGAGCAGACCACGGATCTAATCAGTCGTTGCGACGAAATGGACAAGGATATGGCCTCCATAACCGCCATTGCCAGACAAGTGTAAGCATTCCTTCCATTGTTTTTTTCTGGACCATATTAAATGCCGTGTGAGTCGTATACTCATAAACCACTGCCCTGATAATTTTGTCCGCTGGCTAGTAAAGCAATCAGGCAAGCAGTCGATAGCCTAGGCGCGGCCGTAAAGTAGCTTCAGTCGTGATTCACATAATAAAAATGTACATATCCTTTGGAAAACGCTCGTCGTCTTTATTATTCAAGAACAGAACTGCATTGCCTCAGCAATCAAAGTTCTCCAGCTCCAGCTCCACTGCTGCCTCTCCACCTCCGGCAGCCCACGCAGGCGCCTCCTCAGATCCAACATTCCGATATACAAAAAAATGATGGTTCAAACTCGGATGGCTATGGATCTTGTGCACACTCCCAAGTCCTCCAGAGGCCTTCATCGGGATCGTATAGAACACTCGTCCGACACGTGAATGCACCAGCGCCATTGAGCACATCACGCAGGGCTCGTGTGTCAAATAGATGTCGTATCCCGTACACAGATACGCCTTTTTCGGGCGCGAGGATTCGTCCTGTGGCTCTTCACCGTCCTGTTGACCTTGTTCATCTTCTTGATGTTCTACTCCTGTAATAGTATCCTTTTCTGAGGGTATGTCATGCACTGGTTTTTTGTGATCTGGACTGCGCGACGATGGTGACGATCCTGTGCCACTAGTGGGGTGCTCCTTTCGTTTTTCCCCGCAGGCCGGGGATGAGGCTCTAGGTGTCTGTGTTTGTTGTTGTTGTTGCTGTTGTTGATGCCGTTCACGTTCGCGCTTTGCAACGGCCTCGACGCAGTTCATAACAGCATGGTTGAGAATGTGTCGTGTGCTGTTCCGGGTATCATGCGATGTCGCCAGGACTTGTTGCGTTGCTGGGTCGACAATGGCGGCTATACTTGGAACCTTTATACATTGGACTACGTCTCAGTGGCTGCTGAATAGGTATACAGACATTGGTCTGTTGAAATGAGAAAATCAAATAAACTACAGGTAACCCATGTATTGCATACTTCGCCTTTAGATGCTACTTGCTTGGCGAGTTCCCAGATATACTTGACATGTCCCAATATCGTCTCCTCTTCATTTTCTGATATTTCAGGATGTCTATCTCATAAACAAACAAAAAGAAGAAAAAATGCAAACTGACAATCAGTAATAGTTCCTGTGTCATGTAATTTCGTTCGCACCGTCAAATAATAATGACAAACCTGCTCATATCCTCGCGAAATGTCGTCGGCCATGCCGTCTTCCAGATCTCAAACTGGTTCCGTGTCAGTGGCGGATGCATTGGCACGGCATGAAGTCTTGGTTCCACATGTGCCGATAATCCAGATTCTTCCAGTAACCGAGTGAGATCTTCTGAGGATAATGCGGACTCCTGACACAAAATAATGTCCAGCTTCACTACTATACACCAAAGATCCCATACGGAAGTCGTGAGCTATGGCGCCCACCAATTGTGTTGCGTCGATCCATCTCGAAGACTTGCATTACCTCCATCATGAATATCTTTGCGAATTTGTTTGAGATGATCGAGTCCTTTTGTTGGTGGCAATTTGCTGCGGACGAATCTATGCACCAGAACGATAGCCGTTGAAAAAAATAATAAAATAAAAAATCAATGTCAGCATGATGTTGTCCACAACGCGTCAAGTCCAAAGATAAAAAGAGAGATAAAGAGATACAATATTACTTGAGAACACTGTTTGTCTGGCTGGGCTCAATGGTGGCGACATGAACGTTCTCTACGGTTTGTCGTGTGCGGAAAAGAAAACATAAACAGAGATAAGCAATCCAGGGACTTGTTTTCTTCGATAAAAATGGTGATCAGCGCACGATCGCTCAAGGTCCATGAGAGAATCAATCTTTTACCTGTCTCGAGCGGCCTTGTCTCTACGTCGGGCAGGACTTGTTCCAACATGGTGAATGACTCCTTGGTGCGAATGAAAGAAGGATGGGTGATGTTTGCGATCCTGCTCTTGCTGTTGTGCTGTGGCCGTATCGGTCAATGGTGTTACGATCGTCCAATCGCGTTGTAAACAAACCGGCGATAGCACACTTTCCCACAATTCTCCACCTTATTTACTTTGCCGCGATAACACAATCGTCTAAATGATTTATCCCACGGACATATATGCCTCCTTCCTCTTCTTCCTCCTTCTCCCTCCCTTCCCTCCTTGACCCATTCCTCTCATTCCATTCCCTCATGTCTTCCTCCTTCGACTTCAACCACCATTCCCACAGGCGCTTCAACCCGCTCACCAACTCCTGGGTCCTCTGCTCACCCCACCGCACCCAGCGACCGTGGCAAGGCAAGCAAGAAGAGGACGACACCAGCAAACGTCCCTCCTACGACCCATCATGCTACCTCTGCCCAGGGAACACCCGTGCCAGCGGCGGCGTCAAGAATCCTGAATACATGGATACCTTCGTCTTCGAGAACGATTTCCCGGCTGTCCAGCAGAATCAGCCAACTCTCGTAGCTTCAGGCGAAGGTACTATCCAAAAAAAAAAAAAAAAAATACCGATCTGTTTCAAAACGCGCTGATCTTTTCATATCTTAGATCTGCCAATTAAAGCAGCTCTTCCATCTCTCGTTGCGTAGACACCTCCGAATTCAACCCGCTCCTGCAAGTAGAATCCGTCCGTGGCCAATGCCACGTCATCTGTTTCTCTCCGCACCACGACAAGACCCTCGCTGACATGTCCGAACAAGAGATCCTCCCCGTCATCCAAGCCTGGATCGACACCTACGCCACCCTCCGCTCGAAACCCCATATCAATCACGTCCAGATCTTTGAGAACAAGGGTGCGATCATGGGATGCTCAAACCCTCATCCACATGGACAGGTCTGGTCGACTGAGGATATTCCGCAAGAACCGGCAGATGAATTGAGAAGCATGGGGGAGTACCGAGATAAGTACCAGAGGTGCTTGCTGTGTGATTATGTCAAGACAGAAGCTCAGGCAGACGCGAGAGCAAAGTCCTCCGCATCATCAGCTGGATCAGGATCAACAGAATCCGCAGCACCGGGATCAGGATCAACAGAATCCGCAGCACCGGGATCAGTAGCAACGCCGGATGGCTCGAGGATCGTCTGTGAAAACGACAGTTTCATGTGTGTCGTCCCCTTCTGGGCAACCTGGCCTTTCGAGACCCTGGTCCTCTCCAAGTCCCATCTCGCCCGACTCTCCGATATGAACAACACTCAGAAACAGGATCTCGCCAATATTCTGAGAAGGATCACCTGTCGATATGACAACCTCTTCCGCTGCTCCTTTCCTTACTCCATGGGTATTCATCAGGCGCCGACGAATGATAATGAGAACCAGGAACAGCTATCGCATCTTCACCTGCACTTTTATCCACCTCTACTTAGAAGTGCTACCGTGAAAAAGTTCCTTGTAGGGTAAGCAATGACGAACAGATTGATATAATCGAACGCGCCTCGAGAGTTCCGTCTGTTAACATTTTGCTCTATTATTCGATGCTGCATAACCAAAGATTCGAGCTGCTTGGTCAGGCGCAACGCGACTTGACCCCAGAACAGGCCGCCAAGAGGCTCGTCGAATGCTCAGAAGTCCATTACAAGTCCGGTTGATCTCTCCTTCAACCTTCCTTATCTCTTTCTCTTCTTTCCGTAATTTTTTATTCTTATTTATTTCGCAAATAAAACCAGAGCGTGTTCATAGATGTCCTTGAAAAATATTTAGAGATGTGAAACGATCGCAATAAAGAACATGATATGAAGAAAAAAAGATATGTATAGATGGAAGTCGTCCGTCCAGGAGTTATCGTTTTTAACCTTGGTTTGTTGTCATGTAAATCCTCCATTTGAATGTCCAAGCACAAGGGGCTCGTTCGGCATCCCTTGAATGGGAATTGAGATAAGAAAGTAAAAGAAAAAGAATATGAAAAAGAGATAATGCTCTTCATGGACTAGTATTCATCGTACCCATCCAGTCATGCCTGCGTTTGTCCAATTCACCCTCTAATCAAGTGCTTCCTCCTGCTCACACCTCTGCTATTGCAGCTTGACCATGATTCGCGATAGTAGACTCAGTCTTTTCCGCTGATGTCTCATGCTGCTGTTGCTGCTGTTGCACCTTCAATGCTGACGCGTAGCTGAAACCACCAGAAGGTCTAGGGGGATTGAGATTGCCGCACTTGCCAAACGTCGGCTCGGCTGCCCGGAGATCGGTAAGAGTTTCTTCACTAGCACTTGTAGCCATCCCAGAAACGGGCACTGCTCTCTGTTCCGACGGCATCTCTGTGGCTTGAGGATCTGGCTTTATAGTTTTCGTACTAGAAGCCAGGAGCCCTTCACTCTGATTTTGAGGGGTTTGCTGTTGTTGGCGGTCAGGGTCGCCTGAGGAAACCATACCGGAAATTACATTCTGCGGGCGGGTTGAAATAATCGACTTCTGAGGGCTATTCATGGCAGGAGGTAAGTCCAACATCGGAAGTTAGAGGAAATAGCTCAAGTCTTCAATCCTAAATGGATGAGCTTGATCAAAACCACGTACTTTTCAGTAACCTCGTTGGCATCAGATTCTTCCTTGGGTGCTTCAGTACCAGATACAACATGGCTCATGCTTGGACGAGGCGCCCAGCTGCTGTTGAGCTGGTAAGCGGGCGCAGATAGGGTCGCATTGGTGCTTGGGGTTTCTCCCATAGCAGGCACGGCGCCATTTGATGGAAGTGGCGGGAAGTTGTCCTTCTTAAGGGACACCTGAGGCTGTTTGCCTTTGTCCCCAGTGACGCGTCGCTTGCCATGCCCTGCTCTCTGATTGCCCTCTGTGGTCATTTTTGATAGCTTTCCAGTCAGATTGTTCATATTGGTCTGATCAAGAACATCGACGTTGGCATCAGTATCCTGCTCCTTCGGCTCGCCGTTCAACGGTGAGGTCGCATTATCGCTTTGGGGACGATTTTCATTCTGCTCTCCACTGCTGTTCAATAGCTGGTTCGCCTGCTGCTGCTGAGTTTTAGGTCCCTTACTCCTTGGGTAATTCTTCTTACCCTTCTTCCGGTTCTTTGGCTGCTGAGGGTTGCCAAACAAAAAGTCTGACCTGGCATCACTCGATCGGTCAGAGTTGAAGAACCGCTCATTTCCCTCCCATGGTCCACGATAATCATATTGTCGATACTGTCGTGCTCCCAAGCTTCCGCTGTAGTATTTTCTGATGTTGTCGCCTCGGCGATTGACGAACTCGTCACCCCTTCCACGCCAACCTTGTGTACGGAATTCAGGATCGCTGCTTCGTCTTGGACCGCTGAACTCCTGCCTAAACTGGTGAGGTTGGGTGTATCCTTGCTCCATTTGATGCTGACCAAGGCCTGGTTCTGGAGGCGACATCGAAAACACATCCGCTGGTGCCCACATCTGGCCATTCATGTCTAAGTGCTCCATACCAAATAGATTCACAGTTGAGTAACTATTGACATTGATAGTCTTCTCAAGCTGGATCAAAATCAGGCGTCATCATCAGGGACTTACAATAAGCTTCTGGTGGGCCTGGAATGAAAGCCATACCTTGGGCATCTGGCGGGAAATAAGCATCGGGAGGGTAGATTTGGGCCACAGAGTGGCGACGGGCCATATCCTGTGGAACGAATCCCTGGGTGAGTGTAGGGGACCACACCTCCTCTGCGGCGAAGTTCTCCTCTGCAGCAAACCGGCGATAAGGCACACTCATTCCAAGCATGGATGCATCCTGAGCGTGACTCGGCGGCGACTGCGTCCAGCCAGGAACAGGTTGCAACATAGGCGTGTTTTGCGAGTTGGGCATAGACAGCTGAGTGGTTTTATATCTAATGCGAATGCAAAGGGACGATATTCAAGTGTTATTGCTTAAAACCCTCAAAAAGTGTAGTAAGAATAAAGAAACATTTAACTTACTCCCCACCAGTTAGCACGGTGTTCGACTTCAATCGGGCAGCGATGGGAACACCACGAAGATAGCGCCCTCGGGTGTAGTTGAGCATTGCCAACGCGTCTGCTGCAGTCTCAAACTCCACAAACCACATGTTTCCAACAGCCTCTTTCGTGATGAGCTTTGCTGGACATTTGGCCTCAACAAATAATGCACTGATTTCCTATATACATATCGCACAAAATTGAAATGGAAGTAAGCGGACTAATTCAGACGTCTATAGCAGGAACATGTTGTGGGACCAAGGACCAAGGATTTACCTCTTCAGTAGCGTCTTCAGGCAGCTCGCGTAAGATGAGGGTCGTTCTGGGTCGATCGACAGTAATGGCCTTCGCCATGGTTCCAGTCTCATCCACAAGCACCTTGCATGATCGCCGGAGGGCATTGACGACCTCTTGGATATCGTCTGTGATCGCCTTGACCTTCCTAAAATCTGCAACTACAGAGATGGGCACCCAGTGGTCTGTATCCATTTTCGAAACTAACCCAATGAAGTAATGTTAACGACTTGTTCATACTAAACTCTTAAAGCAGATATTATTGCCATTGAGATATTTTACCTAAATATGTGTCAGTCGCAAGGTTTCTTGGTGAGAAGTACCACTCGAGTTGCTCTCGTAGGCGATCGCGACCATCTTTTACAGATAAACGAGCAAGCACTGATTAGTCTCTAGTAAAGGTAGTGATTCGGATGATGTATACAAAAAATCAATCAACAATTCGAATAGACATACCTTGATCATCATAAGCGCCAGCGCTCATGCCATTTGTCGCAATCTGTGAAGGAGATGACTGAACCTTGGCCTCCATGTCATCCTGTCCTTCATACGTCGCTTGCTGTGGTGGAGAGGGCATGGGCATCATCTGGGATACAAACGGTGCCATATGCGACGGATGATATCCCCATGGGATCGCATAAACAGGCTGCGGTGGCTGCTGATATGGACCTTTCAAAGAGATAGAGATTCCATTGCTCTGCACCGCTTGCGGCGGCACTTGTGGGCTATAAACGATATTAGGGTGCTCTGGGGCAGGAGGATTTTGGTGCATCGGATGTGGGGTCATATAGCCGCCATCTGGGTGGTAGCTGCCATCAATGCTAACCCTCGGACACGCTCCTGGTGACTGTGAAGGCTGCAACCCATGAGTGTTGTACTCCAAGTTGTGAGGAAGACCGGGCGTGAACGACAATGAACGTGGCATTGTTATACCAGTGCTGCGATGATAGGCACCATTCTGGGCAATGCGAGGGTTACGTAGGTTGTGATGCGTGCTGGAAGACATGACGGAACTGTCATTCGAATGTCGGCGACGATTTGGCGATGAGTGTTGTTGGTTCGAGCGATAAGAGTTGTTGGGGTGGATGAAGCTGTTGTTGTGAGCAAAGTCATGACGTCTGTAGCTGTTGCTGCTCTGGTACTGATGGTTTTGCTGCTGCCCCTGCTGTTGGTGTTGGTTTTGTGAGCGAATACCACTGCTGCTGATAGTGCTATTGCTTTCATTAGAGTTGCGCTTGAAGCTGTTGCCTTTGATATGATTGCCTCTGCCTTGGTTCTTGTTCATGTGGCCACGATCAATTGGATTTCGAGATTGAGTTGTGCGCGGAGAAAAGTTGTCGTCTATGAAAGGGCGGTTTCCTCCTTGGGCAGCATTGGACCTGGAATAAGATCTGTCGTATGTCTGTCGGTGTTGAATTTGTGGGTGGATAGGCTCGTTTGTCATCGCGAGAGCGTCTCTGAGAGGCATTTGCGCCAAGACTGGATCTCCATTCATTCTTGCGTAGTTTAGATTAAGTAGAGTAATTGCAAATGATTGGTGTGAACTGCAAGAAAGTACAGGCTGGTAATTGTCGAGGGGTTGCTGGTGCTCTGATGATGAGATATCCCGGGCGTAGATGAGCGTGTTTCACGGCAGTCGATTGGTGGTGGACTACTTGAGTTGAATTGGGCGCGTCAATAGGCCGATGTAGAGCAGGAAGAGCGAACTATAGATTCGGAGATCCAAAATAAAGTGTTATAAATGTAAGTTCGTGAACGCGTCAGACGATAGTGAAACTGAGCGGTAGACAGCTGTTTTTCGCGTAGCACGCAGAGACACAGCGATTTGCGTTACATTGAGAGCGATTGTGAAGGATCCAGATATATTCAAAGCGTGTATGTTTGTTGCCGCCAATTCGAGGTCCGGAGAAGTACAATAAAGAATAAATAATTGTAATAGGAGTATAAAATCAACAGGGCGCGGATATCTTAGGATGGCTCAGTTCGAACCGAACACACGCACACACGCGCACACACAACCAAATCCAGGGAGCTACCGTCGCGACTATTCAAGCACCAGCAGTGCGTCGAGGTTGGGGGGCCAAATGAACACAGGGGAGAGAAGAGAGCAGATGATGGTCAATTATAGTCACCATAGAGAATGGGATGAAGATGCGGAAGGTTAAAAGAGGCTGGTGTGGAAGCGCCAGCAAAATATGGGTACTGCTTGAGTATTAGAAGCAGGAAGAGCAAGTGAGCTAGAACCTAGGCAAAGAGGTCTTTTTTTTTTTATGTGAGAGGAGAGGGTCAATCCACAAAAAATGAAGGGATAAGGGGCCCCAGCCAACCCAATCCAATCCAGCGCGCACAAAGAAAAGGATGCAATACTGCAAAGCAAATCAGTCGTCATCATTCCTTAAAAACAATACGCGTAGCTTGTTTTGTCCTGGGAGCGTAACCACATCCGCATCCACATCCACATCCGTATCCACGTCCACGTCTACATACTCATCCACATCACATCCAAATCTACACCCATATCCATCGTTATTATGGGGCCAGGAGGTGTACCCTCAAGAAGTAAAACCTTGGGAAAACCGCGCCTCCTCACGGGAGGTCAAATCCTGGTGTACTCCACACGCCCTGAACAAAAAAATATGAAATAAAAGAGAATGCAGCACACTTACCTCAAGGAAGACAGACGAAAGGAAGGCTTATTGTGGCAGTGATGGCTTTCTCGATGGATGTGCAAGCGCAGTATGCACCTCGATACTCTTGTTTGTTCGAGTGTATTTTTTTCTTTTATTTTTTGGTGGCAAACCGACTGAGACTGTTTGTGTCTGTGTTGACTGTCAGGAACGCTGTGCTGCTGCTGGTGAAACAGACGTGGACAACAAAAACAAATGAGTTGAAAATGGGATGGAATGGAATGAGGCAGTTGAATGTCAGTGTTACCAAGGTGCAGGTGAAAGAAGGGGGAGAGCAGAGAAAGGAAGGAAAGAGAGAAAGAAAGAAAGAAACAAGCAAGAAAGGAAAGCGTGGACAAAAAAATAATAATGGCATTATTGATTCAGGGCAGCCCAGGGAAACAATAGGAGATACGAAGCGAGACATAAAACTTGCATGATGGCATTATGCACCACAAACAGGGGCCTGATGCCGGGCTGGCTTTTGCCACCACAATTGCCATTGTTATCCCTGCCAACTAAACATTTTGTCGTGCCAGAGCAGACCTTTGCGATATGGTTTATATGTTCATGATGGTTCTGTCTGCTCACAACGTTGAACTGAGAATGCCAAGGGGTGGACGCACATTCTAACATGCTGAAGCACGCTGGAAACGCAGGAGGTAAGATCCAGGAGAAAATGGATGTTCTGACCAGCAGCATGGGTGAACATGTTGCACATTTCTGCCCGAGTTTGAGTGAGAGGAGCGATCACCGACCAAGCATCCAAACACTCAGCGAAACATTGAGAGATACCAGTCTTAAAACAAAAGCTGTTTATGTTTATTTTGTTTGTAGAAATAAAAAAAAAATTGATTTGGGCGTTGCTCGTTTCAAGCTGTGCCGCATGGCATGCAGGGGTTTCTGAGCTCACGGATATTAGGAATGGGCAGGATGAAGAGGGTGTAAGCGCATGTAGAGAACAATGGAAAACAAAAAAGAGTCAAGAGTGTTGGCGAAAGGCAAGCAGCAGCTGGAAAAAGCCATAGACCATGGTCAAGCTACAGCAAAAAAGGTAGAATATCTTAACAAGCACAGCCTGACTCCTTGGTATCGCGGTTCAGATCGACGCCTCTGGCATTGAGGCCAGTTCCACGAGGGCGTGGGTTGGCAAGCATATCCAGTGGCATCTTCTTGGCTGCGGTTGTTTTGTTTTCGGTGAAGACACAAATAAGAGAGGATTAGAAAACAGCTTAACAGAGCAAACTGGGAATGGAGTGCGATGCCAAGCAGAAACTTGCTTACCTATGCAGGTGAATAGTTCCTTCACGTTTGTGGCAGTTTTGGCAGAAGTCTCGAAGAAGAGGAGTCCTGCTTCGTCAGCATACGCCTGTGCCTCCTAGAGAAACACAGCGCAAGAATCATGGGAACGCAATGTCATCAATAAAGGTACGCATACCAAAGACCGACAGCACGATGGAGCATTCCTTCCGTTGTTGTCAATCAGCGTGTTGACATACCTCTGTCTCAACAACGCGTCTCGCGCTCAAATCGCTCTTGTTTCCTGCCAATGCAATCACAATGTTAGGATCGGCCTGGCGTTGGAGTTCCTTGACCCATGACTTCGCCTTATCCAATGACGACTATTTACATCAATGTAAAGAAGTGAGAATCCGTGGGGTCGGTTACTTCGCCATCTCATGCATTTGGCCCATATACTGAATAAAATATACTCAAATCCTTACGCTCTGCGTGATATCATAGACGACAACGGCGCAATTGGCATTGCGGTAGTACATTGGTGCCAAGCTCTACAGTCACCGAGTTGATAAGGAACAAAAGAAAATCGTATTAATGCAACTGGTATCGCCCCTGTGCCTGAACCATCCATGTCCTGCGCCAAAAAAAAAAAAAAAAAAAAAAAAATGCTGAAGCTGCAAATTCACAGAGTATACACGTGCCTTATAGCGCTCCTGTCCAGCTGTATCCCTATGTAACAAGAAGGGGAGAGAAAAAAATGGAGCGAAGGAGACGTTGGTCAACATTTGGTAAAGGTCAACCCCCATGAGACAAAGGCACAATGACGATCGTCTCCCATCCACAAGTCGTTATGTGTTTTCGTTATGTCTTCGTTATTGGCCTCCGTACCAGATCTCAAACTTGACTGTTGTGGCATCATCGAGGCAGATGGTCTGTGTCAAGAACGCGGCTATTCATCAAAGCAGATATCGCGGAACATATTATTAGCACATTATCACTTCACGATGACAATAACAGCGGCAGACCTCATGGACAGAGAAAGAAAGGGAGAATAGTGGAGCAGAGGAGCAGAGGAAGGAGGAAAGCGAGGAATGCTGTCCCAAGATCTTCAGAGGCTACAATTGTGACAGCATTATTTGTCGACCCTTATGCGCACTACGCTTGTGTATCCTGTTGCCATCAAGAGCCAACGATGCTAGCAAACAGTAGATGGTTTTACCTCCAATGGTACTCTCTCGATAATCATCAAACTGGTCCTTGACAAAGCGGAGAACAAGACTATGAGGGCACACAATGATATGTAGGAAAGAAGGACCACCGTAAAGAATTGAAAGAATGTTGTTAGAGGAACTGACCATGGCCTTTTTCTTCAACTATAGCGCAGCAGCAGCAGCAGCGGCAGCAGCAGCAATTACGCGATTGCACTTTGTTGACCAGGTATGTGGTATGCTCACCTCGACTTTCCGACAGCAGATTCGCCTGTTTAGAGACAAAGACCAAGGATTATCCATATGTAGTTTTTAACAATAGGATGTGGTTATTTTTCAATAGCTTCAAGAGTATCCAGTTGAGAGAGAAAGATACCAGATAGCACCCAGTTTCTGGTATGCAAATACAACAGATCCCTTGCGCCAGGGCTGAAGAACACACCTAGGAGGACAAGTTTAAACTGGAACAGCTTGCCGGCTGGCTGCGGCTGTTGTGAGGTAACTTGACGGGAGCTGGACATAGTTGAGGTATGTGGAATAAGGGGATTCTGTAGGTGTAAAAAAGTGCGAGAATAGAATAACGAAGAGGTTTGCTTTGAGAAGAAGGAAGAACTGATGCAATTGTGGCGAAGAAGAGGTGTTGGTTTGAATGGGAGGAGAGAAGTGGAATGAAAATGAGAAAGGGTTCAAGATGACGAACGACGTGGGTGTATGGAACAAGAAAAAACCCGGCCAAAACGTGTGATACGGTAACGTGATACGACATGCCGATCATGTCAAGCTAAAGACACCTAACTCAACTTCGCGCTTTTTGTTCGCATGGAGAAGAGACAGATTGAATCTGTATTATATGTATTATTTCGCTATTTGCTACAAAGAGGGTATAGGATCGATGCTCCACTTGACACGTTGACAGTTCACGGCAGGATTGAAAACCTCAAACATTTCAGCCTCATCGTTCACATGCTGGGATAGCTCCGAGCTATGTTGGTCGAGCAGCAATTGCAGCTGCTTGCTATCCTCTTTGACATAGAACGAGGCCCAGGTGATCAGCCGACCCCAAAAGCCATGGTGGGCCAGTGACCGGGCCAGCTGCAGGAATTCCGTTGGTCCTAATTGCCGGTACGCGAGTGCGAGGTATGTTTGTGCTGTGAACTGATTGTTGGCAAGGATGCCTATTAAAGTATTGAAGGCATGGTCCAAGTTCTCCTGCTGCTTCCTCTTCTTCCGATCCATGTTCATGTCCGTCTCCAAGTCCGATGTTGCTTGTTCCTCAGTCTGATCAGTCTGGAAAGCTGTGCAGAACTTTGCCGCCTTGAGAAAATGACGGTATTCCTTTGATATATGGCCATTGGTCGAAGGTGATGGAGAACTGCAGGGTGCTGCCTCAAAACAGCCTGTACATGATTCGCATGACATGATTCGGGGTGTTGGTCGGTGATCTTGATGTATTTCACGAATTGATTCTTTTTTTTTGAGTTGATAAAATTTTGCCTCCACCGCACTGTCTACGAATAAAGCTATTCGAGGGTTATGGTTGGTCCAAATACTGGCAAAGTGGGACTGACAGCTCCCCACTCAGTTCCTCGCCACAGTTTAGTTGGCTTCGAGAAAAGGTGACGAATAAAGGATTCTAGCCGTAATCCTAAAGTGGGTCTATATCAAAGGTTCACAGCACAACTACCTGCTCACTGCCATCTTGACGGTAATAGATGGTTGTCTGTGGCAATAACATCCAACAAAATAGCGGATCTTACTTTGCGGAGGAAACTCTCCCAGACAGGAGAGCAGATACGGATACCGTGAGCGTCGTTAACTCACGCAATAAAGTATTTGACCTAGCCTATAGACCCAGGATCTCCCGTGTTGAGTTAATATCGCCTTTGTCGCTCCAAAGGGTGCAGTCAGGGACGCAGATGGAAGTAAGCCTTTCTTTGTTGCCATTCTCTCTTCCAACTCTTAACCCTCTATGATACAGACAAGGACATGGCTGCACCTAACTGGCGAAACCAAGAGTCGACAATTTAGGTGGATAAAATTACAATTCGTCAGGAGGGCGCATAAAAGATACGAGGAGAAAACGATTATGATGTGAACAAGGGAACGGGCCGTGGGTGTCTCGAGATCCCAGCTCTCTTGTTAGCCCAGACTATCCTAGAGGGGTCGTACAAAAGACGTTTGTGAAGTCCGGCTTTGGGATACAGTTGAAATGTCGGAGCGGCTCGCGCGGTGTACTAGCAGAGACCGTTTTAAACAATGAATGAGTCTCAAGGTAGCCGACAATAAAAGCTGAGAAGGCAGATCAAGAATTCCTTTTGCTCCTTGACCTCCACACCCCAATACCAACCACTTCCCCGTATTTCGCTTCCTTCTTTCGATCTCGCGCCACCTGGGCTGGCCATTTCAAACCTGCTTCCTTTACACCCTTCAAGGTCAACTCTTTGGTGATATGAAAGTTGAGTTCGTGGCTGTAGAAGACATATGGGCCTTTATTACATTTCATGCTCCCTTGACAAGATTGAGACATGGATAGTATAGAGGTAGCCGAACCTGCAGTGGACCAGAATTAGATTAGTAGCTTGCAATAAGAAGTAAGGAAGCAGAGAACGATTTTAAAGAAAGCACCTTCCGACGAGTTCTTCCGCTGTTAAGAGGAAGACGTGTTTTAGAAGTAAAGGCACATTTTTTGTGTTTTTGAGGGTCATGTCTATCTTATTGATAACCATTTTCCTCTCCTCGACCCTCTCAGTCTCCCCGCAAGGCTCCATCTTCATTTCTTCCAGATAGTGAGGTTGATCAATCAACTGCTTCTTGGTAATTTAGACAAGGGCTGCAATGTACTCGATTCTACAGATTCAGGGTCTTGAGCAGGGCTTTCTTCGTGACGATGGTACCTGGTATTGTCCATAGCAAACACGAGGTGCCTCTACCATTTACCTTTGCACCATTAATATTGGTTCTTCAAACGCTCTCGGGACCGCGTTATCGTGGTATTCTGTTATGCTGCCCTTGGCCTTCCTGGCAAAAGGTTCCCCGATCCATTCTTGCTCGCTTCTGGAATACGGAATAATCTATCTCATGCCCTTATTACCTCGCTTTACTGTGCATACCATGATCAACATTGACGGTAAACAGAAATCGGATGGTAAGCAAAAAAAACCCAACAGTATTAGCAGCTGACAAAGCGACGGCAGATCAAACTGACCATGCTATTGACATTGATGATAGATACAGTATATACCATCAAGCCATGTGAGAAGGGCATTTTGTACTTCTCCGAGTCCCTTCCACTCGGACGGTAACGCCTCTTTTCTTGAATGTTCACAGTATCCGCAGAGTTCTTCGGGTGTCTAACCTTCCTGTACTTGATGTCCACAGACGCATTGGCTTGCGGATCGTCTAAGGCTCCGAAACAGTGTATTATTGGATCATGTTTCCTGAGATTGGCATGAAGAGGGTTTTAGATAGAGGAAAGATGACTGAAGCGAACGAACTACGATACACTGACAACGGTGAAGAAATGCGGTTATGCCCTTTCTGACATCATCGATCGAATCTTCTACGCCGACCACACCATTTTTCCTATTGACGGTGCTCGATGTCAGGAGAAGTCAAGAACCCATGCATAGAAGAATTGATAGAGCGACGTTGAGTGTGTCAAAATCAATGATTTGATTGCGGAGGTGAACAAGCGATACACTTAGGAGAAATGGTCATCCTGATCAAAAGCCAAGAGCGCCAGGCCAAGGCTCGCAAGGATTTACTAGATGACGGAGCGGGACGAAAAGAGGATATTGGCAGGACTCGAGCTCTGCTACACAGTTTAGAGGTGTGCGTGCTAGGCAGACCCGTACGCCTCCGTCCGATGCAAAAACTACGAGGGCAACATGATCTCGATCACTGGCGATTCGGACCCCCTTATTTCACAGCATGTCAGGCGCCTCGTATGTCCTTGCCGAACCACTATGAGCAATATGGAATATGCACTTTTCTTGCTGTAGTATGGAGCAAGTCGGTCATGATCCAAAGCATATCCCAGAGGTCCACGGCGACAACAACGGTAACCTCGATTCCAAGAATGATGAACATGGCAGATACCGGTTCATGGCGGGGTATGTCAGGCATAAGACCCTGCATTTCGAGGTCCACGGAAATCATTTCTGTCTGAGGATACAAGGCTACTACGCCCTTAGACAACCAATGTTATCCCTGGAAAAGGCTTAGATACACGCCTATAGTTATAAAATACATGAACGTGGCTGGCGATTAGATTGGTGCGTTAAGCCAGCCTCCCTCAGTAAGATACAGCAGTACATACACAGCTAAGTAGTCATATCATGGACAGAGTAACAAAATACTGAAAACCTGGGGTTACCTCCCTCCCCGATTTGTGCAAGACGATGTCTTGTTTAGGGCCCAGACTCAATGAACGCGTTCGATCTAGGAGCGCAAGCAGCGCTGTAGATTTAGAAGGAGGCAAAATGTATCAAGGGATGGACTGGGATATAAGCTTCATGGATCAAACCCCACACCAAAATATCTGTCTCACATGTCGCGTCGCGCACAGCCCCGGATCAATCGCGATCTACGCTAATAAACTCATCGTGAGTATCAAGGATTTCCAAGACGACAATCTATACTGTCCCATGCACGAAAATCTATACTAGGGTGCTTTGACATCCTCCCGCTTATCTTCCCTTTCTTTCCCTACTGTTTATTGTACACTCACTCTTTGTATCCCTCCTCCTGTCCCCTTCTCTCTCCGTGCAAACTACAGCCGTCATGGAGCATACGTTACGTGTACCGTCTCGATCGAATGCTGAGCACTCTACCGATTGGTGGGGCCGCGCAGTTGCACAGAACATGCAGGAGAGCAAAGTACATGGAGTATGTGTCAGGTTCCGCTTTGATGGGATTCTATTGTTATCCTTGGAGGCAGGGGATAGATCTTCCTGGCAGGCCGGGGGTGCATCGCCTTAGACAAATGAAACAAAACAAGAGGGCCCACACGAGCGATGCTCTGTGGTAGTGCGAAAACAAATGATACAGTTCTTTTCCGATGGTCTCGTAGAAAAGTACAATCGTTCCAAATGGCCCCTTTGTATGAACCGATGCATAGACGCCAACCCTGTCAATCGAGAGAAAACACTCTTGATAGGCCGACTGCTCCCAAGAAGATGTACTTTTTGCGTTTGCGCGACAACATAAACTCAAAAAGTACCAGCGTCTGAAATGAATAGACCGAGTATGTAATACCAATGGGCATCCATCGAGTTGGACGTGGTAATGGCTCTCTTCAGAGGTGCTGGAGGTAGAGGGCACTCGGCCCCGACCTGGCCTGCGCTCATTCTCACTCTCACTTTGTCATTCCATCTCATGAGCATCCTTCCGTCATCAACCTCATTCACCCCGCCATCGCCATCTTTGTTCTCTGCTTCTTGTCTCTCTCTCTTTCTCTCTCTTTTTTTTTAAAAAAAAATTCCTGCTCTGTGCTCTCGCAACTCGACCACATTCATCACACTCCAGCAATATCTTCACGGCCTCTAAGGGAGGCCATTATTGTAAAATAGCTCTCAAACTATTTCCCATTACAGAATACTCTCTCTTTTATCTGACAAGGCCTCATCATCATCATCAGCGAGGTAAGTTATCTACGTAAGCAGAACTCCTGTGTGTTTGAGTGTTCGCATTTAGCGAGGACATGAGGAAAAGATGGCGAAGAGGGAGGACCGCAGGTTGATTCTCATACTTGAAACAAGATTATGGTCATGGTGGCCCAGATCTGCAGGAGGCATCATGACCGTCGACCGGTGCATGCATCGTATTCCCTGCCTTCAAAGTTAGCCTTGATAGTGATCGATCAACCCCCGTTTCCGATTGACCATCTTGGCTCTAAATGTACACGCGTCAGATACCCCTCTTGCGTTTTCGATCATCTATTTTCGTATCTCATTCACTTTGTTTTGCCACTGTCGCGTTCACTGCGTGCCCTGTGCAACGCTGTGCTGTGCTGAACATCATCTGCACCATCTATCTCGACGTGTGTACTCGAACGAACTTGCATGGGCGCATCCCCTTATTCCCTATGTAACACTGCTAAATCAACTATGAAACCTGTCAATAACAAACGATATCGCACCTGCATTGCATATGGGCGAAAGCGATCGCGCGGGAAATACGTTACATACAGGGGCTGCATTAATGCGGTCAATTGACCATCGCCCGGGCGAATGTTTTTGTCCAAGACACACTCCCTCCATCCGTCGATGCTCTCTTCTAATCCGAACTTGTCATAAAGCTAACCCAAGCTCTACTACCCATTATCTTCTTTCGTCATAAAAAAAGAACAGCGATAACACAGATACAGCTCTGCACTGCCCCAATTACGCGCCAGTTGTCTATATCTGGCCCTCAGTCCTTGCTTCATCCATCTCTGTCTGCTCTACGGACTAAACCTACTCTTTCGGCATCGCGATCCGTTCAAGGAGCCATTACGAGCCATCTTCCGTCATCCACTCTTCCTGGCTGCTCGCATACAGGCTATCAGGTTCTATTTTTGCGCGATTCATATCGACCACCCATTGTCTCTTTTGCCTTCATACGTGTCGTATGCAACGACATTAGCGACGACTTTAACGACACAGTGACACTATCATCTCTATTATTATCGCAACTTCGAGAGTCTCTTTATACCTGTCATCTTGCACTTCTACGTCTCGCTTGCTGAAGTATCTTCCCCCATCTATCCCTTGTCCGTTTACGTATGAACAAACAATCCATCTGCCTACCATCGACGAGCCATAAGGTTGGCCTTCTTCTTCGACAATAACACAGCCATCAGCACGTATTGAGTTCTCGCGGTCGCTTTTCTGTTGATTTTTCATTTAAGCCGAACCAATTTTTATTTTTTTTTAGTATAACAGCCACTAGCCCAATTTTTTTTCAGCTTTTTTTGAGATCGCCTGTACTTAAATATTAATACCCATACCCCGACCCCCCCTACCATCGTCTTTTTTCACAATGGGTAATCTTCTAACTAAGTGCTGCACAGAGGACAATGATCGACGCAAAAAAAAGAACAGGTCCCCCACGACGTCACTTCCTGCAGCTGATCTCACAACACAGCACTCAGCTCACGCCCATGATATTATTCCCCTCGACCCTATAATATCTCCGGCCTATCAGCAACACCTCCAGGCACCAGCTACTCTCTCTTCAAACATAATCGGCCCCCAAGAATCATCGTCCGCTGACGGCACATTCAACCTGAACTCTGCAGGTCTCACGAACGAAAGAAACGGCCTCACCGGGTCAACACCTGAACCGACCAAAAAGAACAACAAGAGCGGCACAAAGTCTTCATCGACCTCGTTATTGAAGCAGCTTTCCTCATCCTTCCGAAATCTCAGTCACAGTAACAATAGTAGTGGCCGTCAACCATTAAGCGACAAGAACTACACCACATCGACCGCACGTAGCGCTCAACAACAACAACCACCTCAGCAATCCTTCTCCCTTACACAAGGGCTCGAAAGTTTCCCAGCCCCGTTGACGGACGAGGAGTGCAAGGTGCTTCTCTCGAATGAAATCCCAGCCTCTGAGATCGAGAAGCTATCCATTGGCGTGGACGCTGGAGGCATGGGAATCATCCACGTTGCGGAATGGAAAGGGATCAAAGTTGCTATCAAGGAGGCATCTGCCCACGTTATCGCTAAGGAAGTAAGTAATAGAGAGATGCTCGACATGACACCTGGTCCTCAGCTGCAGTCCGGAACTATATTACTATTTTTTTTAATGATTTGTTTGCATGGGCTTCGGTTCAGGCAATGACGCCCAAATGCAAACGCCTGGTCTTTTTTGGGATACGTCTTGCGCCCCTTCCCTCCTCTATCGGCTCTCGATTCTTTTTTACACCCTCCCTCCCTCCTCTGGCTCGTATGCTCTCTCTTTCCTCCGCGTCTCCTGCCAACCGATTCGATATGCAGCCCCGAAGCCGATCCATCTTTTCAATTGAGGTGTGATGTGTGCTCTTGTCGCGAGGGCACGTTAAAAAAAAGAGCACGAACCTTAAATTTGATTTCCCCCTTTCTGGTAATGGCAAAAGATGAGCAATACGGGTAATGGGTCGGTTTACTCTGTACTGGTGGAACTTAATCTACTCGTTTGGCCCTGTGCGCGAGGACCACATCCGCACATCCGCATACGGCCCACGGACAATAACCTGCGAACACAAACACGCATATGCTTACGTTAGTGTGCATGGATGGTATGAGCGACCCCAACTATAACTCAATCTCGTCTTTCAACCGATCGATCGATCGACCAACCAACCTTAGGTCGAGATCTACCATCGCATGAAGGGCTTCGAGGGCGTGGTTCAGTTCTACGGCGTCACCTACCCTCCGGGACTCAACAAGCTGTGCATCGTCACAAAGTACGCCGAAAACGGCTCGCTCTCCTGGCATCTCAAGGTCGCCTTCCACAAGCTGACCTGGGCCGACAAACTCACCCTCGCCACCCAGATCGCATCCTCCATTGCCCGACTTCACCACGAGGGTATCTACCACCGGGACTTGCATGGAGGCAACATCTTGATCGATAAAGCAGGGAACGCTATGCTGACGGATTTTGGAGCGAGCGCGGTCATGGAGGAGCGTGTGGTCCGTAGCATGGATGAATTTGCGATCGCGACAAAGGCAACACTCGAGGGTGCATCCAAGTTTGTGAGCGGGATGGTTCCGAATGTTCCTGACCTGGATGACCCGAGCTCTGCATCAGCAGCAGTAGCAGCAGCAGGCGACCAAAATCCGAGCACCAAAGAAAACACAAGTGGTAAATCTTCTGACGAGGAGAAGCACGACCCACTGATCGGCGTCATGGCCTATATCGCGCCTGAACGCTTCCGTAACCCGCGGTATTTTGATGCGCGCTGCGACATTTACTCGCTTGGAGTCTTGCTTTGGGAGCTGACGAGTGGGCATTCGGCGTTCGCAAAGATGTCTCAGGATGTGCAGCTGGCGGTGTCTATTCTGAATGGCAAGCGCGAGGAACCTGTGGAGGACACACCGGAGAAGTACTGTGCATTATATGAACGCTGTTGGGAGACCGATCCGGAGATGAGGCCTTCGTTGGATGAGGTCTTGTCCACCCTGGCTGAGGTTCGTGCCAGTCTGTCGCCGGAGGAACTTGCAATGACCAGGGAACGGAGCAGTACCCACAACGATGCAGGTAAAAGCACGTCTAGCATGGATTTGAATACGGTCCGTAGTGTTCTACTAGTGCCTTACTGATTCATATCTTGTTTTGTCATTGCTTTATCTCGTTAATCTTCTATGATAGATACCGACTTTGAAGAGTCATTGAGTGTGCCTCGGCCGACGTCCGACTATCAAAAATACCTGATTTCAGAGGAATTATAATAACCGCCAGTGGATGTGAAACGCAGACATGAAAGGCTTCTCGTTTCCTTCTATGGACATTGTGTTTCCGAATACAGTGTATCATGGCATCAAAAGCAGCAAGAGTAGCAACGTTGCCCTCAATAATCGATCCCACGCTACATCGGAGTGGATGTCTTTGTGAACATCCTATTCCCATTCCAACTTTTATTTGTTTGTTTGTTTGTTTGTTTGTTTGTTTCGATATCCACTCTAGAGTCTTACCCCACATTGTAGAATAAACGCCTTTTTTGATTGACAATGTATGCACGGTGCAACAACGTATGAATAATGAAAAGTGGCCCTTGCTCCTTTCAAAAACGTGGAAGCGATAGGAACACCGCTGTGCATCTCATTTTCTTTTCACCGCTTTTATGCAAACAGAGCAGCCTTGGAGGCAGTATTTAGAACCCTTCGCTCTTTGTTCCTCCCCTTCACTTCTCACTTCCAACGAAACAGACATACTTTCTCATTCTCCTTCAGACATACCCACGAACTCAAACGAGCGAACGAATACTCTCGACAAGGAACAGATGCCTGTTCGTGCCCCAGCGCCCACCCGCTTGGCCCCATCGACGCGTGCCACGCGTTCCCGCTATGATCCCCTTCTCCCCCAGCCCTCGCCCGGCTACTTTGGTCTCCCAGACCACCGCCCCCTCCCAACGTTACGCTACGTCTCCTCACACCCTCTCCCTGCCTGCCCACCCCCGGCGCGTCGCTTCTCCCTGCGACAATACCTCGCGACCCCGCGTGTGGACTTTGTATGTTACCTTCGTTTCTCCATCCTAGGCCTCGCCTTCCTGATGCTCATCCTCGACAGCATCCACATCGGACAACTCAGGTACTCCTGGAGACAACTGACCTGGGTACCCTGGCCGTTCAGTGAGTTTCTGGGGACGAGTTCACCGGATGGTCCGGCTCCGTCGGAGGAAGATCTGCATGGATACTATTTGAAGTTGTTAATCCCGGATTTGATGGCGATGGGGATGATGCTTTGGCTGTGTTTCGGACGAAGATGTATGGATCAATGGTTCCACCGGGGGTTGAGAGTATTTTTTGCAGGGGTGCTGGTGATCTTAGTGATGTGGTACCCTTGTGAGGAGATCCGGAAGGTGAGGGCATATACGCAACGAATGTTTGGTGATGGGAGCACCAGCACCGACAGCGGAGGGTCGATCGCGAGGGGATCTATAGGTGCAGGAGGAAGCGGTGGTGGTAGTGGTGGTGGTTTCGGAAACGGTTACCAGTGGACACCGCCCTCGGCAGGGGAGGTGTACTTTTGTTTCCTGAACCACCAAGATGTGGCACCGATCTCGCCGTTCGTGAACTGTGGTGTGTACAGGACAAGAAGCGTCTTTGCATTCGTGTTGGTCTTGATGGTCGCGGGCGAGATGGCGCTCGCGTTCAAGCAGGGGGAGTTTAGGATCTCGTAGGTTCTTCGTCTAGCAAAAAAAAAAAAAAAAAAAAAAAAAAAAGCAAGCAGGCAAGCAAAATGAGAACGATAGTACAACACGAATGCATACATGTGCACTGCGGAACCTTCAAAGGGTCGATGAAGAATGTATACTTCAAATAAACATTGACCATCGTTTTTTTTATGCCATATCCGGCGGAGAAGAGGGCATTCATAGTAGGAATTTGAGGCAGTTCCTGAAAAAAAGGCGTCCATGTCCATGTCTTCTTGCCATACTGTGTAACACATGCGCCTCACCCTTTGCAAAAACCAGGTGAACGAACATGATGTCCAAGCTCATCCACCGCTCCGCACCCTACCTGCTCTCTATTCTCGCCACAAAACACCCACCAACAACACCTCCACCAAGGCTCCACAGCTTCATCCCTTAACAAGGCCCATGTCCATCTCCGAGTCTCCCACCTCATTCTCACCATCACCATCCCCCATCCTCAGCCTCACTTCCCGATAATCTCAATCCCCCAGCGACTCGTCCATCCTCCTTCTCGAGGCCCAACGCGCCGTTACAGTTTCTACTGGCCATATGGGACTACTCTATTTGAATGTATCCAATGGATGGTCCAAAAACAAATCCACCACCACGTTCGCCATTGATCATCTTTCCGGTCTATGTAACCAAGATAAAACCAAGCGTTGAGGCGCTGAGAGTCTGCTTAATGCCAGAATCATGCCTACTTTGTCCACCGTGATGCACTTGAAGTCATTAGAATCATGCCCTGAAAGCCGCGAGGAGCCTGATTGCCTGTACGCTAGCCACGACGTGATCAGCACTCCGATCCGCAGGACGCCCTGCTTGTTCGGTACCGATTCTCTTACAAAGAGCGCGAAGGGAGAAGGAGAGGGCAAGCATATTCCAATTTTAGCAGCAGAACTGGGTACCTCTTCGTTATTGTTCGTCCACACTTGTAGAAATGTAGCAAAAAAATAAATAAATTCTGACCCTTCCTGCCCGTTGCTATGCTTGGATATGTATTCGGAGGACTGGTACAAGGGTTCTTGGCGCTTATGCAAGATCAGAATTTTGCTACCGCTGCTCTTTCCCGGATGAGCCCGTTTTATCGAACGCGTGAAGAACTCAAGAACATCAGACACGCAAAATGAAAAAGCGCGTCAATGGGCCTGTTTATATCATAACAATAGCAACAGTGAAAACGGCTATATGACTCACTCTTCCTAGTCAATGAGTCGTGGCAAATACGATGCAATAATAATAAAAAGCAGGATCGGGAAATGAGTCCAAGGGACGAAGGCTCCATGATAAAGAAAAAAATAAAGAAATGGCATTCGGCAATAACAGAAAACAGGGTTAATGCATTGTCCGTATTCCATTTGTGGTCTTGCAAGGAGCTCCTTCATTGCGGGTAGATGTGAATGTTGCACAGGTGCACTGGGGGTCAAGATCTATGTGATGCTGTCGAGGCTGCGCATCGCCCGGGCCAGATATACGCGTCGATCACTATGTCCCTTCAATGCAGTGCGAGCACCAAGTGCAAACCCATTCATTATATTACTGACAAAGGCTTTTCTTGCTATTGTACATTTTCATCTTTTCATCGTTTGGTTCAATCCTCACTCTCCTCACTCTTTATTTCATTTTCACATTGACGTTTGCTGGTTCTACGCTGACTAAGGTGTGGGGTTCGAAGCGATACATACAAAGGAAAGTGGACTGGCTTGCCATCAGTCAGTCTTACTTGGGAAAGTAAAGACTGTGCAGGGTACACCGCGGGCAGGTTGCAAGCCATGGTACCCCAGAAAAAACCACAAGGGAAAAAAAGTTCGGCTTTTGACCTTCTTATTTTTTGGGGGGTGGGGAATTGTATTTTTCTTGTTCTTGTTCTTTTTTCTTTTTTTCTTTTCTTTTTTTCTTTTCTTTTTTTCTTTTTTTCTTTTTTTCTTTTTTCTTTTTTTTAGAGAGGTGTAATAAAGCAAGAGCAGAAGCAAGAGCAGAAGCCGAGGCCTAAGCAAATGCCAGAGTCAGAGCAGTGATAGATGCGCAAGTCCAAGCAAAAGCAAAAGCAATAGCAAAGGCAGATGGAGAAGCAAAAGCAGATGTCGAAGCCAAAGCAAAAGCAACGCCGGAGCAGAAGCAAAAGCAAAAGTCCAAACAAAAGCAAAAGCGAAAACAAAAGCCAGAGCACAAGCAAGAGCAAAAGCGGAAGCTTAGGCAAATGCCAGAGTCGGAGCAGTGATAGATGCAAAAGTCCAAGCAAAAGCAAAAGCAAAAGCAAAAGCAAAAGCAAAAGTAAACAAAGGAAGAGAAGGGGAGAGAGAGAGAAAGCTAGAAGCAATAGAGACAAGGGAGCGCTGGGTGAGTGAGTGGGTGAGAGAGATACGAGAAGTGCAGGTGAACGAGACTGAGGTGAACAAGAGTGGAGAGAGCAGTGGGAGAGAGCAGTGGGAAAGAGCAGTGGGAGAGAGCAGTGGGAAAGAGCAGTGGGAGAGAGCAGTGGGAAAGAAGGGCAAGAGACAGCAGAAGTGAAGGACTGAGAGTGAAAGTGGGAGTAGCTGGAGCAGGGGTAAAGGTGGAAGAGGAGGAGGAGGAGGAGGAGGAGGAGGAGGAGGAGGAGGAGGAGGAAGAAGAGCTTACCTTGAAGACCAGGAAGAAGACCGGGGAGAAGATGAGGAAGAAAAGAGAGAAGAGAGAAGAGAGAAGGGAGAGAAAAAGAGGAGGGCTTCATATTCGGTCCTCGATAGACACTCCCTCCTCCACGACAGACGGCACACGTCATCGCTGCTGTCTGCAGCGAAGAGAGTGTCTTCGAGCAGCCTCCTATCGGTATAGTCTTTTCGGGACTTTCACATGAAAGAAAAAGAGATAGTGGGCGATAGACAGCACGGAGACAGTGGACAGAGAGACAAGCAAGGAAATGATGGTGGCAAAACCGGTGACCTATCGGGACATGAAATACACTTTGGTGGTAAGATAGCCTGGTCTTGACAGCAAAGGAGCAAAGAGAGGGAGAGAGGGAGAGAGGGAGCGAGGGAGTGAGGAAGTGAGGGAGTGAGGGAGTGAGGATGAGAGAATGGGAGGATGAGAGGATGAGAGGTCTCCTTTGATGAGCATGCAAGCATGGAATAGAAAGAAAACAATAGACAGAAAAGACATGGCAAAGGTAGTGCCACCACAAGAGTGTCTCAGTCAGGACGTCTATCGAAGCAGCCAATGATGTAATGATGTACCTGGGAGTGTGCAAGGATATAGAGAGAGACAAAGACACAGGAACAAGCAGCAAGGAAAGAGAACGAGTGAGACAAGGAAGAAGCGGCTACGGCGACGATGGCCATACAGGTCACATACAGCAATACTATCTTCTTGCAGCAGTACGCGGGCAGACAATGGTCCCTAAAGACAATACACCGCGAGTATGTTGGACTCGGACCAAACTGTCTATTCCAACATAACCACTGCTGGCTGTATCCTCTCCAGCTTTTTTTTTCTTATTTCATCAAGTGCTCACATACAGCTGTGCTGCATCCACTCTTTAAGAAAATCAGCCTGGTACAGACAACATCACAAGTGAGGCACACGTCGTAGCTGCGGACAGCAGCACTGGGAGTGGCAGAAAGGGCTGTCAGCAACGACACAGGTGTCCCTCTCGAGGGATTGTCCATGTTTATGCGCACACTCTGCAGCACAGCATTTTTTTCCTTATTCGTATAACCACCGCGAACGAGAAATCTGCAGTCGTAGTTAAAATGGGCGCAGTCCACAATTTCGAATTTCAAAATGTCCCAAACAAATCCAAACCCAAACCTTGATTTACACACCATAGCAGCTTACAAGAAACAGAGAAAGGGGATGATGCCGCTGGCGACAGAAATCGCTGTCGCCGCGTTGCACCCGCGTCCAGGACAAAGGAGAGTGGAAACAATATTGACATAGCCGGCCCCAGACCTTTCCATGTGCTGTCGCGTCCTCAAGAGCTACACCTTCCGCTTCCTTTTTACCCACCCCAAAGTGGTCGAAAACATGTGTGTAGGTAGGTCTTTATGGCAGCATGGCGCGCCTAGTCAATGCTTTGTTGTGGACGGTATTGGCGTCCTTGATGACAAACACACACACACACTCTTTTCCCACAACTGAAATATCGACGCTTTTTTTTAGACAGTGCTGCGTTTCAAAGACAATGGCGGTTTGTTTTAGACAACGCTACGTTTCCAACCACCACGGCCCATTTGCTCAACGTTCTTGTTTAATGACAAGCAGCGCTGGCATCCTCTGGTTCTGAGAGCAAAATAGCTCGATCAGATATAGTCTATCTAGTGATTCTCACCGGTGAAAAAATATTCACCGTTAAACAAAGAATCGGTCTCGTGTATTTTAGTTCATCGATTTTCACTGAATTTCACCGGTGAGCGGTGAAATCCGCATAACTCTCTGCTTTTTTTTTTTTATTGAATCGGGCACTGCCTTGCTGCTTTTCTGCTACTCTCGCGTGTGGGTGGTGAAGACCCGGGTGATATACTCGATCATCTCCTCCCCGGCCCTGTTATCCTTGAGGATGAAGTTCCGGCGGCTGAACTTGATGGGCGCGTCCTTGTCATCCTTCATCTGCTGGTAGACAGAATGGCCCCTTGGTGAGCGATAAAATAGCAACTCCTCCACCTCCACAGCATCAAGCTCTGGGTTGTCGGCAATGAAATTGTCCAGCTTTCGATCCGCGATCTTCTTCTGCAACGTGAAAAGGCGGTATCCGCCGATAGGAAGTGGCTGAGGGTTCCCGAACTTCAGAACAACGAAGACCTCCTGCTGGTTAGGTGGGCGAGCGATGACATGGTCGCGGTTCGCCTCCCGGCGTGCTTGCTCGCTGTTGGCCAGGGCTACCTTGGTAGTCTTGAGCTCAAGCTCGGTCACGGCTACATTGGTCTAGGAAGGTACACTGTATCTTGCTCATAGACTCGCACACATGTGGTCGAGGACATTTTTTGCTGCGGAGAGGGGGATGGCATATATTCAAGACGCCAACGGCTACATTGGTCTAGGTACGCTGCATCTTGCTCATAGACTCAAGTACAGGTGCACGGCCCGCATACCGTCTCCGCCTCTGCTTCTCTTCTGCCTCTTGTGTCTGAGCTCGCGCCTGGGTATCTCGGAGGGCATTTTCCTCATCAGCCATCGATCTGGCTCAACACGGCTGTGGCATCGTCTCTCCATGTGCTCTTACGATAATTGACTATGTCGTCCAGCTTCGATATCCTGAATCGTGGATGCATGGGGTCCGCAGATGATGCTTCCTGGGACTGGTCTATACTACACTCCAGGAAGTACCAGTTGACCGCGTCCGTGACAATTCCATACGCCCGCATGGGGATAGACTTGTCCTCTTCCGACTCCCCATCGTCGTCGTCACAGCGCTTGCGTTTTCGAATGGTCAACGACGACTCTAGTTGCACCAGATTCTACCAGACTTTGTGCATTGTTTTTTACTCACAACACAACCTCTCTGCAGCGAAAAGCAAGGATAAAAAAAGCTACGAATTGTACAAAATATGGCTATGTTTTTGACAGATCATGTACACTCGGTGCACTAGACCTTGGTCGTGGATTCGAGTATTTTTTGCCTCTTAGTCTGAGCTCGCGCTTTGGGATCTCGTCCACCATTTTCCTCATCAGCCATACAATTCGACCCAACACCGCGGCGGCATCCTCCTTCCATGTGCTCTTCTGGTAGTTGACCACATCATCCAATTTCGATATCCTGAATCTTGGGCAGCGAGAGTCGGTAGAAGACTTATCATCGGACTGGCTTATGCAACATTCCAAGAAATACCAGTCTCTGGCATCCGTGACAATCCCGTATGCCTTCAAAGGGATACATCTGTCCTCCTCCTCATCACCACACCGCTTGCGTTTTCGAATGGTCAGCGACAACTCTAGTTGCACCAAATTCTGCGCCACGCCCTTTCGGATGTCTTCTTTCTTCACCTCTGTAACGCCTAGCGTGTATGGCATGTCCCTAACGGAACTGGATTCGATGGAGTAGTCAATCTTCCCATGGCCACGTCTGCCTCGAAGCGCTCTCTTGAGCACAAGTTTCAGTTTCCCATCAAAGATTAAAACAGCCTACAAGAGAAATGAGCATACATAGATGGAGGCTGTCGCCTCATTGGCTGAAGGTATCGGCATCGCTGAATTCGTGAGTCTAACTCATCGAGCAGCCTTCGCAAGGACTCCTGGTGCAGAGCTGAGTCGAGTGGCTCAGTGGAGATCCCATGGAATTGTGGTAGGTCGGGAACATCTGGCTTTTCCAAGTTCGTTATCTCATATAGGCTGTTGACCTCTGCAAGCGTGAAGTCCGTGTACTTCTTGGTCGGTGTCTCCAGCGCCACTGTTAATGTTCCAGTGCCCGTCTTTCGATATTGCTTTAAGATGTCTCGAAACTGTATGTCATTGATGGGGTGCTCCGTCCCTCCGCTCTCATGTTGAGGAGTTCCACGAGCATGGATGACTGCCAATACAGCGTCACCGTCTTCTCTGTCTGGATATTCGAGATAGATGGTCGTTAAAAGGTCCTTGATCGTCGTCGTCTCGGTGTTCCTGGTCTCCGATTCGGGGGTTTGTGTGGATGCAGCTAGTCGAAACAACGAAAATGGCCAGCATGTTGTCTAGTGCCTGGCTTGACTCGCGCACGGACCACCGGGGCCAGAACAGGGATTACTTCTTAGAGAGAACTCACAGTTCTGGCCCTTGGCTAAACATCCAGCTGAGGAGAGGAGGAGGACATACCTTTGGGGCGCTCGACAATGATGAACGTACAGTACTATCGTCGCCAGCGCTCCCGGGGAATAGCTTGGAAAGCTGTGTTCTTGGGTTGCTCAGCCTCTTCTTTTCCTTCAGGGCGTCGAGCAGGACGGGAAGCTCATCTTCTGCATCCTCGCCAATGGGGACTGTGGCTCGCCAGAGCACCAGGTCGTTGGCGTCGAGGTGCCCGAGCATGCCGGGCATTTCACTCTTGATTGCTTTTTTGAATTCGCCGATGGGGTATCTTCACTGGAAACGCATTCGATGCCAGCTCGCCGCTGATGAGACAGAAGAGGGTGAGTGTGGTGGCCATGGAGGGAATGAGGATGGTGAGATGTGAGTTGTCTGGACGGAGCAAAACATGAGGTGAGGTGTAAGATGGAACAATGTGACCATGGAGTAAAACGCGAATTTGTTTGTTGATGAAGCGAGTCGAAGGTATAAACGCAAATCAATAAATTGACCTAAGAAGCTTATAAGATCAAACTAACCAGACATCGACTTCGCATTTGAGCTACTCAACAATATGGACCACAAGTTCGAGCCCATCTATTTCAAAACCGACAACAAGCAAACACAAGGACCACAGGCCAGATGTCGTGAATGGGGCTGTAAGAACTCTCACGCGTTCTTCGTCGCCTTCCAGACCGGACCATCATACTACGAGTACTCGTGCTACAGAGACCTTAGAAAGGGTTTGTTCTTGGTCCAATAGACTCGGGCTGCACAAGCCCTGCTGGCATAACGCATTCAGGGTGCCGCGATAGAGCTAAAAGCCAGAAGGAGTACCAACGGTGCTCTACAGACAGGTACTCGAATCAGGGATGCAGCGTGCAGACACATCCCACAACACCTGCCATGTGCTGTCGTGCGCCATCCAGACTAAGTGCAGTGCCTCAGTGTTGGAGAAAGGGCGTCTACTTGGTGCTCCCTAAATCCCAGCCCAATCTCCCGATACGAGTCTATCTCCACTGACATCTAAACCCCACTGCAATCCAGGGTCGCAGGATGGACAGGCGCGACTTTTTTTAAAAATGCGAGCTGTGCATGTGGCCCCTGGAATCTGGACTGTACAGGCATTTTTGGTCTGGTCTTCAGATCCGGAACGACCTCCTAAGTCTATCTGACCCAGCTGACATCCCCTTTCCAACTTCAATAAAAAAAAAATCAACCTCAATAAAGACCTTTCTGCTTCTTGTTCCAATCCAATCCAATCCAATCCAATCCAATCCAAAAAAAAAAAAAAAAAAAAAAAAAAAAACGGCTTTAATGTGATAATGTGAAAAAGAACGCGACCATAGTAAATGGCAAAGTGATGTGGACTATGCAGGGAGACCACACCTAAATGCATTGCCTGAGATTGAGCTGCTCTGTTAAACTTCATCCCTGCTGTTGAGAAAAGAGAGAAATGCCTTTGACCTTGACTGACCCAAGGTGTGAAAGAGCGGTGATTGGGGCAAGGACGCGCGTTGTTTGCAGGTAAAACAAAAGGCAAAAAGTGCTGTGCATGCGCATTTGTTGTTTCTTTTTTAACTCACACATCTCCACGCAATGAAACCTTTGTCACGTACGGTACCCTCATAGTGCCTTAATCCGACCTCAAGAAGTCTTTTGTCTCCACAAAGAACTTTCCTTCTTTGCGGACACATATCCAAAAAAAAAAAGGCACAGCTTTGGAAAGGACTCCACCATGTTTAAAAGACTACACTTTCTTTCCCCCTGCCCTGGTGAACACAAACCCCTCGCCAACGTTTGTTACCCCTCCCCCCCCCCCCCCCCCTTTGCCTCTGAACTCTCTTACACCAACAGAGGAACAAAAAAAAATAATGGATTTCGACATCATATGCAGTACATTTGTCTATCCTAGCATTGAAAAGGTCGCTGCCAGTGCTTCCAAATCCTCAAAGTCGTCCCTGACTCAGGCCGAGAAATTGCGACAATTCCAAGCGAACGTACGTGTGGTCGGAAACAAAAAAAACAACTGCAGGACACAAGCCCTCTCAAAACCGACACCGCCCGTATTAGGAACCAAAGATGAAGGCGAAGACAAGGATAAGGATAAAGACAAAGACGAAGACGAAGACGACGAGTCCAAGGACACCTCCCATCAGGACCGCCGTCAGAGTGTCATCCTCAATCTAACCTCTTCTGGTGGTGCCCCGTCTCAAATGTCCACTCATGTTGCATCGCATGTATCTCCTCGTGCCCTGTCGCATGCGTCGACTCGTCTCCCATCGCGTGTTTCTCGCAAGGGACACAACAGCCGTGCGTCGGCACCACAGCGCCGGCCGCCATCAGAGCTCGATATCGAGCATAGTCTACCTACGGTCTCCGTAGACAAATCCACGGTGAAGAAGAAGCAGTCCAAGGCAGTACATCGCCAGACGCGTCAGGATATAATTGATCTCGGGAACGATCCGGGTCACGATATCGAGGAGTTCTACGCGACCAAGAATGAAATGCGACGTAGTGCTAGAACCCATACGAAGCGGCATGTACAGCCTAGATAACGATCGCTGATTTCCGTCAGTTGAAATGTGCAGAAATAAACTGAGAAGATTGTTGTGGGAATGAGAATTATGTTCATTATAAGGTGATTAGGATCTATGGAGGATGGTCTATGGTTAGATATTAGATTAAGAGTGGTCTACAGTTGTCTATGGTCGAGATTAATGAGTAGTGGTATGTAAGGGGAAAGGAAAGGGTCATTAAAGACATGAAAAAAGGTTAGGATTGATGGGAGAGAAATTAGGAACTGGTATAAACAAAAAGAAAAAGGTCTGAAGAAGGGGACGACCGTATACATCGCGAGCAGCCATCTCTACTTCTGTTTGGACCGATCCTTCAGCTTGAAGCTAAAGAACGCCAATACATGCCATCCCAACAAAATTATTGCCATCGACTGGAAGCACCACCAGAACTGGCCAAGCTCGTACGTATGAGACAGAGGCTGTGTCCTGATCTCCTCCCACGGACGCGCCTGAACCTCCCGCAGATAAATCGCCTCTATCGCATATCTGGGGGCCGAAATGATCCACAGCCATCTCGTGGCCGTATAGCCCGAAGACGCCGAGGCCATGACGTCCGCAAGATCCGGCGCATCGCCCGAGAACACGATCGCCCAGGCCAATGTAAATCCTGTTCCGACGAGCGAGACCCGGTTCTGGGGTACCAACGCCGACAGCAGGTAACCCATCGCGAACGCAACAGCGTAGAGCATGATGATGATGAAGAGCAGGTAAAAGTAGTTCGAGCGCTGGTTGAAGAAGATGACGAGCGAGATGGAGAACATGATTCCTGCAAGGATGATCCTAGGAATGTCCGCAATGACCTTGGCCAAGTAGTATGGGAGCGTGAGCAGGCCCGAGGACTTCTCGCGCCAGTACACAATCTTTTCATTGCCAAAGGTCATGGAGCCAACAGAGATACCCGCAAAGCAGACACCTAGTGCGATGAAGACACCAACCTCTGTCAAGTGGTCCGTTGGGTTCTGACAGTTGACCTTGAGCTGAAAGGGTGTCATCGCGCAGATCATGTCCGGCTGTCGACCCAAGTAATCGAAACGAGAGGCTGCCACGGAAATAAAGAGACCGCATCCGAGATGCAACAGCTGGTCGTAGAGGAACTGGCGCTGGTTCCTGTAGATCTGCAGGCGGGCCCGGTTCAGACAGAACCAGAACATCATGAACGGGTTGGCAGTGTTACGGACGGGGTCCTTGCGTCTCAGGAGGATTCCCTGCACTGTTTCGACAGTCTCGGCAAAGACACCCTTCCACCACATGCGCGACTCGATCAAGAAGATACGAGCTGATTTCTGGAGGGTCTCCCAATAGGTCAGATGCTCCGGTGGTGGAGGAGTCGAATACATCGATGTAAAGTCGCTGAGTGCCATAGATGCTCTGGGTGAGGAGGCAGCGGACTTTTGGTGGATCGAATCCCGCGACATGGTGACAGACTTATGCTGGCTGAGGCGCTTCTGATGAGTCTGAGTTGGTGGATGCAAAGTAGCAGATGAAGCTGAGGACATCACCCCTGTGGGGCTTACTGCGGAAGATGGCAGTGCCAGCGAGGACATGTTGTTAACATTAGTCATCGCCAACGACTCTGGGAAACCATGGCTGCCTTGCTGGATCGAGATGGCAGACTGGTTCAAGTTCGGATACGACAACAGAGCAGAGACTCTTGGATTGAGGTGCGGTGATGCTGGCCTTGATGTATGCGGCGAAGGATAGCGGTATTCGACTTCAGTGCCGGGGTCAGCGTAAAAGCTTTGGGCACGTCTGCAGTACGATTCCCAGTATCTGGACAGGTAGAAGGGCTTGAATTTCTTTGTGATCTTGGACTTGACGTTATTCGAGATGACATCCATGTAGAAATCAGAGGGACTCGAGTTCGAAGGCACAGGGAAGCCGATAGCAGTAAAGTAAGCAGGTGCTTCAGTCCGAGGACCGTGAAAGACAACGCGACCGTTCTGTCCGAGCAATAGGAGATCATCAAACTGGTCAAAGGCAATGGGGCTGGGGGAATGAATGACAGCCGCAACGGTCAGGCCCTTATGGCGAGCCACCGACTTGAGCAGCTTGCAGACATCGCCACTGGTACTCGAGTCAAGACCTGAGGTTGGCTCATCCAAGAAAAGAATACTGGGATCCGTGACCAGCTCCATACCAATGTTCACGCGCTTGCGCTGTCCACCAGAGATACCTCTCCGTTCTGCGTCACCCACAACTGAGTCCATGACGGAGTTCAGCCCCAGAAAGTCGACAATCTCAAGCACCTTCTCCGTCATCTGAGTCCTTCTGAGATCCGAGGGCAGACGCATGTAAGCCGAGTGCAACAGTACATCGTGGACCGTCAACTCGCGCATCATGATATCCTCTTGAGGGACGAATCCAATCAGTTTGCGATAGTAGCTCAAGTCCTCCCCCTGTCCGTTGATCAGGATGCGGCCCTCGTCCTTTGGGATTTTGGAAGTCAGCATTGAGATGAGCGTTGTCTTTCCCGAACCTGAGGGTCCCATAATGGCGCACGTCCTCCCACTTCGCAAGATACCAGACACGTTCTGTGAAAGAAAAAAAAAAGGAGAAAGAATATGCGTAAGTAGATGCAACACAGTTAGATGCATTAGCACGCGATGAAGCGGAGTATTACCTGGAGGATAGACGTTCCATTGGAGAGAGTTAAACCTAGGTGTTCAAACTCAATGTCGAATGTCTGAGAGACTTTGCTCGTCTTCTTCTTATGGTTCTTGGTTGACGGTACCATGGTAGCATCGCTCTCGTCGTCGCCGATCTGGACAACAGACTCTTTCGTCACCAGTTCAGAAGTCGACATGTCGGGGTTGGTGACATTGATATCGGGGCTGCTCGAGGTCTTTGTCGACTTGGTCTCCTGGTCTATGCTCTCGTCTCCATCCTGTTGCTCATCATCTGCACCCAAGAGATTGTCGTGGTTTTCGTTGTGATTGTGGATCCAGCGAAGGCGTTTCTCCAGATGATGGGCCTTGACTGTCTCGAAGCGCTTGTGGATATAGAAGACGATGCAAATGCCGACGATGAACAGGAGGACAAACAGGATCAGACCAAACTTCGAGGCCGAGGAACTACCTGCCGGACAAGAGGCCAACCACAAACAAGATGTCTATACGCAAATGAAGATCACAAGAGATGAGAAGGTTGGTTGGTTGATTGTTTGATGGTACATTTGACCAAGATTAATTTTAGAGCTCATGCACTTACGCCTCCACCGACGGATCCTGCGGGACAGTAATGGTTTTCAGGGCAGATACTGATGGTTGTCGTATCTAATGAGCAGTAGTAGCCTGGACAGCAGTACATTGGCTGTGCCGTGTTTGCAGGACAGTAGAACCCCTATGGCGGCATCGAAAGATATAGTTTCCAGTCAGCAAAATCATGTCCATTCACTATTGTCTTATTACAAGGCAGGGGAAATAAGATGGAATGCTTACCGGTGGACAGGGTGCCGAGTGTTTGGGGGATAGGCAGAATTGGCTAATTGCATCGGAATTAGTAGCAGCGTTAGTACTTCTCAATGGATAGATACTAGAGCCCTGTCGGTCATGCTTCAGGCCTTACCCAGCTGGACATGTCCATGTGGGAGTCGATGCATTGACTTGAGAATTGATGGGCGTCTGTACATATTGACATGCTGGTCCATTTCCAGGCTGTATGTAAGAGAAGGAGGGAACAAAATAAAAGAAGAGGGTAAGGGATCAATATGCGTTTGTATAAAACGAGGAAAATGGTGTCTATGCAATGCTTGCACACGTACGACAATCCCTGGTGCATCGACCAGCCTCAGAAGGGCGTAGTAATCTAATGGATCCATGCCCTGAAATGTGCCTTTTAAGGGATAGGTTCGCTCCCGTCAAGGAAATGATTTTCAGTTTGTCGTGTGACAAAATGTGTGCAGTCCAAGCGTGGGAAGGTGAGGGAGAGATCTGATTTACAGTCGAGGAATGAATGAGGAGAGATGAGGAGAGATGAGGAGAGATGAGGAGAGATGAGGAGAGAGAGTGGAAGTGGGAGTAGGGATGGAGAGTATGGATGTTGATGACAATGAACAATATGCTTCGTCCTCAATGCTCTTTTGAATATGTGGGTTGTAAATCGTGAATGTCAGTGAAATCGAACTCGGATCGAAAGGAGGGAATGTATCCTGGTCGGTGCTGTATTTATACCTCCAGTAAACACGGACCGATCCACTTACACATGTGCATCGCAGGAGTATGAAATACGGTATTGTAGGAGCATGAATACGTCCAAGACGTATGTAGTCTATTTAATACACAGTAACGGATGGCCAATTGAACCTCTACTCTTTACAACATCCGATAGCATATACTCCCTCGAGAGCAATCCCCCTCTCTCTCCCTTTTTTCTTAACAACTGTCTACAATCACTCCCTTTCCCGTGTTTGCTGTGGACGCACTGGCTGTGATGGATCGTTGCATCATGTCATACGTGTATTAGGGGATGGGAAGATGGATGCGTGTGCCCCTGCTACAACATACATAGCAAAGTGAACGCGAGTACCCATGCAGTAGGGTGGTAGGGCCAATGCGATGCCAAGATAAACCACGCGGACCGCATCATTGTCATTACTACACTTCAAAACGGATCATCATCATTATCCTCGTCGTCCTTCCAGTCTATTTCTTTTCAAAGTTGTACACAACGCTCAGGGTCGTTCTAATTTCCTTCGTACGCTCATCTTCACATGCCAGCAATATATTTTTTTATACAATGCTCAGCCTTGAACTAAAATTACGCTCAACCACGTTGGTCGGTAGAGTCAGTTACCGGCCCCCTCTTCCATTACCGGCCTATGGTTACTCATGACCCTTTCTCAGGGGCAGCAGCGACACCCGCTTCGCCATGTGTCTAAGGTATGTCTAAGCGCTCTGTTGTTAATCGAGAGAGAGAGATAGAGATAGAGCCTGATCGGACTGATCTGTCCTTCTCTCTCTGTAGGATTCCCCAGATAGAAAATAAAATAAAATATATACACAAATAACCTATGCTCAGACGTGGCCTTGGCACTTACACATAGTTTTTTTATCCGCAAGAGGAATAAACAATACGTGTCTACAGCATGTTACACTCAATAACGGTCTTGGGCCCTGCACCAGATAAATCATAAGATTGGTTCCCAAGTCCTCTTCGCCTGTCCTAATACGGAATTCTTTATTGCAAATTCATATGCATTGCCATTGCTGTGCCCAGACTTGCCAGTTCTCATCATAATGTCATGCCAAGTACAGGCAGGGTATCGCTTACACACATGGAACGCAAAGACGTCATGGTTCATGGCCCATGCTCGTGGTTATTTTTCAACACCGATAGACCAGCATACGAATGCGCAATTGCAGTCCCTGAGCATCACCAAACTATGGTGCAATTATATCCTCCTTCCGACCATTTAGTGTGTACGAGAAATGCCTCAAGCAGATCCATGTGTTGGTGACAGCGATAAAGGAGATTGGGCAGTTGAGTGTCCGACCGTTTTGCTGCCTCGATAACTGACCGTGGTGCCAATCACGTTTTAAAGATGGTAAGACCATTGCGGAGCAATTGTGAGTCGCCCTTTAAAAGTATGAGGTGAGATGCTGAATGAGAGGTCAGGGGAATCGGTTCTGTTCACTTCAGAGTGTGCACCCTGTTCTGGATTCAGCGGTGAAGGACTATCGGAGGTTTCTGTTCCTTGGCACCTCATGACTAGGACTCTTTACCCCAGAAGATCTACATTGACACTAAAGCCCAACAAAAGACATTTTGTAAAATGAGAGAAAGGGGGGCCCCTGTTCTTGACGTCTCGGAACACGCGTTACGCGTTCAATTAGGAGTCGCCCCTTGCAAGCGCTTCGCACAGCCCCGACCCAGATATGAAATAGCATTTTGTGAGCTGTACTTGCTCCGCCCAGCCGATCCGAAAATGCGGTCCGGGTGCGGTTCGGGTGCAACCATTTGGGGCCTCGCCTTGGAACAGCGTGCCGGCATAGACTATGCGTGCAGGCGCGCCGGCACGTATACAAACTGCTTGCGCGCGCGCCATCTTTGCTGGCTCTTGCGTTTTTTTAACCAAGGCGTATGTATCACGTGGCGCAGACGAACAGCTGCTGCAGCTTGAACACGTCGCGATAAGCCTAGCGAGGACGCACTGTCATTCTCTTATGTAAATCGGCCTGGTCCCTATTAGAGTGCTAGGTTGGCGTACGCATTGTTTGGACTGATACACCATTCTCGCTACCCTTCACTCTCAGTCGTACTCATTCACTTTTTCTATTTTATTATGATTGCATCCCTCGAATGAACAGCACCATGGGGCCACCGGGAACACGTCGATTTACCAACAGTCTAGTCCAGGAGTTCTACGCCAGTATTCCAGAACACGCCAAAACGCAAAGGCAACTGGCGTCGCTATCGAACAAGCAGCAACTAAACCGAGCCAACGACACAGGAGTAGTGTCAAATCTGGTAATTACAGAAGCCGTCTCTACCTCAGAGGCAGCCTCAGAGGCAGCGTCAGAAGGGAGGTCAAAGGATCCAGAGTCGACATACGACCCATCTTCTAGTCTCAAGGTTGTAGGAAAGGATACACCTCAGCAGCAGCAACAGAAGGGGTCGACAGAGCCAGCTGTCAATACTTCGACAACAATGAAACCGATCCCTCGCAAATTGTTCAAGGCCATCAAGAAGAAACTGCAGAAGAGGGAACGCAGACGACTGAACGCAATCGAGACCCGGAGGCAGCGAGCCATTCCTTGAGCCGGGCGGTGACCACGCTGGTGCAAATGTTATCCGTCGTCCATAACTATGCCTTCGTTAGATCGCCTTCTGGCAGCGGTAGACCATATACTTCGCAAGAGAGCGCGTCGCTCCCCTCGTCCTGTCAACACATTGAAGGCTAGCGGTGCAGATCCCAGTCGCCCAATGTTCATCCTTTTGCAGGGTGGCACCAAACAAACACCTTTTTAAAATAAAGGCGCAAAGTATGGCTATTGAGGATAAAAGTCGATCTCTTGCCTCGCTTGCATCTGCAGATCCAGAGGTGCATGAATTTGTTTGATCGTCCAAAACAAGATGCTTTTTTCATCGCAATGCTGTTTTTCATTCGCTTCTCACTCGAATTCGAATCACTCCCCTAGCGCTCGAAAACGAACGAACACATCAAGCACAGGTCTATTTCGATCCCCGAGCTCACAGATCATATCTCCAATTTTCTTTGACCCGTCGAAAAGTCCAGACTGGCCCTCGTCTCCAAGACCCTCAACCAGACATTCCAACTGACCCTTTGTCTCGTACTGTCGCCCCTCATTTATCCAGACCCCACAGTAAAGGATGCGCGCGTTCCATGGACGGTCCGGCCAAGCAATTAGCAATTAGTGATCTCGCCTCGCGTATCTGGTCCTTGAATCTGGACCTCCACAAGGGCTTCACGAGCCCCAGTCAGAGAGCGCTTTTGCATGCCATCTAAAGCATCGCAGCCATACTGTTCGGCGTCTCAGGATCGAGCTCTGGGAAATAATATGGACATACTAACGGAGGTCCTGGCCAGGCTGCCAAGAGTCGAAGAGCTATCTATCACTTTTCTCATGAGCTTGGTGGCGACGAGAGGAAGATCAGTCAGCTCGCAGCAGAGAAGACCTCATCTGACAGCCCTTCATACTGGGATATTGTCAGTGAGAAGGGATGGTCTCTTTGAGTTTGCAAAGTATTGCTCCAGTCCAAGGTGTGATCATCCTTTGGATATGGACACAAAAGATTCTTCTGCTGCGACTGACTGTTCAAATGTACACCGCCAGCGCCACAAATCCGAGGATTTTATGACGCTGGGTGCTTTCACGGGCTGGAATATGTCCATAAGCCTCCTCTTTTTTATTTTGGCCATTATCGAAGCACAGCCTGTGTCTTGACCCTTTTTTATATTTTTTATTTCCATTTTTTTTGGATAAGAAGAGAGGTTCGGCGTACGACTCGGAGGTAGTGCAATACCGAGGACACCAGTGCTCGCCCAGGTAGCAAGCCAGAGCCGGGCAAGCGTAGCTCAAAAATGAAATTAATCGATTGGTGGCCGTAGCCACCATATTATTCGATTAGAATAATAAGAACAGATACTACACTTGATCTTAGCCAAAAAGCTAGAGCGGGTAGGGAACAAATTCTTCCCAAGGGCGACGTCCTTTTATACTCTAGAAGCCTCGACACCTTGTGACTATGACACATTCGATTTATGGGAGTCTTTACTCCGCAGCTTACAAATTGTTCTAATTTCAAAAAAAAAATTGCAGGCGGGGGGTATACGGACTGCCAAAATTGGTGGCCATGCAACCAATTGGAGGCGATCCTCGAATCCAGGCACCCACTGCCCGAGACCACAGCGACAAGGACAAAGCAGCATGGATAATGATCTGCATGATCGAGACACTCTGGAATACGTATTTCGTTATCAACGACAGGGATAGCCAAATATTTGGCGCGTGGTGTGATTTTCACTCGGTCTATGAGGAAGACGCGAGTCGGCGCCTTTTGAGGGGGGCTATTTTTTGGTGCAAGTATACAAAGATGACCTTTATTTTTAAGCCGAATTATCGGTGACAATGCCGTCTCCGAGTTCTATTTAACTCCACCATTTCAGCCATATTAGGGGGACGCTTTGCGCAGAAACGGGCATCGAAACGCAACCCACGAAACAAACACATGGCGAAGGGAGTAAAAAGCAAGGCGATGCATGAATGTAATCTCGCAATTTTACTTTGCCTCTCACACCTTGACCCTCGCCAACTCCTACCATCCCCACAAAACACTATTGTCCCCGGAAGTCTATTCCCCAGCAACCGTGCTGTCGTCATATTCAGAGACTACGAGATCCCATGTTCACCCAAGACACCAAGGTCGCCGAGGATACCGAGGGCACGAGCTCCATCTGTTCCTGCCCCGCCCACGATGGCCTCACTCTCGAGTCACTCTCTCGGTAAGTGTGCAAGCTCCAGCTCGAGGTCTTCCGTTTGAAAGTCTCTCAGATCCAGCAGTCCTCAAGCGATCGTATACCATCCTATTCCTCATCCTTCCTGCTCGCAGAAGGATCTGCAACTGTGAACCAAGTTGCACCTCAGATTGCTGCTCAGGAAGATGTGCTTATTGGTGAACCGCAGCGAGGCTTGGCTGCAACCGCATCATCCTTGGCGGAGTTGTCTTCTGTCATCGCAGCGGTCTCCCAGACGAACAACACAACCGAGACAGCTCAACCACAGGACGTATTGGTGGACCGACTCGAGGAAGTCGAGCAAACGCTCGCTGCGCTGTCCTCTTCTTCAACGTCAACTCCTGGGGACCATCATGACCAGCAACAGCCCAGAGATCATCAAGACCAGCAACAGCCTAGAGACCAGAAGCAGAACAAGAAACCAGAATCAAACCAGCCACAACCGGCCTACGATGACAATGACTCCCCAAATAGGACGTTTCTTCGTTCCACAACCGAGGCCATCAAGCGGATAATGATCGACATTGAACTAAACCCACCGAGAGGCACTGCAAAACCAGTACTGCCGGACCCTGCCACAATCGACGGCGACATCTGGGTCATCTGGTGCGAGTCTTCCAATGGGAAAGATTATAGGGCACAGCTTTTCAAGCTAATTGAGAGCTTCCGAGAGAAGGAGGAGAAGGAACGGAAGAGACTACGTGATTTGGACACGCGTATATACGAGAACGACGATTCACCCCACCGACGGCACCTGCAGTCCAAGATTACTCTTGTGAAGCAGGCTGTATTCGATTTTCAGCCCCAAAAAGCAGCTGGGAAGAAACGGCCAGATCTCTCCTCCGATGCCTACTCGATGGATGTCGACGTGTTCCTGCTTTGGTGTATTCAGACGCATGCCTATAGATTGTATTCATGGATGAATTACTGTTCGATAGATCGATTCTATGTGCTGAAAAACGAACAAAACCGTTACGAATTGGATTCTGTTACGCTAGTTAATCATCTACAGAAGAAGGGCGAAGAAGAGAGACAGTATCTGGTCGAGCGGAGCCATAAACGCGACGCACATACCGAGCTAGAGATTTGATTGACAGCTCTTCAAATAATATAAAGCGCACCCGCTCCTTAAGAAAGCCCAGCGCTGTAAACCGCTTTCTTGGCCCAAACAGGTTTTTGTGTCTCTATCTTTGGTTCTTTGGCACAACACAAAGCGCCGCCTGAGCAATAATGTTGTTGACTACTCGCGACCTAACCTGAGCAACGATGTTGTTGAGCAACAAGGTTGTCCCGACAGATAGCCGTGCATAAGATGCATTCTCTCTCCTCCGCCGCCGATGTTGCTATCGCAACCTACCTATATCCTTTATCCTTTCCTGCCATTAGTACCCATAGTCCTTCTTCCATTGATTCCTCCTGATTTTCCAACATGGCAAAGTGCATTCATTGCAGCCAGATTCACACTCGCAACGGCCCTCCTTACAGCAAGAGATCGGCCAAGACACTCAGGCACGACACGGGCCCTGGGGACGGCGATGACGCCAAGGAGCAACGTAACCCTGAGGATCATCAGCACCAGGGCTCACGATAAGCGGCGCTATAATCTACCTTCTAATCACGTCAATGATATCCCTGCAATTCTTCCAGAAGATGAAATGGAGCGCCTCACGGACCGCGAAATAGTGGTGGAAGCGAAAGGAAGCGATTGTCTTCAGAAGTTGTCCACACTACATCCTTCGTACTGGCTGCTGGCATACCCACTGCTATTCCATGCTGGAGATGATGGCTACGGTCTCGGCATATTTCGACATGGGTCTGACAGGAAAGTGACGGCAAGGGACTACTTCGCCCGCCGTCATTTCTTCGCGACAACGACGGCAAGCATGCCTTTCACGTTTGACGAATTTTCCAACAGTTTGTCGCCGACATATATTCCATAATGGAGTTGAGTCGTCTAAACTTTTTACGATTCAACCAGGACACGATAAGGGCCAAGTTATACAGCGGTAAGTCGCTATGTTATTTAGCAGATTGATATGCCAGCGGTCTTTGGGCCATCAACTCATCTTTTTCCTATTTTTTCAAATCCTCTGCAGCTTAAAGGACGCGTTTATGTCCGGAGATGGCACCCCTTTTACTGTTGGTAATCGTATTACGCTTCCTTCGAGCTTCACAGGCGGTTTGCGGCATATGCATCAATTGTATCAGGATGCCATGGCCATTATGCGAGCGACGTCTTCTCCGGACTACTTTATTACTTTCACACGCAGCCCGGCCTGGCCAGAGATCACCAGAGAGCTCTTCAGCAACCAGAATGCATCCGACCGACCAGACTTGGTCGCTCGAGTATTCCGACTCTAGCTTCGAAACCTTCTAAAGGACCTCACAGATAAAAATGGAATCTTTGGAAAGATCAAAGCATTCATTTACGTGATAGAATTCCAGAAGCGCGGCCTTCCTCATGCTCACCTATTGCCCATCATGGACCCTCAAGACCGACCTCGCACAATGGATGCCTACGACCGCTTCATTTCCGCAGAGATACCTGACAAGGGGACACATCCTGCTGCTTACAAAAACCATAACCAAGAGCATGGTTCATGGCCTATGTGGAGTACTCAACTCGAAGTCGCTGTGTGTGGTGGGTGAAAAGTAAAGCAAAAGTAAAAAAAAAAGAGCGCGCTCACACTTTCTTTGGTCTAATCTCCCATATTGGTACAGTCGCTAACACACCCGCATGCAACTTCGCCGTTGAGTAGATTACCCAAAGGCCTTCCGCAATGTTACCTTGGACGGAAACAACGGATACCCCATCAACCATCGCCGTGACGACGGGAGAAGCATTCTAAGCAAGAACGACGATACAGTCAACAACAGGTGGATTGTGCCCCATAACCTGTACTTGGCCGTAAAGTACGACGCCCATATAAATATGGACATCTGCTCAACCGTTTACAAGGGTCACAACCGTGCAACAGTTCAAGTCCAGTCAAGCGCTTCTCCTGAGACCAACTCTAACACCTCAGAACCGGCTCCTGGAACGGAAGTGGTAGATGAAATTCAGCAATATCTCGATGCACGTTATGTTTCTGCATCGGAAGGCATTTGGCGGGTACTAGAGTTCGATCTGCACGACGAAAAGCCCACTGTAACTCGGTTGGTCTTACACCTCGAGGGGCAGCACTTGGTCCTATTCGACGGGAACGACACACTGGAGGATGTTCTGAGACGCGCTGGGATAGTCTACAGGGAACCACTCTGACCAAGTTTTTCGAGTTCAACTGCCACACTCACCTGCAATCCCGACATCATGCATCGACTTCCCGCAGAATCATGTTTACCACACAGACACGAAGATCTGGACAACCAAGAAGCAAGGAGATGCAGTTGGCCGCATATTTTTGGCTCAACCCTCCGCTGGCGTACTATCTGCGAATGCTTTTGATTCCAGTCAAGAATCCGACGTCATATGAAGACTTGCGGACAGTCGACTGTGAACTCCAACCGTCATTCAAAGCGGCCTGCCTTGCACGTGGACTTCTCAAGGATGACACCGAGTGGGACAATTGCCCCGGTGAAGCCTCTATCATTCAGTTCGGAAGTCAACTTCGGTCCCTATTCGCTATCATTCTTCTCTTCTGCGCACTAGCATGCCCTGGGAACCTCTGGGAGAAGTACGAGCTTCCACGATCAGAGGATCTTGAACCTCGCGACTGTGGCTACAGACTCAGGAGCTCAGGGAATCGAATGCTATGCACCGATCCAACGCTGCACTGATCCTCCTCGAAGGGATTCTTCTCCAACACGGCAAATGCTTCAAGGATTTCCCTAATATGCAGGAGCCAGTAGCAGGGCAGGGCTATAGCGTGGATCTAGCGAGCCGGCTTATACAGGAGGAAACATCATATCCGGTCTCCACCGAGAGTGTCTTTCAGGGGACTGTCAATGGGCTCAACCCTGGCCAGAGAAGCTGCTTCGACATCATTAAAGATGCGTACGATCGCCGAGAGTCGCAAGTAATCTTTATTGACGGCCCTGCTGGGACTGGGAAGACACACCTCTACCCTCTGCCTCTTTGTATGATTCGGAGACAAGGCCATATCGCATTTGCTGTCGCTTCAACTGGGAACGCTGCCCTACTTCTTGAAGGAGGTCGAACTGCCCATTCGAGATTCAAGGTTCCCATTCCGATCCACGAAGTATCCACCTGCGACATCAAAGTACAGGGAATACTCGCCAAGTTGACCATTCAATCGAAGATCATCGTCTGGGACGAGGCCCCAATGATGCGCAAGCACATATTCGAGACAGCTGACCGAGTATTTCGGGACCTGAGGAAGACATTGCAGCCAGAACTGCACCACGTTCCATTTGGAGGGAAACTGATTGTCTTCGGCGGCGACTTCAGACAAATATCTCCCGTTATCAAACGTGGAAGTCGAGCAGAGACTGTGCAATCTTGCTTCAAGAGGTCATCGCTCTGGAAGCATGTTCGTGTGTTGAAACTCACAACGAACATGCGTCTATTCAAAGACTCTTTAGACCGCGACATCCAACAGCAAACCGACTTTGCTCAGTGGCTACTACGTATAGAAGAAAGCTTGGCTCCCACAACGCCAAGGTACGACGGGAATACCACCATTCAACTTCCACTGGAGGTCGCGATTCCCAACTCTGCAACGATCTCAGATTTAATCGACTTTGTCTATTCATACATTCGGATTAATGTGGGCAATAGAAAGCACTTCATGGGTCGAGCGATCCTCTCCTCTAAGAACGGCGATGTCAGCGGGCTCAATAGCAAGATCATAGGGATGATTTCAGACTCACACATGGAGTCCAGAAAGTACCTTTCATTCGATTCTATCAAGGACGACCCCAACCAAGTTCAGGCGTTATATCTCATAGAGTCTGGCTACAGTAGTCTAACCACATCTTTTTACTTCCTTTTCTCGGCCATTACAGATGGTTAAATGCATAAAGGGTAGGACGGAGCAGGAGCCAAGGCAAGGAAGGGCATGGTCAGCCCTTCAGGTGAGTGCTGGCAAGTGTGGTGTGGGGTCATCAGTTTGAGAAGCAATAACTGAAAGAGATTGAAGGTCCCAGTAGACTTACCGAGCCATTTTTTACCTCCTTTGCTCGTCCTAGGTGCCAGGGCACGAAGGATGGTAGGATGGACGAGGACAGTGGAGACACAGGGTCGGAATCACAGTTCCAGTTGGGTACTGGAAGGCATCATGCAGGCCATCAATTTGAAGTTTGTGGTAGAGATGTATTTGTTTAGTACAGCAGACTGGCCGCGCCCTTTTGTCTTTGTTATCCTCCTTCTTTGCTTGTTATAGAGGAGAGGACGATAGGGAGCGCAGGATGCAGCAGAACATTGGATACACAAGACCGTGATCGCCACACCAGGTGAGTGCTGGCAGGCGACAATTGGGCGTTTTGCAGATGCGGTTGTTCATGAGCAGGACTTTTTAGGTGTAGTTTTCGCTCTGAACTACAAATACTCATATTCGCACTCACTCCACTTGCATGCGCACTCGCTCCACTTGTATGCGCACCTTGTCATAGCGCGCTTTTGTTCCTCTGCCATAGCGCACTTTTGTTCCGGCAAGCAGTTGTAATCAGAAGTATCAGCGGGTTGATTTTTTTTTTTTTGATGAAGCCTTGTCAATTATGAATACTTTGTTAAGCAAACCCCCTGTAGTTGATAAGGCACCACCAAAAAATCAATCCGCTGATATTTCTGTAATGTAATGTGTCTCGTTCTGCCTCCGCCCACTCTTCACCTTCGCCATCCACCTTCATCTTTCTGGCTCCCTTCCATCCTTACCGCCACCATCACTACTAACTGCTCTTGTTCTGATGGTGGTAAAAGTCACACGCACTGAAAACAGTGGCAACGCACACGCACACATCACTTTGGCAGACCTCGTCTCTCCTCGTCCTCTTTTCTGCCAATGTGCTCTCTTCACTCTTCTTCTGTCCTGATCACTCCATCACCCTTAGCTTCGACCATGTCCGACCTCACTATCTTCTGTCTCACCGATGGAGAACCCACGTCGAATGCATTTTCCGTCAAGATCCCCTCGAAAAAAGAAACTGTGGATCGCCTCAAGGAGCTCATCAAGGCCAAGAAAACTGTCGCTTTTGCTGATGTCGACACTGACAAGCTTACGCTCTGGCGCGTCTCGGTTCCTGTCGTCGCTACCAACATCGACAATGCGGTCTTCCTGAACGAGATCAATTCCAAGACGAAGCTCATTCCAACAGATGATGTCTCTAAAGTCTTCCCAAAGACGCCAGCCAAGAACACAATCCACATCATTGTGCAACGCCCGCCGCTAGGTATTGTACTCCATTCAATTTGCATCGGTGCCTGGACTTTCCGGCTATGCTGCTGTGCTCCTATTTGACTTGCTCGTTATCGTTGTCTCTCTATATTTCTACAGGCATCAGCGAGCTGGATATTTTGAGCCGAGTTCTACCAAATGTTACATATGCCCTTTCCTCCGACAAGGTTCCTTCCAAAGCTACTACGGTATCTCCATTCAGACGAACACCTACGGAGGTTGTCGAGTGGGGTGGTTTTCTGGGAGAAATGGCATCTTATACACCCTCCAGCAATCGGACATTCGAAGAACGCCGTTTTCAATTTGCTGAACGCTGTCGGGTCTCGGATGAAGGAACACTCTGCTCCGCCCTCGATTCGAATGTGTATCGTTTACTAAGCTGGCTTACACCCGGTGAGGGTATTGGTGCTGCAGCAGCAATCAAGATGATTGCGCAGCCAGATCGCATCTTTTACCAGGACACAGGGCAGTTGCTAATGGCCATTGAGGTCAAGACCAAGTGGGTGTTATCCTCAGCCAACCTCGTCAGGAAATACAACGACGATGTCAGCGTCCTCGCACAACATAGGTCGCCGACCAATTCCGTGCATCTTCCAGTTCAGCAGATTTTCGGGTACCTTTCATCCAACAACCTTCGATATGGGGTACTAACGACATATGAGCAGACCTGGTTTTTAAAGAGAGACGCAAGGAGATTGCAAGTTTCGCCAGCGATCCATTACAACGACCACGATCCAACTTTGTTAAAGTGCTATGCATGCGTCATGGAGCTTGCCCGCACCACTCCTCATAGCCAAGCTGCTCCGTCCTCTCCTTCACCGCCTCCTCCACCCGACAGCCTCTCCAGTAACGACAATGACCACGAAGATAGCGATTACGATCCTGGGGACGGCAAACGTTCAAAGCACAAGCCGGAACGTGACGATGGCGGGTCTTCTAAGAAGCGAGTGAATCTCGAAGATAGCGGGTCTCAAAACCGAGGAGCCTCTTCTTTGGCAATTGAAGACGTGGATCTGCACGAATTCAAACTTCAAGATCTTCTTGGGGAAGGTCGCTCTGGGCGTGTGTTTCGTACGGACTGGCGAGGAGAGTCAGTAGCGATAAAGATATGCGACCTGTATCAGCACCCGGAGTACGAGGAGGAGATGCTCACGGAGATGGCTGCATACAAAGCCCTGGAGGGTCTTCAAGGAGACTCTATTCCTCGGTTCAAGACCGGCGGATACTACGGTGGTATATTCAGCATTGTTACGGAGGTCGCTGGCTCCCCATTGGAGGTAGACAAGCTAAGCCAGGAGGAGCGCCGGAAGATCGTTGACAAGCTGTCACTCATCCACATGCACGGCGTCTTGCATAACGATATTCGACCGGAAAACATCCTTGTTCACCACGACGGTAACGGAATTCAGGTCCGTTTTATCGACTTTGCATGGTCAAAGCGAACCAGCGACCAGCGTGAGCTCAAGAAGGAGATCATCAAATTGAAAATGCTACTTGATCTTTTGGCAGGAGAACCATCTCCTCTCTAAAAATGTCCAAAGTTACTGCAAGGGATAGTGGAAGTCATCAGCTATGCCTGCGGGTGCTGCTGCTATTCAGCGTTTTGGCTAGTCAAATAAAACTCAAAGGTTTTCAGAAGTCAGCTTGTCAGATGATGATGTACATCCAAAAAGCGTTGACAGCTTGGGATTCATGAGGTTCTTTTGGGCACAAAAGAAAAGCGTTGCCGTTAAGGAATCTCTCTCCTTATCTAATTTTGTCAGACTTTTTGATAGCTGACGCTGACATCTAGCTTCTTTGATATAGCTCTTTCAGTCTTGGTGGGTGTACGCGACTTAAACAGAGGAGTTTATAAGGACAAGGAACGAGGAATCCACAGAGAAGACACCTGCAATCCAAGGTCGCTCTCTGTAGTCTCAAAGAGAAAAAAGAAGCTCTGACCAAGTCTCCTTGCCCATGCATGCTCGGTGGGTATGAATGTATTCTGCCTCGATGCCTCTAGGTTCCTGGCTATGTTCATTATCGACGAGATGGTCGTTTTCAGTAGGACGTTCTGAACCGAGAGGGCACGACTTCAGGACGACGCAAGGTGTAGTCAGTACTGGAGAAGCAGAAGACCTTGTAAGGGAAGCCGCCTACATAGCAGCTACTCTGGACTCTGAAAGCGAGAGACAAAGGCGAGAGAGAGTCCTTAGACGAGCTGAAAGTAGCAGAAGCAACCTTGTGCAATTGACTGCAACCAATGCTTGTTGCACACAGCAGGATGTCTGAACCACACCGGCTCTCAGGCCTTTTGACATGCAAGGTCTCGCTCCTCTGAGCATACAGTCCCCCGTCGCTAGTTGTGCAAAAATTTCACTACTAGCGACGGCCCATATATTTTTTGGCATGTTTGGAGCAATCTGATTGGGGGACTGTAAGTGCAGGACATCTAGTCGCGACTTACGTGAATTTTGTCCCGTTTTGACTTCATAGCAGTCCCTATTAACATTGGAGGGATCATCTCACTCATCCCCTCTCTTCTTCCTTACCCTGGGACGTGTCACCAAGCAAAAAACACATATGCGACTGGTTGCAGCGAATAAACGCGTATGTTTGAACCCGCCTCAAAACCAGAGATCTGTGCTGGTTGATTTTTTTGGTTAGAACTTATCAACTACAGGAGCTTTGCTTAACAAAATATTCATAATTGACAAGGTCTAACAAAAAAAATCAACCAGCATAGATCTCTGCTCAAAACGCAGAACCTGAAGGCTTAGAATGTGAGGAAGTATAGGTCTCACAGGCGCATTGCTGAGAACTGGCGGGTGTTGTGGGGCCTTGATAAACAAAAGAATTAAAGTTGACCAATCAGAGCACTGGGATTTGTCCCGTTTTGGCCCCAGCATATAGAACTTCAGCGCCCTATTTCTCATCAACCAGGGCCGGATCGATAAAAGGAAAAAATAGAAAGGAGGAGGAAGGGTTGGCAAACATTTCTATTAAATAATTTTGCAGCTATTGTTCGTCCCTCAAAGCTAATAGGAATTCCTCCTCTCACAAAAATTTACTGTCGGGACTAGATGTCCCGCACTGTACTGGTATTTGTATCCACCCATTTTTGGCAGGCATCCGTGTTCAAGCAGAAGAGTTACTCCTCGTCATCTGTGTGTGTGTGTGTGCGTGTGCGCGCGTGCCGAGTACAGTACGCCTTTTGGTGGGCGGATGAGTAAATGACATCGTTTGAGGAGGGAAAAAAAGACCCGCGTATCAGCTGTAACATGATCATGCGCACACGAAGCATGGCACACAGAATAGAAAACTGCCGAACCAAAGGGTAGGAACAGATAGATTATATATGTATATAAAGAGCCTCTGGACCAGTTCATCTTTCTCATTCATCTCTCCACCTTTTTTATTATCCCACGCATTCTCATTCCTTCCACCTCAGCTCATTCACCATGTCTTTTGCCGGCACCCCCCTCAACGGTCCTCTCTCTGCCCAGGAGTTCTACAAGCAGGCACTCGAGGAATCTGACGCAGGCAAGCGTCGTCGTCTTTTTGCGGATGCCCGCCAGTCAAACCCAGGCTCATATCAGCTCTGGGTGAAGGCGGCCGAGGTTGAGGAGCACTGGGGCGCGGATCAGGGCAAGCTGAAGGACCTTCTTGTCAGGGGCGTCACAGTTTTCAAGAACCCTGCTGGCCCGGCCTGCACCGAGAACCACGACCATTCGCAGCACGGCGTCACTGCACTCCATTCAATCGACAAGAACACATGGTTGTCAGAGGCGACTGCGGCTGAGCAGAGTGGCAAAGGAAAGACAGCTGCGGCGTTGCAGGAGGTCGTCGGCGAGGTGTTGTAATTGTATATATATTTTTTGTATAAAACCAAACCCACCAGTGGACAGGGGAGGACCAGGAGGCACATTCACTCGGATCAAAAGATCCCTCCCACCACCACTTGTGTTGAGTCCTCTTCACAAGGAACAATAAACTTCATCGTTCAGTTTTGTCAGCAAACAAGAGCGACTCCATTGTGGCGAACCAGTCAATTGGTCACAGGATGCAATCGACCCCGGGCTGAAAAACGGGCAAAGCAGATTCGCGTGAAGGGCCCCTTAGTTATGACCCATTTGGCACGTACTTGACACGTACTTGGCACGTAAAAAAACGATGACCGAATTTTATATTTTATTTTTACGCGTCGCCAGAAACCGATCCATTGAATGGTTGGGGTAATTGGCACCCTTGCTCATTACATCCCCCCCTCCCCCCCTCTATGGCATGATGTGATGCGGGCTGACTATGATGGGTACCCGTGTGATTTCTACTGTACTTCTCTAAGAGCAAAAAAAAAAAGAAAAAAAGAAGGGGCTCACGGCAGCATGTCTATCATGTCAATATACAAGCTACATCTGCATACACACTGCTGCAGATATAAAAAGAAAAGAAGCAGCAGTAGCAGCGAGACGTTCAATTGGACAGGAGGAACGCATGGAATAGAAACACAAAAATGCTCCGGGGAAGGGAGGGGGTATTCAGAAAGTTTACGTACAGTCGAGCCTCCTTAACAGTCCCATTTTGTATTCAATCCAATTGAAACTGGCGCTGTAAACTAAAAAAAAAATCTCAACACTTTTGTTCCCACATACACGCGTCTCGAGCCCATCCTCTCTGAGTACCAGAACACTCAATTACTAGGTTTGGGAGTTGAGACAAAGGCGGACCCAATTCAATTGTCTTCAACAAGAGCTCAGGGGACGATATGAAGAAACCATCGCCGATCAGAAGGACTTCTCTATCCTGAACTATCTCAGCATGATCAGTAGCAAAGGGCTTTTGCCAGCGATGGTCGAGGTCGCCCACGGGATAACAGGTTGCGAGCAATACGAAGGAGCTTTCCAACAACTGAAAGAGAACGATTTCGTGGTTAAGTACAACTCGATAACGATATGTGGGCGACGACGACGACGAATCTGACCTGGATTACGAAGAAACGGTGTCAGTAGTTAATGACCAAAGAGATGCACCAAGAGATGCACCAAGAGATGCACCAGGAGATGCAGGTAGTCGAACTCATTCTCCACGACCGCACCGTCGAGAAGGAGGTTCCCATCGAAGGATTCTCGCCACCCACCTTCAAGCCCCTACGCAGATGAGGTCTATTCTCAAGAATATCTCCCAAGGCGCTGTAAACGAGTTCATGTCTGCCGCCGCTGACATACAAGAAACCAATTACAATGTTCTGTCAAAGACTCGCCTTCAGGTCGCTCTGGACGATATGGATGTGTTCGTTGATTATCATAGGCTCGGCTTATAACATAATGCACCAGTTCAATTGGACTGACTGGACTGTTAAGGAGGCTAGCAATAACATGCACTTCAAAGGGCACAAGTGGGACGCCCGAAGGGCCAGGGACGCCGAGTACAAAAGCATAATCAATCGCCTGCTAAAGTTGGTTGGAGGTTCGATTGGCTACAGAAGGAAAGAAGCCAACAAGGTCATGATTGCGATTGGTCTTGGGCAGTTTTCCAGTGGAGCGAGGCTTTCCTCGCTGCATGAGTCGTTCATGTCGTACTTCGTCCAAAAAAGTAGGTGCCCTGTCGAAATATTAAATTAATTTTTAACATGGCCAGTGCGACGTGTCGGTGCGCGCTTTGCTTAAAAATCAAACGGGCTGTGCCTCAAGACGCCCATCTGTTCCTGCGGAGTTTACTCCGCACGTCAATACAGTCAATTCTGAATAGCAATTAATGATAACAGGAGAAATGGATGGTGCTTTTATTTTTCACTTGTTAGTAGTTGAATCTTTGATAAGAGTCCGGCCCACCATTGCGAGATATCGGTCGGGAGTTCCGAGCATAGGAAACTGCCGAAGTTCAACTGGTGTTTCCCTCTTGTGCTGAATGTTAGCGTTGGCGATCGTGGTCAATCTGTGCACCTGAAAGAGAGCATAAAATACGTCTCCATGCAGCTCAAGTTGATTCAGTTGAGAGGGCAAGGTGGATTGCGACTTTGCGTTACATTACGTGTTATCATCGCTACGCTTGAACCTGCATCGCCATGTACCACCCCTTTCACAAACAGTCATACTGGCAGCTGGGACATCCGAACCTTGAGAGGAAAATAGAAACACGGGGCCCTTCTTGAAGTCAGGACTGGAGACTGATCGCAATGCCTTGGTAAAAACTCAAATTGCTTACGTTAGATTACTATGCTAATTAAACAGTAAGTGTTAAGCAGCAGGCAGGCAGTGAATGGGAGAAGCACTCTTAAAGCGCCATCGGTTGCCCCCTTTGCTAAAGGACGCCACCGACGTGTGTTGTCCAACCATTGCGCTCTCACACCACCCACAAGTCCTTGCATAACGGTCCTGCGGTTGGCTGATGAGGATGTTTGATCCCCACCCGAGTCCACAACGAGAGCTTTTTAATCCATAGCGAATGTCTCCCCGTAATACGGGAGGACTATCCAAATATGAAGAGTCCACACCCACACTTTCTCTCAACTGGCACAAAGGACGACGCACCAAGCGCTTTACCTTGCTGCTAGTATTCTGGTCTGTAGTTGATCTGAGAAGAATACGTTGCGCGAAAGAGAGAGCAGCGAGACAAAGAATGAAGAAGCAAAAGAGAGGGCGAGAGAGAGAGAGAGATAGAGCAAGAGAGCGAAAGACCAAAGCGGTTCCTGGTCATAATAACGTCACCGAGGAGGCAACAACGTTCAACTATGGACATATCTACAGCTGCACGCGCATTTTTCCGCGCCCCCTGGATTAAGCTGGCTCTCTTGCGGCCAAGAGATTGATCTTGGCTCGGCCACGGACCACGTTGCCATATTTCAACCTGTGCGACGAATTGCTCCAATAACACCAACTCTTACCATACAGGACGGAGGATGATCCAACGTTTAAAAGGCTAGAATTTACGAGGACTATAGAAAGAGTCGACATCGAAGGATCAAAATGCAACGTCGCTATGAACTCTTGGCTGCCACACACCAGTGGAGTCGAATAATCAGGGATAGCTTCTACTGTCCTCTTCAACTATTTACGCCATTTCTGCGTATCTCATTTTCTGAGCATACCCTTTTACCACCGTCCTCTAGATCTTTCAGCGTCCCTCCTTTCTCAGCATGCCCTAGATTTTTTCGGCGTCCTTCCTTTTCTCAGCAAGTTCTTGATCTTTCCAGCGTCCCTGATTTTCTTCTGATAACCAGTCGCTACGCTATATAAACCTTGTGTTTTTACGTTTTCCTTCATCACTTTCCTCATCGCAATCCTCCTCTAGTCGGCCTATCCCGCTCAACATCTTCACTATACGACCCATCTTCCTCACCACTCTTATCATCATGGCAGCTCTCGCTATGGTCACCTCGGTTACCGCGGCGTATGAGAATTTTCAAGCGTGTGTCAAAAACTGTAAATCATATAACGGTGAGAGTTATCTCCACGGATGTGATGTACTCCATCACATTAACTGTATTGTCGCATGCGCGACCTAACAGTCTATATTCTTACAACACCGTAAGTTTTTAATGACGATTCTGCTTTGACAAACTTGTGCTGTAAGTAACTAGATACAGAATCATATTCTAACTCTCAATGGTCTTGCATGTTTTTTCACTACTGGCATCTTATTCACAAGAAGCGTCGCAGCACTACATTAGTTATCCGAACAAGGCAGACATATGCATGAGCATGAAGCAGCAACAAAACAAGAGGATGTTGTTCTTTCAAACAAATGTGTGTGCAACGGGCAATGAAGTGGCAATACCCCGTTCACTCAAATGGATCCGCGCGCAACTTAATGTCCACGACCGTCGCTCGCTTGTAACTGTGGGCACTTCGCTCTTTAATAGGCTCTAGGATACAGCGAACAACCCTCTTAAAGTTTGTCGAACAAACCTGTGCAACAAAGCGCAGCTCAGCAGAAAAGGCTGCTCGACTGCTTACAGCGCACAGTCAGTTACAACAATTAGCTCCTTACAGATTTCAATAAATGAAGATGACACATGTTTGGGTTCCTGGCCCTTGGATAGTAAGCTTGAGTCTTCATGTTATTCGACTCTGCCAGTTAAAAGCTAGGTCAAGAGGACGGCATTCTGCAACAACGACTTAACAAGCCGGGAGCTTCAAGTTGTGGCCAACCTCGCCAACACCCTTCGACCATCCGCGCTCAAGAGGTGACGAACCAAAGATGGCTCAAAGTACCGTCCTCGTTGCCTTGCGTGCTCCCATGGTCCTAACCTCTCATTTTGCGCGACATTTATCGCCTCAGCTCTCGGCTTCCTCTCTTCATGGCCTTCGCCTTGGAGTAGTAGGGATCTATGAAGTCCTCTGTACAGCAGAACCAGACTATTTCGACATAAACGAGGCTGCCGGCAGACCCTTCACGGATATTGCTAACGTTGCCAGGACGAACAAGCGAACTGTATTGTGAGGCCTTTTTCGACATAAAGAAAATGGATTGCGCTTCGCCGACTAGTGCGTATTATGTAATCGCTCTCGCTTATCTGGCTTTTTGGTGACTTGTGCTGAAACATACTGCTAACTGGGTATACCCTCTATTTTCTGATAGGATGATATTTGTCGACCCGGTAGACCGTCCGCATCATAGTGAGGAACAAGTACGATGAGCGCAAACGAGATAGGAGTTCCCGATCCGATGCGTCAAAGTGGACAACAGAGTTCGAGGCATCAGGCTTGACTACACGCGCAGTACAGAATCAAGTACAGAATCAAGTCCAGACAATGGCGGCCCAGGTGGAGCTGAAGGAGGTGGAGATTAAGAGGTTGCGTAAGGCAGTCGCCGACAAGGAGAGATGCCAGACTCTGGTCAGTCAAGCGCTCTACGACGCTACACCAAGGCCCCCTCTCAAACCGACGCACTCCAGAGTAGTAATTCGCAACCAATCACGTCGCAGCTAACTGCTTCCCAGTGGACCGTAGACCAAGTGAAGGCATATGCGTCGCTTCAAACCGCCCGACAGGCCTTGAGAAGCGATCGAAAGAAGCTCCTGTCTGGAGACATGGCCCTCCGACAGCTGCGACCAGATCAGTACTACTGGAGCAGAATAAGCAAGGCAGCAAAATCAGTTCTGAAGGCTACGGGGACGAGGACGCGTCCGGAACCGAGGATGCGGTTGCTACTTGGGATTGCCCCACGGCGGAGGACAAAGCTCAGCGTTTGGAAATATCAGATCGACAAAAATTCAATAGCAAGAACAAGAACAAGCTGATTGTGTTTGCTGGTACGGACTACGGACTACGGACTACGAACTCTGTACCGTGGCTTTATTGAACATCGCATAGATGAGATGAGATGCTCTACTTTTAAAAAAAGATGCACAAATCCTGGTCTACCTGGTCCAGTCAAATAAGAAGGGCTTGCGAGGGCAAGCTCGAACGTTGTATATTCATGTAAGCTACAAATACGGCTAGAAATATAATGACTATGATTAACGGTACGATCTCGGGAAAGCCCTGTTCGAGTTAGACTCGCTGCATCTTGCCCGCTGACTGTTCAGACATGGTGAATTTCTGCTTTTTGTGCCGGAGCTCGCGTTCTGGGATCTCAGAATGCATCTTCCTCAACAGACGAAGAAAAAAGCAATGTGGGATCACAGTGTACACTAGACTATCGTGGAGCTACATACTACTATCTTGGTCTGAAAGACGGCTTCTTGCAGATGTCACGGTTCGCAGTAATTTTTTCCAAAATCTTAATGTTGACATGCATGTCCTATTGCAGTGATGGGGAGAAGACGCTGCGTCTCCACTCAATAAGCTGGGCCACAGATCCCTGGTGATTTGCCGGTCGATGCTGATTTCAAATCAATCTTCAACACGAATTGCTTCACCGGCCGTATCAGCTTTGGGACTCTCTTATAGACTGTCCCTGTCGTAGATAAGTACTTCTGCTCTGGGAAGTTGTCATAAATCTCGCTTGGTACAATAAAAACTAGATGAGCGTCTCCAGAGGAGTGAATCTATCCTTTGTCCATGAGATTTTCGAGGAGCTTCGAGAACGGCGGCCCTTTTATGCCGTGTCTCTTGGATACCGTAACTTGAAACAAGTGTCCTGGTGACAATAGTAGATCGATGCAAGCGTAGTTATAAGTCTTTGGTATGCACAATGTCCCTGGAGGCCACTGTGGAAATCTCATCGAACAACTCTACGCTTGAATCGGCCAGGATTCTGAAAGTGGTATCCGACCCATCTTGAAGACCCTTGATTTGGAATTCGTAGCCTCCCTTTCGAAAGATGTGTTGTACATATAGCTCGAACATAGGTCCCTTAGCGGTTCCGACGTTGACGCCAATGAGTTTTTCCAAGATTTGTTGCCAAGTAACATCTTGCAGTGATTTGCCGATTTCGTCTGCGATATATGTTGACGCCCATTCCAAACGAAAGTCCTTGTGATCCTCCGTAGGCCAGCGGTGAAGTAGACGGCTGCTATATCCTAGCGACTCTCCCCCTTGCTCAAAACATTGCATCATCCTCAGCGGAGCTCTGACGAGATCGATGGCTTGCAAAACGCGTGCACACGCACTCTTCTTGGCACCGGCAGTATCACCGGGACCGAGGTTCAGTACATTCATTGGGGTTTCAAGGACATATCTTGGCACGCCGCCTACCATACCGTAGAGTTCCCCCATAGGTTCTTGGGAACTACTTTGAAGCCCTCAACACCGCCCGGCACCGCTCTAACTCCTCCAGCATCCATGGGGCCATATAGTAATGCCACGGTACTCGTTTGTCGACTTCCTGATATTGGTTCATCTCGGAATGTAGTGTCTTTGGCGATGCTGATATAATAGTCCTTGCTCTCTCCAGCAGCGGGTTTGGAGAGCTGTCGACTAAATACCACGTTTCGGGTAGATTGAGGAAGGGCCGAAAATCCTCGATGTCTCCATAGCGTAGAGTAGATAGCCCTCCATATACATAGCATTTGGATCCCCTTTTCTCCTGGAAAATCACAATGGATGGATTGTCGTCACTTCCTGTAGCAAGAAGTCGGATGGTGAAGTATACAAGGAAGGCTGATTTTCCGATGCCTGATGTTCCAGTGACAACAACGTGCATCTGAGCCCTATTCCTAGGACTCTCCTGAAATTTCATGGAAACTTCTTGGTAAAGGTCCTTGTAGGCTTGCCGAACATATAGGTCTTCTGTACCGACCACAGGAAATAAAGCGCTGGAATCGGGAGGTGTGGACAGTATCTCAATTTCTTGGAAAGATGAATTTCGGAGGGCAAGCGCTATCGTAGATAGCGAAACGTAACTGTTGTCCTCGTCAACCGAGGAACCAAGGAATCTAAGCACAGAGACTCTTTCTTTACTGTCAAGCCGAGAAAGGGCTACCCGGCCATTCACTGTAGCCTTGCCCGTAAGACTAGCTCCCTCAATCGCATCCTTCAACGAGCTCGTATCAAGACGGGTCTTCTTGGGAGGGGGCGCTAACAGGGGAATGGCGTACAGGCAAAGGTAAGTACTCAAGAACATTAGCAACACCAGCAGTGTTCATGACTGAATGAAAGACAAGAAGTGGTTAGAAAGGATCAATAATATCCACCCGCATCCTCTTCTCGGTTTCTTTTAAGAGCTATCGGAAGAAAAAAAAAAAAAAAAAAGAATAACGTAACATAAATAACACGCGCCAGAATATCAACCATCAATCTGTAGAGAGCCGAAGACATACCTGGCGGGGGTGGCTGCACAATGATGTATGTGTTGTCGTCAGGGCTCTCAGGGAACAGCTTGGAAAGGCATGTCCTTGGGTTGCCTAGCTTCGTCTTGTCATCCAGACCATCGAGCGTGATGATGCTCTCGTTCCCTGCATTCTCATCAATGGGGATTGTGGCTCGCCAGAGCACCAAGTCGTTGGCGTCGATGTGTTCAAACGCGCTTAGCTTTTCGGCCTTGATGAGGTCCTTGAGTGCACCAACGGTCTTGTCGGAGGATATCTCGACCGGAAACGCATTTGATGAGAGCTCACCGCTGATGACACAGAAGAGGGTGAGTGTGTTCGCCGCCATGGATGGGTGCCTGTTGGTAGCGGAGAAAGGTCGTGCCTGTGAATGGAGAAGTAGTGTGCCTTTGTGTGTGCGGATGGAGGGAGTAAAGAGTAAAAAAGAGCGTTGATGGTGGCGCGTCCTGACATGCCAGTCACAACTCAGCTGGAGAAACAAAATGTACTCCATCTCTAACGTACGCATGTCGAATATCTTATTTTTATCCAGAGAGTCAGACCGATGAGGATGAGTATATCGATATTGAAGGTATCGACGAGCCTCTGGAGGGGACAGACGCCTATATTAGGAGTACGTCTCGGCCTTCCTGCTCAAGAATGACGGCTACCCAGGCTATGAAGCTGCCCAAATCCAACAAGATGACCGCACGCCAGGTCGACAACATCTACACACGAAGGATAGCCAAGAAGTGAGAGAGGCGTTTGAGCCAGCAAGAAAACGACAATGTCCAAGCAGCGTGCCAGGAAATATCCAAACGAGAGATCTCGCTTACGGGGCAATAACTATCAAGGAAATCGATACGGCCCATGACGCTCGGAAAGATGCCCTTGATATCCTTCAGGCGTTCGAGTCCTCCCCAGCTCGCCAAAATGAAGTTACATACGCAGCAACTTCGAACAACACGCGCATGGACTAGGCTTTGTGCTAAGGAACGATCTTGGGTGCGACAGCATGCATAAGAGCAGGTTCATTTTTTTATTTATTTTTGGAATAACTTTTAACATCCATTACGGTGCTGGAGCTAACGTGTGTCGAATTCGAGCGATATCCGGCACGTGGACTGCTGCTCAAAGACGGCGCCTGATGTGCGTCTATCCTGTTAATAAGTGAGGCTGGCACCGGTGTAGGATTGTGCATTGGAGGTCATTTGAGGAGGGGTGACGAGGAGGGGTGGCGAGGAGAGCATAGGAGATACTGTACCGTTGCCATGACCGATGAATATCGTTCGTTCAAGACGTGTACCTTTTTGCTTCCACCAGGTCCGTCAAGTCCGGTCCCGTCGCGTCGTAAAGGATAAGATCAAGGTGATGAGTGTCCATGGCACAGTTGAATGTATCGATCCAGGGTGTCCGTGGTTCCAGTGCGGATATGTCATCAAACCCCGGGATTCGCACGCCGCTGTGACAATCACAATTGCAGGGGCCCCCGGTCCCCATGGAACCCAACCGCGCCTGTCTGACGCCTTTTTCCCGAGCTATTCCCGGCTCTATTGCTACCAGCACCACTATCACCGCTAGTCAGCAAGCACTGGGGTCATCTTCAAGCTTTTGACATCCAAGAGCGATACCATGGGGGCCCCCAAAGTGAAGAGGGGATTATGGTACGATGAAGGAAATATGCTGTTTCAGTGCTCTCGTATTGCATATTACTAACAGTTCAACTATGGGGACTGTAACAGTCTGATTCGCATGGCAAGCTCGTTTTGCTCCCGTACCGCCGAGCAGCGAAACGGGAAAAAGAAGCAGGGATCGAAAAGCCCTGTTTCTCTTTTAGGCTGGCCACTATATGTCATCCATTCCCATTCCCGGATGACAAAACAAGGCGAGACAAAAAAAAAAACCATCGATCCAGTGCAGTTTTAGGTCACGGTGGGAAGACTGAAAAGAAGGGGATGGATGGGCAGGCCGAAGTAGGGGTGAAAGAAAGGGGAGGGGGGAATGGACAAGCCATCCGTCGATGCGAGAGTGCAGTCGATCGCGCCTTTTGTTTCCAGCTGCAGTAGCTGTGGTCAACCCTGGGTTGTTCTTTTGTTCTGTTTCTCCCTCTGTTCTCACCAAGCAGGGTCTCTTCCCCGCATGCGAATGCAAACGAATGACTATCTTTCCGTGCGAATAAGCGCATGGAGGGCAGCTGGGGCGAGACAGACGAGTCGGTCCCGGCGGTGGTGATGACGGAGTGGAGTCATACACCCACCCCCACCTTGAAGTAATAATAATGCCATGGAAGTAAGGTTGGATGGTACATACAGTGCACAGGCTGTGGGCCAGCCAACCAGAAACCACACGTACACGATCTTCACCCCCCTCCCCTCCCCTCCCCTCCCCCCCACTCTCTCCCCCGTCCTCCTTTTGTTTCGCCTTTTCTTTTTCTCTCTCCCTCCTTTTCCTTCCTTCTCTTCCTTTTCTCTTCCATACTCTCATTGCTCTCTTCACTCTCCTCACTCTCTCCACCCTCTGCTACTCCCTCCATCGCCCACTCCTGCCACTGCAGCAGCAACACGGTTCTTTTTTCGCGTCATCGTCAAAGTCGCACTTTCGCCTCCGCCACTTTCCTTTTCTGTCGACTGTATATTTGTCATTCAAACCCTGACCCACCCCATTCCATTCCTTCCTTTGCCTTCCTTCGCCTTTTTTCGAATCCCTCCTTTCTCTCTCTCCCTGCCCATCTCTCCCCCATCCCATTCAAAATGACTGCAATGTCGAACCCGATGTTTGACGACTTTATCGAGCTCGACCTGCTCGACACCACCGAGACCACCAGCGACATGTTCTCGTACTATCTCGGTGGCGCCCCTGGTCTCGACGACAACACCCCCGACCTTGGGGCCGCCGCCGCAGCCCTCGTCGCCACCGCCCCAGACGAGTCCGTTGCCGCCCTGGACATTGACATTGACATCAAGCGTGAGGACCTCTCTGACAGCGATACACACATGCTCCTCGATCCCTCCCCGCTCAACCAGCCCCTTGAACTCTCCCCAGACGCGCACCTGACTCTAGTCAGTCCAGATCAGTTGACGATTGCGCCCCAGGCCACCGTTTCTCTCGCCACCGTCTCTCCCGCGTCTGCTGCGGATGTCTCCGAGGCTTCTACGACCACTATCGGTATGAGCAAATTGCATCTTTCTCGTTCTTCATTGCTCATAGCCCCCATGATCCATTTTGGGTGCGCCGTTCCCAACAATGATAATGATAGATCGTGGATGCAGCAATTCTTGGTATTTAAGAATGATCAGCTGACCTCTTTCTTGTCCTTAACCCCATCCTCTACAGATGCAGCGTCTGTGAGCACACCGTCCAAATCGACTGCAGCTAAGCGGTCCAGTCCTGAGCCGTCAACTGCGGCGCGCAAGCATGCCAAGACAGAGTCGGTGTCAAAATCAAAATCCTCCGCCACATCCGCTCGAAAGTCCTCTACATCTGCCGCCAGTCCTACAACAGCAGTTGCTGCAGCGCCATCCAAGGCCTCTAGCGCCACCAAATCTACCGCATCATTATCTTCGCCATCATCTTCATCGATCTCTACACCAACATCCTCTTCCAGTACAACAAGCGCATCCTCGTCAGAATTCACAGCAGAATCCCTCACATCAACCGCTAACACGACCTTGTCCCCAGCAACACTACAATTCCTTTTGCAGCAACAGGGGGACACTCCGCTTATCCCTCAGTTGTTTACGGGCAAGCTTTCGCGAGAGGAGATCGAGGCTACTCTGGCCCGCTTGCTCGAATCCACAAAGCATCTGATCGCCACTACTGAGGATGTGGTTCCAATCAAGGAGGAGGATTCCCAAGGACATGGTTCAGACGACGATTCGGACGACAACATGGAGAGCGCAGAGAGTGCCGAGGCTGCGGAGCAGACCCACGGTCTCAAGACGCAGCCGGGCATCAAGACGGATGATATCCCCTCATCTACAGATCTGAAGAAGATGACCTCGAAGGAGCGTCGACAGCTCCGTAACAAGATTTCAGCACGGAATTTCAGAGTTCGGAGAAAGGGTGAGTAATGAAGCTCATTTGTCTGTTCTTTTGTTACTTCGGTGCAGCATTCGTCTCTGTGCAACTATATCTCTCCACAAAACAGGAGATATCAGATGATGGTCTTTGCGCACATGCGTTCATATCATCACCCCCTTTTTTCTTTTCTCTACATTTCAACTGACAATTTTTTTATTGTTTACGATAGAATACATATTTACTTTAGAAGGGCAGGTCCTGCAACATAAGACAGAGGCAAGACACTTGCGCGAAGCGGTGACGCTGGTGCAGGAGGAAAACCAGCGGCTCAAGAGCGAGCTTGAGTCGGTCAGGCGTCAACTGGAGGGGACCACGATAAACAACAGTGCAGCTACTGCTGGAACCAGTGTTGTCACTGCTGCGGCGTCTTCAGAGCAAACGCAGTCCATCGTATCTACAGCGCCACTGTCCAAGGAGAGTCAGAGCCTTTTGACCTCGCTCCTGAACCGCAACGTAAGCTCAGCACTGAACGCCAATGCCAAGAGCAACCTGACCCTGACTCTGCCCCGGCCACAGTCACCGATCCTTACGCCCAACACGCACAAGGACGTGCCCAATTCATCTTCGGGCAGTGCAAGCCAGAACTCGTGGAAGGACAAGAACCCAATCATGGTCCACACGACTTTGGTCCCCGAGATCTGCCTCGGCGATGAGTTTCAGTTTGGTGGCAAGGCTGGTCAATCCAAGGATGATGTGATGATCGATCGGCCGTGGATGAAACTCGGTGATGTTGTTCAGGAAACAAAGTTTGATGCCAATCCGTTCTGGATCTCGGGCGTGATCTTTGAGCTGATGAAGACGTTCACGAGCATGACGATGGCCATGTCAAGCCCAGAGAGTGAGATTGCTACAGTGGAAGAGACCATGGATAACGATGTGGAGTCGGATGCGGATCTGGACTGGGAAGTGCAGCAGAGCCTCTGGGCGTTGTCACAAGGTGAGGATGAGGAGGAACAGATCCAGCTTCTGTACGATCTGAGCCAGCTACAGGTTTCTTCAGCTGCCCGCCCCGAGTCACCGGCGCCGGCGCAGGAGGACCCCAACATGCTTGAATGGCTGTATGAGTCGATGATGGCTCGCCTGGTGGACATGGACCTGCAGAGCACTCAGGAACCGTCGTCGTTTGCACCTCTCTCGGAGGCTCACATGGCGTAAAGTGTTGCGCCTTATGGGACCCAATCTGATCTACATGTGCCCTTTTTTTTTCTTCATTTACAAAAGAGATTCAAGTAGAGATTTTCCTTGTGTATAGTCTTCCTCCCCCCTTCCTCTTCTACTCCATTGTTTTTATTATTGTACCTGTTGCTTCAGTTCCCCTGTAATCTCTTTTTCTTATTCTTCCAACCTTGTGCTATATTCTCTCACCTTCTCTATTTGTGCAATTAAAGATTCATAACCAAGAAAAAAAATACCTCAGTGATGGTATTGAAGAGGGAAAATGGTAATGAGATTGCGTTGGTGCCACAACGGTAGATTGCATGAGCCGTGCATAAGAAGGGCTGTGGATGTGATGGACTCTGAAAAAAGAAAGAAATGGAGCATGACACCTCGATTACCATATTCAATCCAAAGCAACCTTAACCCAAATGAAATGATAGCATTCCAAATGCCGATGTGTCCTAGGCGTGCGCGCCTGAATCAAGGGTGTTTGTAGCGTATTAGACTGGTGTGTTGCTGTGGACGCGGCCGCCGCCCCTCGCCCTTCGCCCCTTCCTCCTCCCTGTAGACAAAGTCCTCCAGTACTTCAAGCAGTTGCACACACCCACTCGCTCTCTTTTCTTCTTCTCTCCCATTCACTCTCACTCTCACTCTTACTTGCCCCACTTTCGCATTCACACTTGAATCCCCTCCCTGAGTCAAACCCAACCCCCTCTTCCCTTTTCAGGCACACGACACAGCCCTCCCTGGTTCCAAAGTAATATACAAGGAAAAAAAGGAGCAACAGAACTCGGCACCACTCACTTTCTGTTTCACCCATGCAGTCCTCGTCCAGGCCCCATCTTCAGAACAACACCTCTAAAACCTGTCTCGGATCACTGGCAATTTCTCCCTCGCCTAATTCCATTACTGCAAAAGCAACGACAGACCATACAACCCCCCGACAGACGACTCGGACTGGATCGACTGCCGTCCACACCAGACAGAAAACACTGCTGATCAGTCTGTTCAGTGCCCTTGCCCTGGGGCTCGCCCTTGGCAACGGGTTCCTCGGCAGGCCTGGCATTTCATACGGTGTGGCAGAGGCGTACCCGATTGTCCATCCGGTGCACCAGAGGGTTCAGATCGACCATGTGGTCCCGGTGAGAGGATCCGTGGAGGAAGTGGAGATGCAGAGGAGTTTGGTCCAGTCCAGTGGATCCATGCGTGTACCTGAGGATGAAGAACATGCACAGCAACAGCAACAGCAACAGCAACAGCAACAGCAACAGCAACAGCAACAGCAACAGCAACAGCAACAGCAACAGCAACAGCAACAGCAACAGCAACAGCAACAGCAACAGCAACAGCAACAGCAACAGCAACAGCAACAGCAACAGCAACAGCAACAGCAACAGCAACAGCAACAGCAACAGCAACAGCAACAGCAACAGCAACAACATCAGCGCAGGAAGCGTGGTCGAGGACAGGATGACAATGGCGGCTGGGTTGCAAGTCGACACGATGTTCACCACGTTCAGAAATCGAACGGACCAGAACAGTCGCCAAAGAAGAAAAACACAACGCCCACTCGGAAGTCGGAACAGGAACTATTTCAGAAGCTGTATCTGGAGATGGCTTCCCGCATCACAAAGAAGAGTGTCCAGGAGATGGAGGAGGTGGTTCACAGACTCAACCAAGAACTGGAGACGGAAGCGCACAAGGAGCGGTATCAGGGAAGGAACGGAACCAATGATAAGGATGATGATCTGGGAGCCGGGAACGGGAACTGGGGAGGTGAGGGCGGAGCTGGGGATGACCAAGGTGGAGAGATCGAGACCAGTGTGGTGGGACATGCCTGGGTACCGAAGCATGATCTGAGGAAGAAGATGCATAAGAAAAAGGGGAGGTGGTGGGGGGATCGTGCCGCTGTTCAGGTGCGGGTGAATGGGCCCGTTGGATACAGACGGATAGCCAAGAAGGCTCCTGCTATCTTTTACGTGCCACATCAGGACGATGATGCTCTTGCGATGGCTCTCTGTAAGTGTTTTTTTTTTTTTTTTTTTTTTACAAATGACACAATTGCCCCAAATGACATTTGAGTGAGGACGGGATCAAAGTTTCTTCTTTGGAGTGTGGTTTTTGTTACTGACGTTCTGTACCTTTTTCTACTTCTTTTTTGATAAGCAATCCGCGAACACATTGAGCGGGGACACCGGGTGATTGTGCACCTGTACTCTGACGGCGTCAACCCCTTACTCCGCGACATCGTCGCAGGCCACCGATTCAACTTTACACTGCAGGATGAGGTCACTGGACGGACACACGAATTCAGGAACAGTCTCAAGGCCATGGGGGTCCTGGACGAGGATATCCAGGAGACCGGATGGAGTGACGTAGAACCTTATATGAATTACAGTGCCTTCAAGGAGAGGCTGCGGGGCCTGATTGTCGAATATGAGATGAAGGTGAGTAAGCGAGAGAGAGAGAGAGAGAGATGGAGAGTCATTGACTGGGTGGTGCTGGGAACAAAAAGGTGTCCCATAAGGGTTTGTATATAGTGTACTAGAGTGCTGACCCCTCCCAATCACCCATATATTGGTCTTTTTTCTTTAGTACCCCGGCGCGTCGCACAAGTGCATCAGCGGAGAGTACGATCGCGACGGCACTGGCAGGAACCCGACCCACCGCGCCTGTTGGGACGTGGCCACCGAACTCTTGAACGAGCACCCTCATGGCTGGCCTGCCTCACGCCAGCTCTGGGATTTGTATGTGCCTTTGCTACCTATACATCATGTCGAAGCCTTTTTTTTTTTTTTTTTTTTATTTATTTGCTGGGATACTCATATCGGACACGCGTTTCTTTTCCTGAACGAGAATAGTCGGTTCTATAGGACATACACGTTCTACAAAGCCCAGGAGCAGCGATCTGCTCAATACATCCGTTTCCTGCCCCAGTACCTTAGTTCCAAACAACGTGCCCTGGATCAATACAAGCGATGGGTTCCCGAGAACGGCGAATTCGCATGGGGTTACCATTCGGTCCAGTACCTGATCGATGCCTCCTACACCGATCCACATTTGTACATCGATATGCTCGACAACGACCCGGTGAACCCTCATAACTGGATCGCGGCAAGTCAGGGCGGCAGCGGCGACGGGACCTTGGAGAGTGTCCCTGGGCGTTATGAGCATACGGCGAACGGCACACGACTGTTGGTGGGAGCAGACGAAGGGTCTGCGGAAGGTGCGAGCGGTAGTGGTGGCCACGTCGCTAGCGGAAGTGATGTTGATGATGATGATGATAAGGGGTGGACCGAGGCGGAGAATGCGAACCGGAAACAGTTTATAAAGTCGGTTGAGGATGCGATCAAGAAGCCGGAGGGTCGTGGGTACACCTACAGGGGAATGCCGCCATCCGCATGAGGAAGGGAGTATGGCGACAAGGGGGGGGGGGGGGGGGGGGGGATTGAGAGTGTTGAGGATATAGACGCATAGACAGCATAGACAGCATAGACGCATAGACGCGTACACACACACACACAGCTGTAAATTGAATAGATTGAATGAAGCATTTTGTTTTTGTTTGTTCGCATGATTGCATTCGGACTCCAATTGGCTGCTGTGTCTTCTCGGACCACACATCACCCAAAGGACACTTTGACAAGACAAAGACACTTCTTTCTTTCTTTCTTCTTCTTCTCATCCTTCCTCGACTCATCACCCAACCCACCGAATCAACCGCCAGGCACCACCACCACCACTACCCACAACACAGACTCAGAAACCCCAATGTCTTCGCTCGCCAACCCCGTCAACTGGATCCTAGCCGCGGTCCTGGGCTATATCTCCTACAATTACTTCTCGGCCTCTGCAGCGCCCCCACCAGCAGCAGCAACCCGTCCCAAGCAACCGGCCCTGGTTTTTAAGGAATACACCCCCAAGGAGCTGGCGGCCTTTGACGGTCGGACGGCGGAGACCAGGATCTTGATGGCCGTCCAAGGAAAGGTCTTTGACGTGACCCGGGGACGGAACTTTTATGGACCAGGTAATTGACAGACAGACACACAGACAGACAGACAGACAGACAGACAGGCAGACTATGGACGTTTATGGGGGGAAGGTACTCAGGAACAGAACAGGATGCGCTTTCAACTTTTTTTTTTTTTTTTTTTCCCCCGCCTGATGAGGATGAGGACGAGGATGGGATGAGAAATGAGCTCAGACAACGACGATGACAACGGCGTCGGTAGCAAAAGTCCGACAGCAGTGAACAGTCCATTTCAACGCCAAGACCCCGAACCCTTCGGGTCCATGGTCCTTTGTGAACCGAGAGAAGGAACCCCCTCCCTCTCTCCCTCATAGCAGCCCTGTCTTTTTTTTTTTTTTTTTTTTTTTTTTTTCGTTTTTGTTCGATCGACCCGACCTTCAGCTACAGCCCACGTAATATCGGATGGGGTAGAGAAAAAAAAAAAAAAAAAAGAAGCGCGCAGTAAGCAGGATGCGGGACCCGTCATGGGGAACATACCTGTTATTTTTTATTTTGCCTGCCCTGCCTGTGTCTTCTTTCCCAGCGGGATCGCTCTGCATGTTTGCATGGCAGGCACCCTTCCTTGCTCCACTGCGCACAACGCCCAACCTGACTCTTTTAGAAACCCTTCCCCCTAATTAACTCGTTTTCCTCTTTCTCTCCCTCGACGTTTTTTTTTTTTTTTTTTTTTTTTTTTTTGTTTTTTCTTTTCTGGGATAGACGGCCCCTATGGAAACTTTGCGGGCCGGGACGCCTCGCGTGGACTCGCCAAGAACTCTTTCGACAAGTCGATGCTCTCGCCCATCGACGGCCCCATCGACACCCTCGAGGGCCTCGACGATGACGAGAAGGAGGCCCTCCACGACTGGGGCGCGCTTTTCGAGGGCAAATACCAGCTCGTCGGCAAACTCGTCGAGAACAAGGATTGAAAAATAAAACAAATCATTTCTATCTTAGCTTTGAAAAAAACTCCCCCATCGAGAGTGAACATGGTCGACGTTTTGCATTTTTTACACATATAATAGGAAAAAAGAAGACCATCTGGTTCCATGCTCTTGGTTAAAAAGACAAGATGCGTACTATTAGGATATATTATCTAGCCCCTCCCCATTAGAGGGGTATAGGTTAATCTTCTAAAAAAAAAAAAAAAAAAAAAAAAAAAGACGCCGGTAACTGTCCGTACTCCCTCCCACCCCTTAGGGCGACAAGAGACCACCCATACTACTCCGTCGCGCGTTCTCACTACTAGCCCTCGACACCAGCTGCTGATCCTGCTCCGACACGTTATGTCTCCCAAGGACCAACGAGCTTGTACTCGTCGAGTTCTTCTGCGGGTTCATCATCATCGGACTCACGCTCCTCGCCCCCGTCAGTCGTGCCCCCGCCGGGAACAGCCCCGCCAAACTCGGTCGTCCCCTCGGCTGCTGCTGATGGACGCTATTATTCCCCCCGGCCGACGACTCCCCGCTGACGTACCCTCCCTCGCTCGCAGACTCGTTATCGTCCAACGTCGTCATCGCCCCGCCACCGTACCCAAAATTGGTCCCGCTGAGCAGACCCGTCGACCGCTGCTTATACCTCGACCCAGTAGACGCCGACGTCGACGTCGACGTTGACGGTACAGCATGGCTCGACTGCGAGTGCGAAAGCCCTCCCTTGGAATGATGGGACGACGACGACCACGAAGAGGACTCCTTCGCAAACGGGATCGCGCTGCTCGATCGAACCGGCTGACGAGAGTACTGCTGTTGATTCATCTGTACCTGTTGCTGAAACTGTTGGTACGAGGACCTATTATGCTGCCCGGTCTTCGAATGCGCCTGCGCTTGATGTTGGTCGTCCATGTATCCGTCGCCCTCATCGTCGCTGTCTCTACTATCCGGACTCCAGTCATTACGCTCGTCTGTTGCAGAGTGGGCATATCCGGGTGCGAATCCGGCTGCGTGGGGCCCGCTATGACCGCCGTTCATGACAGCGGACAAATTCACAGTCGAGGACGGGGCAGAGGTGGACCCGTCCTGATGGACGAGCTGTTGCTGCTTATACCGCGCCATGGGCGTCAGAAGCGGGCTGTGCCCGGACGCATGGCTGACGGCGTTATAGCTCCTCGAAGCCGTCAACAGCGATGGCACTGGCGGATCATCCATCTCCTCCTCCGGGATCCAGCCCTGTCTCCATCCTGATGCGCCTGTGGCCGCTGCTGTGGTCGTCGATGGAGGCTGAAGATAGTCGTTCGGGCTGTTGTTGGGCTGCTGTGGAGCCGCACTGCCGGAATTAAGATAATTAGGTGTATTAGTGGTATTGTGTGTAAGGTTGCTGCTGCTGAGGTTCGCGCCGTTGCTGCCGCTCCATAGGCCAGATAGGTTCGTAGACGATCCTGAACGCGCCGTCAGTTCCACGGAACTCTGTGGCGCCTTCTGTAAAAGTGCCGTGTTGACAACACAACCCTCGGCCGCGCTCTGGCTCCCGCGTCCGTCCTTGGTCATCCACGAATGAGAATCACCAGAGAGTCGCTTCTTGTTGATCCTGAAGAACTTTGGCAACGTCTTGGGTGGACGCGAAGAACCCGAGGGACTAGAATGTGAACGGTTGTAGCCCATCTCATAAGGCCCAGCAGAGTGGCCACTCTCGGGGATGGAGCTGAGTCCAGAGGAGCCAAAACTGCCCCCGGGGGTGCCGCCGTGATGCCCTACGACACCCGACATGGGGATCGTGGTTGAAGTGTTCGTGCTGCCGTCGTATCCTCCGATCGCGATCGACTCGATCATCTCCTCACCCCGTCCAACCATGGGATCGAAGCTGCTGGGCTCCGGCCAGATGCGCGATGTGATCGACCACCAGACCGAGCGCGTGTGGTGCACAATAGAGAGGTACATGACCTTTAGACTCGCCCGAGGATTGAACGTCCGTCCATACGACCCTGGAGATCCAGCGGTTCCGGATTCCAGTGCGCTATAATCCGCACCCGAAGGTCCGCTTGTTCGACGGAACCGTCCAAAGAACGGCAGCCCGCCTCCACCACCACCACCAGAGCCGCCAGAGGAAGAGGACCCAGGATTGAGCCACCGCTTGATGACAGACCACGACTTTGACGATCGTGACCGATAGATCCAAAAGATAGCCAGCGCAAATAAGACGATCACCAGCAGCATAAAGTTGTTGTAACTGTCAAGCATCCGTTCCGGATACGAGTCCTCGTGCGGTGCTTTGTGGTCTGCCGGTGGCAAGATCTGCTGGGTTGGTCTGTGACCCCCGTGGATGCCGCCAGAATCAGAGTTTCCAAAGGGCCCCAACGAACCACTCGAGATCAACAGCATCGCCCCCAGTGTCCAGGTCACCTGAATATCCTTGATGGCGTTGATGCTCTGGAAAGGCGGCCTCCAGTTCTTGTTCTTGATGGACTCTTCTGCCTTCTCCAGGACCTCGTTCGACTGCTCCTCCGATCCAATGGCTCCCTTCTCACCAAACCGTGGCAGGCCGAATCCGCCGTGCAACACATTCGAGAGCCACGCGGATTTGAAACACTGCATTTCCAGTCGATCCTGTGATTGTCCCTGATAATCCGGTCGTGCCTTGATGTCCTCCCATTCAGAATTACAAAACTCGGCCGACTTTTGCTCGAATTCCGCATAATCGTAGGCGCCCCCGAGACCGAGGATATCATGGGACGAATACCAGTACTCCGAGACCCCGATGAACGTGTTGATGTTGAAGTCGATCGGCGGGGTGTGGACGCCATTGAAGAGACAGGGGACGTCGGTACATTCCTTGTCCTTGTTCAACAGCATCTCGACCCTCTTCAGACATTCCGTGAACGACCCTGAACCCATCAGGGGCACATGCGGTATGGTGTGCGTTTCGCTGAGCTGCAGGTTCTTTGGCAGACAGGGGTCTTCGATTGTGATCTGAACCCCTGGTTTCGGTGACTCGAGCAAGTCCTTGTTGGTCGACAGCAGATAATCCTTCACATACCGTCTCCGTGCCTGATTCGATCCATAGCCCAGGAATGTGGTGACAAACACATGGTACTCGAGGGTCTGGCCGTCCAGGGTGTTGAGGCTGACCTTGGTCAGGTCGTTGGCATGTTCCTCTGAAGCCGTGGGTGATGGCTCGAATGCAATCTGGGTACTGGCTCCACCCATGTCCAAGAAGCCGAGCGTGTGTCGATGTGGCATCGAATCCGTCTGATCATCCGATCCGTTGTTGTGAGGGTCTATCGAGGGCACGGACTCTGTATCCTCGGAATTGTGCTGCTCAGACTCTGGCACCACAGACTCGATCATCTTGACGCCTCCGTTGTCGAATCCGCCCATCAGGTAATTGATAGCGACCCATCCGTAGATGCCCTCTTCCTCTCCTGTGATGTTTTTGATGTGGTCTTTGCACTCGCCAATATGGAAACTGTAGTTTTCTCTGATGTAACTACAGGAATTGGCGAGGATCTGTTCCCGGATATCATCCTGGACGAGACGGAGGCCTGCTGTAGCAAGGAGGTAGATGGGCGTGCGATGGATCTCGGATTCGGGGATGATCTCCAGGGCGTGGTCGAGGAGCGGTTCCAGATGTTCGCCCACATCCTCTGGTCTGTCCTTGAAATCCGCAATGCCTACAATAAATAACAAGGGCGTCAAGAAAAAAAAAAAAAAATGCCGAATTAGGGTCCCTGGTTCCTGAAAGGGCTTTTTTATTTTTTTTATTCGTGCGTTGTCCTCCTTCAATTGGCTCCTGGGGACCCGAGTAAACGGTACCTGGTTCGGTTTTCATAGTCCAGTCTGCAGAGTGCGGGGAATCCGATTCGACTCCTGGTTCGATAGTGGGTAGCACGCCGACGAGGTCGCGGGCAGGGGCGGTTTCTTTGAGGTGCTGGCGGTTGATCCATGAGTAGATGTGAATCCTTGAGCCTGATGAGCCGGCATCGATGACGATTCCGAATTGCCGGTTCTGCAGCCATGTTTCGGAATGTCTAGCGCTCATTTCAGAAGCAGAGAGCAAAGAACGATAACGACAATAACGAGAATAACAAAAAAGAAGAAAAAAGAAAAAAGAAAAAAGAAAAGAAAAAAAAAAAAATGGAGGGAAGATGGGAGGGAGGCTGTTGAGCTGTGAAAGATGGAGTGTTGATGAGTGAGTGAGTGCGCTGGGTGGGACGAGTGTTCGAAAAAGAGAGATGGTCAAAAAGAGACAGGCAGGGCTGTAGGACAGGGGAATCAGATGCAGAGGCTCGTCCTTTGTTGTCTCGCACTCAGAGATGAAGGGGCATGGAGCAGATGCAGAAGGAGCGGAGTGAAGAGGAGTGAAGAGGAGGGGAGGGGAAGAAGGATCGCAGGGTGCGGAGGGCGGTGATGTCGGAGGATCTCTTTTTTAAAGCAGGGTGCACTCTGCACTCTGCACTCTGCACTCTACACTCTGCACGGCCTGCTAAAAATAATTCCAGAATAGAAGACACAATTCCTGTTCGTTCTCTTGTCTCGCTGCATTACATCGACACATCGACACCTTCTCTTCCTCACTCTCACTCTCGCTCTCCTTCTCCTTCTCTCACTCTTTTCCTCTCTCTTGCAAGGCGCAGGCAGCCGAGCACGCACTCCGCTTGGCCGACAAGAAAAACGCGTCGAAAGCGGCTATCCTCAATCTTCTATGAAGCAATAGAGTCAAATAATAATTACCCGCTTATTCGCTTATTAAATGCACCCGTCATTCATGTGGCACTTGGTCAGGGGCAATCTATCTGCATCTTATCATTTTAAAATTGCGGCCAGACGGACGCTGAAACAGGGGCTCTCCAGGAACCGCCAGAACTCTCAAGGGTCCCCCGACTGAACGCGTCGTCGTGCTCTTACTACGTCTACGCGAGAGAGCACCCAAATGTGCAGGCTGTGCAGGCAGCTATCTCTCCAAGGGCCAAGGCATCTTTCTTGACTGGGGACGACCTGGAGTTCATGAAGACAAGCATCTGTGCTGAAGAAAGCGTATTGACCGTCATCGACGGGAGTAGAAAACGTGAATCGACCTAATATCTGATGCTCTGACAGCTCTCCCTTTTTTTTTTTTACCTCTCTCACAGCATCAACAATGGCTAAGCATTGCCGTTACGCGCGTGGACGATTGCAGTTCTACAAGGCTGCGCTATACGATGTGACTGGTGAGGCACAAGGTAGCAACTGTCTATGGGGGCAAATGCAGCCTATTTCTTTTTTCTTTTTCCTTTCCTCTCGCCTTTTGTCTTTTTGCCTCTCACCCTTTGCCTCTCACCCTTTATCATCACCATCATCATCATCATCATCATCATCATCATCAAGGAACTACCTATCCCAACAAGCAACTACGCAACCCTCTCTTTTTCAAGCTCTTCCCCCTAGTTAAAAAAAAAAAAACCAAGCGACTAGACACCATGTCCGACCTCCGCGCAGATGAAATCAAGCACGCATTCGCCCTCTTCGACCCTCAGAACACCGGCAGGATCGAACCCAGCGTCTTCCAGGACTTTGTCAACGCAAGTGCACACCCCCCCCCACGCTCACGCTCACACACACACCATCCCCAATAACGCACCAAGCCAAACCACCTCCAGACTCGTTTTGATGCTCTCTCTCTCTCTCTCTTGCTCCAACAACAGCTTTGTTGCCATACCTCGAGAGAGAAAAAAACCCCCCCGCGAGGTTCTATGTAATAACCCTCTCTGTCTCTCTTTCTCTTTCTCTCTTTCATTCTCTCTCTCTCTCTCTCTCTTTCTCCCTCTCTTGTTTCTTATTGTCGAATAAATAGACTCTCGGCGACGAACAGCTCAAGGCAACGATCCGCATCCCGAGCCATGCCCTCGACCTCCAACAGTTCACGGACCTCATGAACCGCTACAACGAGGACGAGAAGAAGGATCCCGAGGAACCCTACAAACGCGCGTTCGACTCGATCAACAAGGACGGCTCCGGACATGTCTCGACCCAGGAACTCAAGGCTGCCCTGGATTCCTTCCTGGGACCTAATACTCTCTCTGAGGTAACAAAGAAAAAAGAAAAAAGAAAAAAGAAAAAAAAGGGAAATTGGCACAAGCAACTCGTACGAAAACGCATACATATCCATCCAGCCCCTGGAAGGGATGTGGGGGGATGAGTGAGGCAGACAAAACGAAAGTGGAGGGACTTTCACTGCTCCCAAAAAAAAAAGAAAAAAAAGAAAAAAAAGAAAAAGAAAGCAGTTGGACAATGATGACCGAATATATCAAAGAATCATTCGGGACAAACAAAGCCAAAAAAAACCTAAAAGCACAAAAGCACTAACTTAACCCCTTCCATTCCATTCTTATATTCTTATTAATATTTTCTTTAGGCGGATGTGGATGAGATCATCACCGAGGGAGATGTCTCGGGCGATGGTCGGATCACCGTCGAGGAGTTCCTGAAGATTATGCAGAAGAGCGAGAGCAGACATCGTGGCGAGCTCGTCCTGTAAACTTTATTCCCCCTCTCCCCCTGCACCCTGCACTCCTTCAAAAAAAAAAAAAAATTCGTGGTCAAGCTAACGGCCTCATACTCTTCCTCCGATGAAGCCCCTATCCTGTTCTGGAAGTGGAACCCAGAAGCATCCGACCATTGAACCCGACTTTTTCTCTCTCCCTTTTTGTACAAAGAAGAGAAGATAAAATAAAATAAAGATAATAAACTTGTTACCCCCAGCTGCAGTGCCTTGACGCGGATGACGATGGGCCCGTATCATGGTCAAGAGTGATACATTTAGACTCTTTTGCCGCATTTCATTTCTCGCGCACGCACATAAGGAAGAGGATGGGATGGATATCTTTATTCAAAAATCGGCTGCGTAAAGAAAATAAGGATCCAGAAGGGTAACCCCTCCCCCCCCCCCCCCCTTCCTTTTTAGTCGTCGCCTTGATGGTACGAGACTTTGCGCATCTCTCCGAGGACGCGTCTTGCGAGCGTCAACTCCTTCTCCAGCTTCAAGATCTCGACCTGCTGTGTCATCTCCTTGATCTTGAACTCGTGCGCGTTCATGTTCTGGTAATCCACCTCCCTTTCCCGGTCCTTCATCTCCCGGTCCATAATCGTCTTCACAGCCCTCACCAGCGCCCGCGACGCCTCCGTCACCGCCTTGGACGCCCGCTCCAGATTATCCTGGGCCTTCGACATAAAGTTGGCCTTCACCCGCGATGCCGCCACAAGCTGTGCGGTCGCCGCCGCAACTTCGTTCGACGCCACCAGCAACTGCTCCATCGAATGCGTCTTCGAAATCACCCCGTCCGCAGTCTCGACCAACATGGTCGTCGCCATCGCAACAGCCTTCGCCGCCGAAATCAGGCCCTCGGTCCACCGGTTATTCCTCTTGTAGAACGCCGCATTCGTAGACGTGCCTCGGCCCTGGGCCACGATTTCCTGCTGCGAGATCGTCGCGCACTTGATCAGATACCCAATCGCCTGCATCATCGCCATCGCGCTCTCGAGGATCGAAGCGTTCACCTGCACTTCGATAGCGGACAGCTGATCATTCTTGGGCTTCGATATCAATGCCTGCAACCGCGTCGTCGCCTCTTCGATCGTCCGTGCGGCATTACCCATCTCCATCTCGACCACATCGCCCAGGTCCATCTTCGAGGGATCCAGCTGATTGTTCTTCGGGATCAAGGACTCGGCCCCCTTGGCCAATCGCTCCATAGCCGCCTGTACCGCCTCGTTCGACCGCTCAATGGTCTTGATACTGCCCTCGGGAGAGAGACCGCCCAGGCGCGCAGACCCGACGTTCGTGAAGAACTCGGTCGTGGCCCCTGCAGATGCCTTGGCATGTCGGATGATCTCCTCCGCATCCTCGTCCCTCTTGGCCAGCCGCGTGATTCCCTTGGCGTTCTCGAGCACATCTGCGATGGTTTGTGAGAAGAACAAGGCGGCCTGGATTGCATGGACCTGGTTGACGTCCTGGGATGGTCGGAGGTACTGTAATAGGGCTAATTCAAACTCGGTCGACGCAGTGTGTGCCTTCTCGATCATCGAGAGCGTGAACTCGGGCGTGGCCGTCTGGTTACCGAGCTGCGTCGGCGATTCGAGGTCAAAGACGCTCTCGTCCACCTTCTTGATACATGTATCTAAGATCGCATCTACAGTACCATCCATAGGAAAACAAGTCAAGCTCAGTTAATCTCCCTCCCTCTCTTCATATCAGAAAAACGCAAAAGAAAGAGCGTCTCTGCAATGGATTAATGCTTCACGTCTAAGTACCGAAAACCTCTTGCATCTTGCGCCTGTGAGAACTCGTCAGGCTGTTGATGCGCTCTTGTAGTGCCGACGACATTTCTGTCTGACTGCCTTTCAAGGTCGCAAGTTCCAGCAGTGTTTCGTCCAATCCTTTCTCCAGCACGGCCTTTTCTTCTTCGTTATCAATCTGCATCCGCTCAATCTCGGCCTTCTGGTCCTCAATCTGTCGCACCATCGATTCGATCTCACGTTGGCGGCGCTAATCAGCATAAAATAATAATAATAACAATAATAAAAAGTTGTTAATGCTGGTAACTGGCTTGGAAACCTCTACGGTAATAGGCAGACTGAAGGAGCTGAGCTTACGTTGGCGAGATCCTCCAGGTCCTGCTTCTCCCTGTTGAACTTTGCGACCATGGCCCCAACCTCTGAACTCTTTGACCGCCCCAAATCCTCCACACGCCCATTCGCCATCTCCAGGTCCTTCTTCAGCCGCGCAATCTCATCGTTCTGTGTGTTCTGCCACCGGAGCAATTCGTTCTTGGCACGATCGCGCTCCCGGACCATATCCGCCATCTGCAGTGCCTTGTCCTTAATCTCCTTTTGCATCCTTTCCATCATGTCGACGGCTTCCTGTGCAGAATTGGCCTTGAGCTGCACAGCCTTGAACTTGCTGAGCAAGGCCATGTGTTCTTGACGCAGTTGCGAGTACAATTTGGCAAGGCTTTCGTACTTTGTCTTCCATATATTGATTTGATCTAACCGAAAAAACCAAAAGCCCTGGGTTAGTGGAAGGATACAGAGCAAGAAAAAGACTTGCCTGAGTAGCCAGAAAGAGAGACGAATAAAAAAAAAAGAAGAAAGAAAGAAAGTACCATGGATACTACGGATCATCTCATCCTTGGACATCAGCTGTTGCTGTGCATTCATATTGATCAGCTGCATCTCCTGCTCCAGTCCCTTGACCCTCCTGTCATACTGATCGATCAGCATCTGGTCGCGCTCATACTGCCCCCGTAGCGCCAACACGTTCTGCTCCAGTTCCGCCAACCGACCCTCGGCCTGTCTCTGTATCTGCTCCCTCGCCAACTGCTCTCTTTCCAACCGCTCCCGTTCAATCTGCAGCCTCTTCTGTTCATCGTACTCCTGTTGTAGTCGCAATGCCTCCATATGTTGTTGTTGCTGTTCCAGTTCCCGCTGTTGCTGCAGCCGCTGCTGTTCTAGTTCGTATTCGCGCTGTTTCCGGGCAATCTCTCGTTGCTGCTCTGCCCAATCTACGCCAGAAGATTGAGGTGGGCTGTCCGGTCTTGCCGGGGTGGGTGGTGCAGCCTGACGGGCTGGTAATAACGGGGGTGAGTCGCCCCCGATCAGGTCGGGAGGGTCCTGGGGCAGTTTGGGGACACTGATGAGTCGGGTCAAGTACTGAAGGTTGGAGCATTCGTAGTAGAACTTTAAAAGCGCGTAGTGCTGAGAATTGTAGCGCTGTCGTAAAAGGACCAAACCTTCGGGATCACTCGTGCCTAATTTTTGAAGGAAAATTATGTTTGTTGAGTGAAAGAAGCGCATATTCAGAGGGACTATCCGGGTCTAGGTGTTGGAGACTTACGTCTGTGCATGGCGCGTAGCATGCTGGTAGCGAATTGGTAAATGGCATAGGATTCCTGCACGAGCGGTACGAGCGCGGCGATCCGACACTCATTGTTGGAGGACGGGCGAAAGTTTGTAAAGATGAGTTTTTGGAACTGGTCAATCTGGTCCTGGAGGTTCATCAAGTCGCTGATTGTCTCGTACCTACGCGGAAATGAAAAAAAAAAAAAGACGGTCGGTGTTATTTTTTTCTCACTTCTCCGATTGTAGGTCGAGTATCCGCAAAGTATCGGTCCTTACCCTTCATTGGGATCGTCGATTCCTTTCAGTGATACGTATTCGTTGTAGTCGAACTGTCCGTTAAATTCGGGATGGCTGCTATGGTATCGGAGCTTCGAGTGCAAGAAATCGACATACGAACGGATCAACGCAATATATCCTGTTTCCATAAAGCGCGTCAAGTTCATGTTCCGTTAGCTATCGACCGAAAAAAACAACAACAACCGGCTCCTTCGCCACCATTGTTGGCACGAACAAAAAAAAAAAAAAAAAAGACGAGGGAGATAGCTTGCCTCGACTGTCATAGAGTTGTGCCGTCGAACGAGCGCATTGGTCAAGCCAGTCTGTCTCCCTTTGTCCATCCTTCAATGCCTAATCCATTGAGACACCACCGAACAGAAGACAGAAGGTCAATAGAAAGTATCAACTATGAATCCACCGTGTTCTCCTGAGAAACATGAAAGTATACCGTTGGATGGCCTTCACGGATAATCTGGTGGATAGCGATAAGCGCCTTGAAGGTCTGAACCTCATCGCCCAGCAGAGGCTGTGTCCGGAATCCTTGCCAGACCGAAGTTGATGAGCGATAATCCCATGTGTAGAGGATGCAAGCTATTGCCATTCGAACCAAATCTACGTCAGCTTTGCCCAGCTTGCTTACAGAAAATATATAAAAAATAAAAAAAACATCCAGGATGCCTAAGCAAAAAACGAACAGAGGATGCCTACAGCCTACGACTCTGTTACGTGGACTGAACAAGAGTCGATCTGCGCCCTCATTGTCCACAGCCCTTCTCTTTTCGTATCTGCTGCACGATTCTGCTTTGTCATACCTCTGACATGCTTTCGCTTGGGTGCGGTCTCTTCAGGGCTGGTCGCCTTTTTAATATGCACCTGAAGTTCGGCCTCTGCTTTCTCTCGATTAAGTGGACGGGCCATTCTGCTGGTTGAAATGTGCCCTCTCGTTTTTTTGTTAGTGGACCGTGCGTCTGTCTCTGCGCTGAAGTTAACTGTGGACTAGGCAGGACTTGAGGAATGGCAAAAAAACAAAGAAAAAAAAAGAGGGAATCAGCTACATGAATCGCTGAAGAGGAATGGCAACGTTCAGTGGCGGACCAGGTTCTTCTGGGAAACTAACAGCGATATGTGCTATGTGGATGAAGGAAGTATATGAAGAAGGAGTGTGGAAATAGAAGAACCGACCGACGCAGGAACCGACTCAAACCAAAAGGCGCACGCCCGTTCGACTTTCCAATCGGCTTTTCTGATCAACAGCCCTGTGGTGGAACAGCGTCCTCTATTTATGACGTTTTGTCGCGGTCATGTCCGTCTACCGTTCTACGGAGCAATAGGGGGCTTCTCCAGAGGGCCAACTAGACTACCACTGGAGGGAAAATCTGCTGAGCCTGCGGCCTGGCTATGGTCGACTGCTTTTCTGTATCCGCTTCCGCTCTCAATTCCCCTCCAACCACAGATGCTGCGGAGCTTAATCATCCCGTGAAGCTTATAGACTTCACTTAGCAGTCTTCTAGAGTATAAAAGGACGTCGCCCTTGGGAAGAATTTGTTCCCTACCCGCTCTAGCTTTTTGGCTAAGATCAAGTGTAGTATCTGTTCTTATTATTCTAATCGAATAATATGGTGGCTACGGCCACCAATCGATTAATTTCATTTTTGAGCTACGCTTGCCCGGCTCTGGCTTGCTACCTGGGCGAGCACTGGTGTCCTCGGTATTGCACTACCTCCGAGTCGTACGCCGAACCTCTCTTCTTATCCAAAAAAAAAAAAATGGAAAAAAAAAAATATAAAAAAGGGTCAAGACACAGGGCTGTGGCATGTAAGACAGTGCAGATTTTGAGGGCGCCAACGCGCCCGATTTTTTTTTTTTATTGATGCAACATGCAGATGTACGAAAGATTACATTGTCAAAGCCGTGGCTGCATCATCTAAGCCGTGGCTACTGCCGGCCGGGAACTATCTAAAGATAGCTAAATGTTCTTAGAAGTCGAGGATCGACTTTGGTAATATTCAGGCTACACAAGCAGAAATGTCGACTTCAGGTTTCTAAGGACTGAGAAAGCATGGCACGAAAGTCTGCAGCAGACATTGGAATTTAAACGTGGTACAGGGGCTGTAGACATTCTTTTGCCAAAGAAGACATAAAAGAACGGTTGTGCAGCCCGCATCTTCATTAACTAAACTCCAAAACTCCTTTTTTTTTTCTTTTTTCTTCATGGTATCTATTTCGATTCGACTGAAGGACCCATACCTGGTCCTTCCAATTGACGGTAGCCAGCCAATGCCCTATCCGCTATCAAATGTGTCCAACACGACCGGTTCTCCGTCCTTATCACCTTCCTATTTAACGCCACCACCCTCTGCTACGCCGTCTCAATCATCCTCCGCGACTGAATCCCTATACCCCTCAGCAGATTCGCCAAACCACTGTGCTGGAGCCACGCTCCTCAAAGGAACATTGATCCTCACCCTCTCGAGGCCGATCCGAGTCGCGTCCTTGGTCCTAACGCTCAGTGGGTCGTCTCATCTCGCTCTTTCTACTGTACCAGGATCCGATCGGTCAATACATTACTCGCAACAGCACTTTCGCGCTAAGCAGTTCTTGATCAAACCGTCGCCTCAGCCTGAGCACTTTACTACCATTGTTGCTCCCTCCGTATCCAGTGTACCTATTCTTGTGAACTCGGCCTCTCTCAACGCCAATCAAATCGAGTATCCCTTCGCTATCCCTGTTCCCAACACCGTCCCCGTCTCTGTGGTCACACCTCAAGGCGGGACAACCTATCAACTGAGCGCAGAATTGACCACAGCGAAATCCAAGGGCACTTCCTCAGGCATCAAGGCGCTCCTAACTGCTGCTACCGGAGTAGGGTCCTCATCGGTCCTCACTGCTACAACAGCAGTGCAGATATATAGGGCAGGTCGCCTGCCTGACCCTCCTTCGACAACTTTAATATCCGAGCAAGAAGGCAACGACAGCACCGATCAAGACGAGGATGCGATAATCCCTGACTCGATCTCCCATACTTGGCCAGGGCATTTGGAAGCGACTGTCTCGGTTCCGTACGTACACCTGCCTCCAAAATCCATGCCCGATTTGAAAGTCGCGATCAAGTTGCTGAGAACCGAGGACATTGCCATTAAAATCTTCCAGGTGGAACTGTACGAACGCGCTATTTTCCGACTGACCAAGAGTACCGGCGCGACTACAAGCAACCAGGGGACTCAATCACGAGCGGCGGTTGTTGGCATCCGCGATCGAGTTGTGAGCACCCAACGCATGGATAAGGGCTGGCCGACAGCTTCTTCACGCAACCCCGGCTTGATCGAACAGTCCTTCCAGTTCAAGACACCCAGCGCGGTCCGTGGTCCCAACGAGCTTTATTCCTCGCGCAATTGCAATGCCTCGACCTATTACGGGATCTCGAAGCAGGAGCGACAGAGACTGAAGGAAGACGGCGACAAGTCCAAGGTCCGCGCCGGAACGATCGATATTGAAATCCAGCACTTTTTGAGGTTCAGTGTTTTCCTCACAGGACTGACGCCCGGGCCCGGGGCGACTGGCGGGGCCGTTGAGCGACAGCTCGGTGACATACCAGTCGTGGTTGGTGGTGTACCAAGGGCGGCGCAATGCGACGACACAGATCTTCCATCATACATGGAATCCTTCTCGACTTCTCTGGTCTCGCTCGAACAAGCACAGACGTACGAAGTGGAAACAGGGGTATGTTTCACGATTGACAGTGAGGGCGATGGCGATCCCGCGACAGGGTACGGGGTGCGGCTAGAAGGGGATTCCTGGCGAAACTCGAGGCTGTCTTCACTATCGAGTGCAGGATCGGCGTCTTTACATGGCGACTTTGAGAACGACGATGCATTCATGCCGAGCATAGGCCTCCGAAGATCAAGGACACCACCACGATATGAAGATAGCACCGACCAGTCATCTTTGGATGAGTCTATTAATGACCTGGAGTCCAATTCATCGATAATGCGGGGACACGGTCAAAGCACAGATACTCATTATAGTAGTCCTATAGTTTAATTTTCGCCCTTGAGTTGATGATGCGATGAGTTGCCACGGACGCATACTACTAATACCCATTAAAGAAGAGATTTTAATGAGAACCGCTATCGTAGAACAATCCTATTCTTTGCGCGCTGATTTCCTTCGTGAAGGTTTCTTGTTCTCACTCGCCAAAATCTCCTCCAATGTTGTCAACCGAATCGTGCTCTCCGGTACCGGTACTGTTTCTACTTTTGCTCTCGATCTGCTGCCACCCTCCTTTTCTGGTTCATCCTTATCTCGCTCGTCATCTTCATCGCCACCGTCGTCGTTAACATCATTGTCATCGTCATCGTCGAGATCGAGTTCCTCGCTTCCAGTTCCAGCTTCAGTGCTGTGGTACTTTTTCGCAGACTTCCTTGCCATCCTCATCTTTCGCTGCCGAATCTTCTCTGCCTTTTGCCCGCGTTTCGACATGTCGCCATTGTAGTACTCGTCCAACCGACCGATCAGGATCTTCCGTGCCAGTTTCCGATTCTGAGGCAACGATCTTGTCGCCTGACATTGGACTACGATCCCGGTTTCGTAGTGCTTTAGTTCCACGTTCGAATTGGTCTTGTTGATCTTTTGGCCGCCGTTTCCACCGCCTTTGATGAATCGTTCCCGAAAGTCCGTGTCGAGAAGGACGATCTCTCTGTATGGCGTGGATGAGGAAGACTTCTTTTTAGTGAGCGAGTCCGACTGTAATACTGGCGGTGGAGTTTGCAAGCCCAACGCGTCATTATCATCAGACGACGGTGATAACGGTTCCAGACCTTCCGACTCGGGATGTCGCGCGTCCTGAGAGACTGCCACTGCAGAAGAAGAGGTTATAGAGGCATTGGCTGGTGGATCCTGACGCTGACCTTTCCGAAGGCCGTTTCCGAGTTCTCGGCCAGGACCTGCACGTAAAAACGCCTCGCGGATCTGTTGTTGGTGTGCGCTTGAAAATGTGGCGGTGGCGGCAGTTTGAGGTCGATAGTCCAAGAGACGTTGGTGTGAGGGTCGCGACAGCGCCGTCCTGCGGACAAGTGCAAGACACCGGAAGCAATGGCGGGCGAGCGTACTTTGCATGGTGGATGGATCTGGGAGAGCGATCGCTGTTGCTTGTTGGCGCTTGTCGTTTATTCTCTTGGACTCCTGCTATCCTGCTCTTGCTGGCTCTGTGCGTATGTTCCTTTGAAAGGCTCGGTTGGGGGTTGTGATCGTTCCTGGACCCTAAAGTTATGAACGCAAGGTCGCCTGTGACTGCGGGGGTGGAGTTCTTCAACACGATCGATCAGGCGGTGCACCGCTCAAAGAATCCCTTCTTATTATTTCCCTACTCATTTCAGCATCCTTGGCAACTTCCAGTATTTTCATTCAGCACCGTATTCACTGTCCATCCATCCTCTACTTCACTGTCCATCCATCCTCTACTTCACTGTCCGTATCCTCATATCGTAATCCACGACCATACATTGTCTGAAAAGGCTCCAAACGGAAAACTAAGCACGCAGCAGGAGCTACTCCTTCTTGATAGCCTCCCCCCCCTCCTGTACCTCCTTTGTCGATCCCGTATCCAACATCGAATGCTTGATGAAGTACACAGGAGTGAACGATCGGACTCTCAGCACTTTAGAAGGAGAAGAGTCCAAGCGCGAATTCGTTAGGGGTCATGCCAATTGGGATTCGTGTGTCTGTGTGAATACATCAAGGAGGTCAAGTCACAAGACTGTCAACTTTATAGAAGAAATAAACCTTGGCAGCAAAAAACAATGCATCGCTCAAAGAACCTTCGCCTTTCGAACCAAGGAGCAACGGCGCTTAGGAGTATAAGGAGAGCAACTGATTGTAATACAATCAAAGGGTAACACCATGGACTTTGACGACGAGGAAGCTGCCATCGCAGAGGCGATTCGCCTGTCCCTCGAAGAATCAGAGGCGAGATCTCGTTTGGCCGCAGAACCAGCAGTGCACCCACAACAACAAGTGATAGACCTCACTGACGACCTTGAGCCAGTCAAGGTGGAGCGATCCTCGCCGGCACCCATGCTGGCGCCCATGTCAGCACCCATGTCACCACTTATACCAGTACCCATGCCAGCATCTCTCGCCAACGCACACAGTAGCAACAGCCATGATACCGTCGAGAACCAGGAGGAGGGAGACGAAGATTTGGAGAGGGCACTGGCGCTTTCTTTGGCTGAGGTCAAGTCAGCGGGCAGAGTAGAATTAAACAGAGAAAAGTACGCTATGAATGCAGATCCCGTCGCAGAAGCGTCGTCAGTATCCAGCGCCTTTGGAGGGCTCAGTCGAGCAGACATGGAAAGAGAGCGTCAAGAACGCATTAAAAGAAAAACCATGTCTAGAGGAACAACATTGGAAGCAGGAGATAGCGTGGGTAGTACCAAGAGAAAGCGCGTTCAGGATGCACCATCGGTTTCGACGATAGTACCACCATTGGATTCTCAGGCATTTTTATTGGAAGCGTCATCACCCTCAGTATCATCTTTGCCATCATTATCTTCATCATCCTCAGCATCATCTTCTGCATCAGCACCGGCATCTACAACCAAAATACCCAGAACATCCAGCAAGCCAGTACCATCCACGAAAGAGAGAGTGGTATCCACATCACCTCCTGCGGCGCATGAGCAAGCAGCTACTATGGCGTCGTCATCAGGAACACCATCTCATTCAGTACCCGCTTATAAACCTGAATTCCTTGCCGCTACATTCCGTAACACGGGTATCCAAGGAACAAAACTCGGCAAATGGGAGATCAGATTTCAGGACCTTGTCAAAAAGAAATACCTCATCAAGGCAGTCTTGACTTCATTCCAGTTGGACGAGGAGTGGCTCGAAGAGCACATTCCTCCGAATATCGCCCAATGTATCATTACGCACTGGACCAGAGAGCTAGGAGAGCAGGTAAGACGCGTTTTTTTTTTTTGTAGCTTATTTTTTTTTTTTTCGTCTAAGAGGAGAGTCGCTCATCACCCTGCAATAACATGTCGCTGTTAGCCGGGTTTCTTTAATGAGGGCAAAAAAACGTACCTGCACCCTCCTCTCAATGGATTCGGGAGCTTCCATTCCAAGCTGATGCTCCTGTTCTATCCTATGTTCTGCCGCGTTGTGATTACGTCCGCGAACCTGGTAAGTTGTTGCTCGACTCGGCTTCTTCTGCTGTCTTGCGCCCGATAATCCACCGTGCTTAATGTCCCTACAATCTTTCTCCTATATATTCCATCAAGGTACCGCACGATTGGCTGCAACTTGTGAATATAGTGTATGTTCAGGATTTCCCCTTGCTTCCCGCACCACTCGATACGCCGGAGGAGCTTGGTCAATTCGGAAATACTTTGCACAACTTTCTCAAGATGATGACAGTGCCGAACAAGGTCCTTACCGTGCTGAGGTGCGTGGATTTCACCGCGGCCAAAGTGAGTTCTCCTCTTTAGTCTTATAACTTTCACCTCCCAAGTATGTGTTTATCCACAACTTAGGCAGAGCCCGGACTTAATATCAATTCGAAATCGTCTCAAATTTGTGGTCGTATGACTGTAGATCCTTTTAGTGCCTTCCGTTCAAGGGTCTTTTCTTGTTTCTGATGAACACACCTACGGGATCGCACAACTTTCCAAGGTGCTGCAGCCAAGAATATCTCCGTTCCAGGAATTGGACATTGAGTACCAGGTACGCAGCATTACCGCCTATTAGCTTTCAAATGTCAGGCTTTCTTCTGTTATATGCGACATTTCCTTGACCTGCTTTATGTTTTGTATTCATAGACAAGCTCCCTCGGTAAAATGACGGCCAAGTTCCTACTCGAGTTCTACAAGGCAGCGAGAGGCCAACCGGTGAGGGCGCGTTCTAAAATTAACACGGAGGAGCCACTACCGCCCATCAAGGTCGTGTTCCCAACTGAGAACCATGTCAGGAATAGCCGATTGGGCGAGTTGGGAGCGGGAACGGTCTGCTTTCAAAGCCAGTACTGGGACGATCTCACCTATCCCAAGCGAGTCATGCACGATTTCGAATGCGTTGGAGCTCTTCGTGGATCACTGATGCACACCAAGGTGCGGATACATGTGCCCTTGTCTTTCGCGACTTTGATTTTATAAAATTGTTTGATGTTGACCGTTATCGGACACCTTTTCAAACGAATGGTGCGTACAATGTATAGCTGGTTCTTGCCAAGGCAGTTGAGGCACCCAATACGACCGGCCAGTCTACCTCCGCGTCGACTTCAACAACGACTGGTCAAAAGCAGGGCCCCAAGTGCGCAGGATGGCTATATGTCGGGTACGTCGCATGGCTATCCTTGTACACTGTTAACTCACCTTATTATTTGCTTTCTATCGTTACTGACATTTAACGACATGCGACTAATTAGAAGCGCCAATTTCACCGAGTCTGCCTGGGGGTCCGTCACACTAAGAAGATCTGGCCCAATCGCTGGTCAAGGCTTGCGCGTGAATATACGAAACTGGGAACTGGGAGTCGTATATGTGATCGAGACCGAGGAGGAGATGGAGTCCCTGGAGGCACTCACTCGAGCCCAGGGGGGTGAAAGTCACACGGACGATGACGATATGCAATCGTTCTTTGGGCCATTGCCGGTTCCGTACAGACGACCCTTGACTCCATATACTTCTAATGATCGTCCATGGATCCGCTGAGGAGATATTGATGGCTACGAGAAATAAAACGCGCTTTTACTGTGCAGCCTTTTGCTGAGGCGGATATATCGGTATGATGAAAGACCACTCTGGCGCTACAGCACCCAGAGGATACAAACGTGCGCATCAAGGAACAATACTTAAAACTGCGACGCGGTCATTCGCGTTTCTAAGCCTTGTCCAGCCTTTTAATGCAATCAGTTTGATCCGCCATCTCGCTGTTCTCTCAGGCCTTGCCTTTGATAAGAAGTTGCTTGTAGACCTTTGAGCCCAGCGAATGGAGCCATTGACATGTATCCAAATGTTTTAGCTCTTCGCAGTTTTTCAAACGACCTCCACTCTGTGTGTGGCTCCATTCATTACGACAGCAAGTCTCTTTACATAGTCGACGATTTTATTGTCAAGGGTTCAGATGGACCAGTCGTAGAACACATTGTGGTATAGAAGGAGGCCCTCGAGTTTGTCATTGTAATCATCAATCTCGTTCAACCTCCCATGAATCACTTCGAGGTCCCTCCAGTTGGACACCATCCATGCGGCCTCTTTTATGTCCGCAGACTGTCTCGTACCGGACACCGTAAGAACACGAAGCCTTTTTAAGCCCGACAGGGCCCCCAGCCCACTCTGCAGTCGGAAATCCAACGGATCCAGATCTGGCATGGGATCCAGACCAGGCATCGGATCATCCTCCTGAAAGACACTCATATCGAATTGCTCCAACAGCACCAGCTCCGAAAGCCGCTGGAAGATTTTTGGCTGGAGACTCTCTTCGCCTGCACCGAACCAAATGGGGAGGCCTAAATCTCTCATTGAACGACATACCCACGGTCCACCCTCGACAATATCCTTGGCCAAAACGCCTTGGCCCACAAGGAATTCCATCCGCGGACATGAACATAGGATGTCCCGAAACATGACGCTCGTAACATTGACACAATCCGCTAAACCCAGCTCTGAAATCACGCCAAAGTGACGCCGCAATGCCTGGAACGCAAGCGGTCCAAACCCAGATCCAGATAACCAGAGAAATGTCATTTGCTGCTGTGCATCGAGAATTGTTGCCAGATCGCTGTCCCCGAGGATGTTCATCATATGTAATCGCTCGAGATACGGCCATAGTCCTGCGGCGACATGGAGGACAAACATGTTCTTGCTGACAGCGGTCATTGTTTTCGAATACCACTGCAGATCCTTTAAAAGCGGGCAGTCCTTTATGACCTCGAGCTGATCGGGCGTACTGAGGCCCCCCACGCTGGACAGCATGAGCTTACGCATCCGCGGAAAGTTGCCGGCGCTCAGTGGACGCCTGCTCTCCACCGTCGTGTCATGCAATTCGAGGCATTCGAGCTGCATGCAGACGCTCCAGAAATCATCCGAGTCCTCACGTTTGATGAACGATTCATGAAGGATCAGCTCCCGTAGGCCAGCGAGGTGTGAGATCGTTCCCCAGATGGTCCTTGGAGAGGATTTGCACCTGAGCGTCAGCTTGGTGACCGAGGGGTTCCGGGAGAGGAAGGCTTCAACGAGCTTGTCGGTCTGACGATACACTTGGGAGCCACTTTCGGCATCCAGCTCAAATGGTCGGGTGAGCTGTAAGGTGCGGAGGTTGGGGTAATGTATGGCATACAGCGCTAATTGCAAGTCGTCCGTCTGAAGTTCCTGTACCAATCCGCGGTGCTGCTTCATGGCCTCGGGCGAGGGACTGAACCCTTCTACGAAGCGGCTTGTTCCGATGATGATTCGCTTCCAGACAAAGGGCAGGAATGTTTGATGCCAGGTTTTGCAAACGGAAAGGCAAGCGACCAAGTGCGGCCTCTCTAGATATCTGGCAATGAGCAGGTTTATCTCGGGGATCTTGAGCGCATCGACAGTCGCCATTTTGGTGCAGGAGCGAGAAGGCGAGGGTGACCGTGGGAGCAAAGTGCAGTTGATGAATGAAGGCCGGCTGATCGAGATGAGGACAAAGAGGGTGCGAGCGATGGGAGTGATGAGGGAGTCCAGTTAGCGGGAGTCTGTTCGTATCACACGCACGTTGAATTCATTTTCGACACGCCGCGAAAACTTTAATGAAATACGTCAAATAGCCGTTAAAATGCCATATCCGGATAAGTCCTGAGGTTCACCCCCCCCCCCAAGATATCATCCATGGACATGAACAAAGGATCTCCTGGACCCATGCTACTCGTTACGGTAGCGCACCCCTGGGTAGACCTAGGGTTCGTTTGCATCTAAATGGCTTCATAAGGCCTGGGATCGCAGGGTTGGTCAATCCTTGACCCACGACGCCTAAAGACTTGTCATTTGGTCCTGAGCATTGAAGGTCCTTGTCAGGTCTTCGTCTCTCAAAAAATACCCATTGTGTAAAAACCGTATGAGTCCTCAACATGATCCCACGAGAGCGAGGTCAATAAAAACGTCCTTGGCAGAGGATACCCTTGGAATTGAAGAAATCACTCCGAGTTCTCCAGCCTAGGGCTATCCATGACGCCCTTGACTTTCTGCAAGCGAAGTCTGCGTATCCAAGTGGGACCAAAAAGTGCCAGTGATTGATCTCTGTTTTTGTCGGGCCTGAGAATTCTCTTCCGTCAGCCAACACACCCCTGAAAGCCGGTCGCGAAATAATTTTGAGAGGGCCTGGCGAGTTCTACCTGTACCAATCAACGATGACAATCCATGGCTTCTGGAGAAGGGATCGACTCGCTCGTCAGCAGTGCTGTATCCAATTAACATTGGCTTCCAGACAAGAAAAAACAGAGACATTTAATGCCATGGCTTGCAAATGGCGAGGCAGGTGTTCTGGTTTAAGGTACCTATCAATGGGCAGCTGTGTCTCTGGTGTATGAGGGAGTCGTTACACTCCATGGATGTGTTGTGGAGAAGGTGTGAGGCCTTGGCGTCGAGTGTTCTTGAGCAAGCTTGAGAGGGGGAGGGGGACGAGGGAGAGAGAAGGTGACGATGGTTCAAGGGGATCAAAGAGCGTCGTTGTTGTTTGCTCAAGGGCTACAATTCTTGGGCCACCGCCTGTTAATTAAGCTTATTTGGTGAGATCTGTGCTACTCCATTTCTCAGATGCGATCTCAGATATGAGCATAATTGATAAACGAGAGAGAGGGGCAACGACTGAATGGCATCGTGAGGAAGCGAGAAGAAAGAGAAACAGCACCTAGGACCATGACACGCAGGCAAAGTGTGGCGCCAACATTTGCAAGCGTCTGCGAGCTTCAAACAGTGTTCCTCCATAGGCATTGGGCGTCATTGTAAATTGTAGATCCCTGATCGCGGCCCGTGTTTCTCCGCCAGCTGAGGATTCAGCTCACTTCCCTTCTGGAGCCCTCTCCTCCGCGGAAAAATGGGTTTGTGTTGTGAGCCGAGGACGCCGCTGTGTTTACGAATCTATGCGCGTCTCGTCCGTCGATTTGCAAAACTAAACCTGCGCCCTGTGGTGGGGTATATATACCTAAAAAAAAAAAAAGAAAAAAAAAAAAAGAGTTCGGAGCGTTGTTCTTAATTGTCGCTGTGCTGTCAATATACACTTGATGTCCATGTAGGCAAGCACATCCATGGTGCCGTATTCACCCCGCCATAATGATTAGCAACCCCTTATTATCTGCAGTCAACAACAGCACATTTGTTTGTAAACAGCTTCTCATTTCCAAAGAGAGTGTGAGCCCTTTTTTCTCCCTTCTCTGCCGATGCATAAGCAAGGAAAACAATCGGCACTGCTAGTCTAGCACAGCACCCTCCTTTGTTCTCTCGTCTGTACTCAATCCAAGCCGTTCCTTTCCTTCTTTCTCTCTGTCCTGCTCCTCCCCCTACCCTTACTTTACTATACCCTTGCCCAACGTGCCCCTACCCCATTCTAATGCCACCATCCCAGACAGCGGCGCAGAGTGTGCCCTCCACTCCTCCGCTGCAGCTATCACCATCTTTACTCGAATGGAGCTCCTCTGTACTATCGGCACCGAGACCTATGCCTGTCTGGACTCTTTTCATACCTATGGTTTCGGTCCTCTGCATCGACTTTCTCCTCCAAATCGCAGCAACAACACTGAGCTCTTCAGATGACCTTCAGGACGGCACTCCACCGGACAGGACAGTCCACAACACCGAACAGTTTCTCCCAATAGCACAGATTGCTGTCGACATTCTGACAGGAGGACTCTACTGTACATTCATCTATCCCAATACACTTACCCACATCTACTCCACTATGACCCACCACAGGCGACCAAGCACTACCAAGACAAGGAGATCAACAGTAGATAACGCACGGATGGGGGTCGTTGCCATACTGGCTACAGCATACGTTTACTTTGCCGCCCAGGGCATTTACAATAATGTACACCACAGCCAGCGCGGTTTCATGGGATGGGTGATTGTTGTGCTGAATATATCCATGGTCCTGCTACTTGCGATTGACTGCCGGATTCAATGGCGGAATAGAGTGGATCGCAAGCAGGCTCCATTGCAGATGGATCCAATTCAAGACTATCAGCAGCAGCGCGCTCTCGCAGAGATGCGGATGACTGGCAGTACAACGTGGACAGAGATAGGGCAGGATACCTTGCCGAGATATGAGACGAGTTATGTCCACGAGGGTCGATCAATTGGAGCAGATGCACCAGTGTACGCACCGCAGGCTGCAGTCTCGATGTCAATACCGGCAGAGACACCAGAGTCAGATGAACAAGGCAGGAGAGCAGAATCGATAGTGCAGCCTGGCGGAGAGCATGGTTCTGAACAGGGTCCCTACCCTTCTCTGAGCACCCCACTTTCTGAATCACCACTTTGTTCGTCATAAAGGAACGATGGTGCAAAAAGCATTGGATGTATACGATAGTTGTGTGTGTTCTTCGGGCAAAAGTTTTCTCTTTCAGGCGCTGCCTTGCCATTTTCCTCCCATTGTAATGGCGAAGCGTTGGCGTCAGTGCGATTCATTTGTTTGGGGTGTATTTCCCGAAACGGTACAACGCTCTGTGCTCCCGTGGCGATTATCTATAACAGCCTCACCCCTGTATGTATTTTTTCGCTTCACTTCTTTCGCCTCTCCCTCGCTCGCATTCACCCTCTTATCCCCGCCTTCGTTTTTCTTCTTCCCACGACAGAACGTTCTGAACAACCGTTTACTCTATCGTCTCCCCCTTCGTTCGTGCTCACTCCGCAATGGCTTTCTGGGCTAGGCTATATGGCCTGCTTCGTCCGCTACGGATCCTAATAAGCCTGCTAGCGTTCGCCAACTTCATGATCATAGCCGGGGCCATGCGCTTCGATACGACCTCCGATGAAAGCTCTAAATCTCTCATGGACTCCCAGCAGATTATCATTAACGGTTGCCTCTTCATGGCCTGTCTCTATGCATCCTTTGGACGATCGTCTTGGACGTCATCCTACAGGGCCGTCTTGGTCGGTATCCTCTGCGTCTTGGCCATCATCTACGGCGTAACTCTGCTTATCAAGATCCGGACCCATGGAGGATGTTCATCAGGATATTTCATGGAGGTGTCAACTCGCTGCATCATGCAATACGCCATCTCGGGAATTGAGTTGTCTTGGACCCTATTTTTGTTCATAGACGGCTTCGTCTCATACCACCAGTACAGGGACCTCGACTGGCAGAACAGAATGAGGGCTCAGGAAGAGGAACGAGCCCAAGCAGCCGCAATTCGCTATCAACCAGATTTGTCGTTATACGGAAGTAATAGCGGCAGTGGGAATGACAACGTCAACGACAGCATTGCTCATGTTGGACCCAGCGCAGTGGAGATGGAGCCATTGCCGGCGTATATGCCCAGACCTGACAAGGACCAGCTCCGAATTGTTGATTTGACCAATTTGTCTGAGGGACAGCAGGTACCAGCGTATTATCAGTCACCAGCAAGCGAACCTCCCGCGGACCATACCCGTGATTCAGGATCAGGATCGGGATCGTCACCACCTTCTCCTGCAGGGCCCTCGACGGCCGCAGCGGCACCGGAGACTACGGCACCAACAGTTCCTGCATTGGTGGCCAGGCTTCCGTCCTATGCACCTTGATTTAAACTTGGATAAGTGTATTATATTTATTAAAAAAAATAAAAACATGACTTTTTGAATGCGGTCACCTGGAACGGCATAGTGCGGCCCTGCAAAGAAACGCGCGCCTTTTTGTTTTGAGGCTCTGTTCGTTCGTTTGCCGCCCAGTTGTTGATTGTCCGTGTCAATAAATCGCCACTCTCCATCCTTCTTTTCTCCACTCTTCCACGCTTTACTCTCTTTTCGACCACGAGCTACGTTAAAGATGGACCAGGCAGTCTTCCAGACACTGACAGACACCTTGTCTGCAGACTCCAACACCCGCACGGCCGCCGAACAGCGACTCCAGGAACTGCAGGTCAATCCAGGTACGCCATCACACCCTGGCTCAACATCCCACACAGTCCCCGCCTCGGCCGAACGCTCGACAACTGGAGTATTCAGTGTCGACTCGACACAGGCAAATTGGACGGAATCCAATAACTGCATTGCTTTTACCTGACCGATCTCGCCATCCTCTGCGAAATAGAGTTCCCCATCAGTCTTGTCCGCCTCGCCCTGGCTAGGGATTGCAACGTTTCGCAGCGTCACTCGGCCGCAGTTCATCTCAAGAGCTATGTCGACACGCAATGGTCCGAGAAGAGTGCCAAGTTCCATGGACCTGAGCCTCCAGCAGAGGTATCTGTCCGCATTTTTATTTTTCTCTTCAACATGTTCTGGACCTTGATTTTTGGTGGCAAATAGGGGAGCCTTGGATTTGAATTAGTACTCACCTGCATTTTTTTTTTTTTTTTTTTTTTTTTCGGGGTGGTTGCAAATGACATTAGACAAAGGCTGCTGTTCGTGAGATGGTTCTCGCAGGTCTTTCGGATCCTACTAACCGTATCCGCGCTGCGTGTGTAAGTGTCGAATTGTCGAGCGATGACTGCAATTATCATAGTGCTCTGCCGCATGGTGCTTACTGTCACTTTTACTTTTATAGGCCTATGTCATCTCGAAGATTGCACATCACGACTGGCCAGAGCAGTGGACCAACCTTCTGGATGTTCTCGTGCACCATCTCAAGAATGGATCAGCAGACGAAGTTCATGGATCGATGAGAGTCTTGGCTGGTAGGCAATTATCGCAGGACAGGATACGGATTATTTTATTCACAAGGTGAATGTCACCAGTATCTGACCAATGCCTATGCCTCTGTTGTAATTAACAGAGTTTGTAAACAAGGATATTACCCACGTCCAGCTACCGCTGGTCGCGCCAGTGCTTTTCCCTGAACTCTTGCGTATCTTAGTGTCGGAACAGCTCTACTCCCACGCAACGAGATCGCGCTGTGCTTCGATTTTCCGCAACGCGGTCGAAATGCTGTATACCATCAAGGAGGAGCACCCCGAAGCAGTCAAGACCTATCTTACGCCCATTATCGGACAGTGGAATGAGGCGTTCATCCCCATCCTTAACAAGCGAACCGCTGATAACCCAGAGGTCGAGGTGGGCGAGTGGGGACTAAAGACTGAGATCCTGAAGGTAGGGTCATCGTGTCTGTATTTTTTTTTGCTCATCTGTATGGAGCACGGTATTTTCGAAAAGCAAGCAACTCATACCATTTCCTCTTACTGCAATGTAGTGCATCAACCTCTCAATTCAGGGCTTCCCCAAACTGATGGCACCATATCTCCTCCAGATCCTGTCGGCTGTCTGGCAGGACATCCAACTCTTGAGACCAAGGTATCTCTCCGAGCACGTCAACACAAGCGACAGTGTTGGAGAGTCGTTCCAGGATTCGGATGGCGAGATTATCGGATTCGAGTCTCTTTTATTTGTTCAGTTCGACTTTATCCAGATGGCTGCTAGACGTCGCAAGTTGACGCAGAGTGCATTTATTGGCGAGGATGGCAAGTCCGGTATCCTGCCTGAGTTGGTCTGGAACACGCTGAGCTACATGCAGATGACGGATGAGCAGGCGGAGACCTGGGTCTCTGATCCCAACCAGTTTATCGCGGACGAGGAGGACGACAGCTATTCGTTCAACGTCCGTATCGCAGCCGAAGATCTGCTTGCGGCTCTTGTCGAGAACTTTGAGGGCGAAACCCTGAACGCCCTGAACCTCAGCGTCAAACAGGAAGCCTCGAACTCGCTC